AGAAAATAGAACCATCTTGCCTGTCTCTGCTCAATAAACTGGATGCTGTCCTTAGCTCCGGCCTCTCTCTGGGTTCCAAGCTGCATTTCTAAGTTGTAGCTTTCATCCACATGACTAAAATGCCCAGACTTTTCCCTTTTCAATCTTGTCAGAGATTTACAAGGCTTTTGCTCAAGGCTTCTTTGTAGCCTAGCCGTAGATGCAGCTTCTTTTTTAGAGGAACCCCTCTTGCTTCCTGAGCCTGGAGCCTGGACCCAGGATCTTTGAGTGAGAGAAGCAGCTTACCGACGTGGTGTGTCCAGTGAGCCAAAACTCACATATCTCTGAAGAAATATTTGCAGAGCCTTTGAAAGCTTTCCAAAATAAGCTGTATTATTTGATATCTAGTGGAGTAGAATACATTTAAGCATATCTTACTCAAATAATGAAAATATCAGAAATAGCAGGCAAACTATTTTATTGCAGCAGTACGTCCATCTTTTGAAAAGTCACTAAGGGACTTTGAGGTGCTGCTAGCTTAGGTACTAAAATCCATGAAGCAGATCTCAGAATCTGTTCTGTTTCAATTTAAATCTTTTACAGACTCAGACCTCTATATAACAACCCTATTGCTCCTCCCTCCCAAAAGACAGGTTAACTCATTCGATGTTGAACAGCACAGCCTGCCTTGGAGAGACAAATCTCATAGATTCCTTGCACCAGTATTACAGATGCCTCCATTTTCTTTGGAGAACTGACTGAGCAAAATTACTTGATCCCTCTAAGACCCGTTCTAGACATAAACTAGAACATGTGCTTAAGAACATTTCCCTAACAGTACACAGATACTGAGAAACCTTTCTGGGGAATTCAGTGAGTGTTTTACCTCCACATAAAAAAAATTAGTTCTATATTAAAACTTTGAAAATTTTCACTTTGTCTTTGGGGTTCCACATTGAAACCTTTCATATGATACAACAAAAACGTAGTGAGCAGCCGTACAACAAAAGCATAGTGAGTAGTTGGTATATGAATTTCCACCCCAAACTTGAACGCAACTTTGTGAGAACCTGACAGTTGCACAGCTCATTCTTGTGTTGATCATGCTTATGCTCTCCCTTGTATGTGTTAACTCACCGGAGCAGAGGGAAGCCAGGGAGCCTTTTCAAGTGAAAGCTCAGAGCTTTGTCCAAATTTAATGCAAATGAAAACCTTCTTGAGTATTCATTTGGATTAAAACTGTTCCAGGTCTGCTTTCAGAGTAGCTGAAAAGACCACCAATTCTTTGTTAAAAGATTCACAAGCTTTACCTTTGTTAATGTAAGGTTTGGAGTATGGAGAACGTTCCCTGGTCTGGCAAACTTTTTATGCTACTCGAGATAGAAACAGCTTGTGAACTAGAATAGTATACAAGGACAGCACCATCTCAGTAAAGGACAGGATCTTTTGCTTTGTTTAAAAAGTAGTGCAATCTTTCTTAAGGTCCAACTCTGTAAGTACTAGGATTTTTGTAATACTGTATCTGTGCTGTGCCCTAAACAAGCCGTTTCCATCAGCCCTTTGCACATCTTTCTACCTTTGCATCTAGGCATGTGCAAGCCTAGCTCAGGACATGCCTCCTTACCATGCAGCAAAAAATACAAGATGCTATTCTGTCATTTGTCATCTCTGTTATCTTCTTACTAAATTTTCCATTGAAAGGTAGCAGATGTCCCTTTCATACTTAAGGTTAACATCAGAAGTCCACAAATTACATTTGAAAAGTAAAGGCAGATTGAAGTAAGGCATGTGGGTCTATGACGCTTGCAACAGCTCTACCCAACAGCTTTAAAACAGGAAGGACAGCAGAAGGGAAAGGAACTGAGGAGAGTGTCATCTCCCACAGGTGCCCACGAACGCCCGGCACTTCCAAACCTGCCTCATCAGTCCTAGGCACAAACAAGTGCCTTGCACTGTGGCAGCAATGAACTTGCAGATTGATGCTTGCTGTACAGCTGGTTATTTGAAAGGTACATTGCTTCCAGCAGACAGGCTGCCTTTTTTGCTCTTAGGCAAGTTTATCCTCTTTCTACTCCTAATGAATGACCTTAGTCATTTTTTTTTAAAATATCCATGCCATTCAGCACGTTATTCACCTCTTTCAGCTACCTAAGGCCTTTAAAGGACCCTTACCAGGCAGAGCTATTCTTCTGCCCCTGTACCATGTGAATAGCACATGCTGCACTGTCATATCACATATTCTGTTTCTGTTGGCCCTTAGCTGGGGTCTCCTGGGGTAACCCATAAACTGTGAATTTCTCTGTAAAATTCAGTGCATACCTGCTGCTGCTGCTGCTTCTGCCCTTACTGTTGCAGTGTTACTCAGAGGGAATGTACTTTGTGGATTCCCACTGGGACTTCCCACTAAGCAAATGCAGCAAATGCCATCCATAGCTCTGAATATACTAGCCCATAAACATGCCAAGCACTCTTTAAAAAGTCCTCTTAGCCTGAAGATAATAAGCAATGGCCAGAATCATCTCATCTGAGACTTTTTTTCTTCCTCCTAAAAGAATCAAAGAAGACATTACATAAAATTAGAGCTTTCATCTTTGGGGACTTGTCCAAAATGGTCTTTGTCTCTGAGTATCAGCTAAATCTACAGGCGAATAATTCGAGCACAGGTTGAAGCATCATAGGAAAGGTTCTCAAGAGTTCTCATAGAGAACAAACTTCTTTTAATGTAATAAATAGGGTTTGGCAGACATTACCTCAGCCTCCGTACCCTCATACCACTGGACACTTTTCCTGTCAAACTCTATTGTGATCACACAGCGTTTCCCCCCCTTTGTTTGCTCTTTGCAGCTTCGCTGTATTTCACACGGGTGGAATCAACAACAAGAGAAGTTAGCAGGCAGCTTGATGAGTGAGCAGCAAGGATTCTCCCTTTCAGCCTCAAGCACACTCGTGGCCACGGATAGATATTGCCTCTAATGGTTTTTACTAAGTTAACTCTGTGAGTTCTTCTGTGGCCTCATTTTTGAGGCAGCTTTACCAATATATGATCTGAAGATTTAATGATCTTAGGTTGCCATGACCTCTCTGCTAAGGTTTTATTTATCAAAATGGAAATCTATGCCCATTCTTCTGTGAGACAATCATCTTATCTGATTCCTATTTATCTTGATTAATATACAAAATCTAAAGGTTCAGCTACCAATGATGAATATAGCATTGATCAACAAATAACTTTTTCTTTTTTTTGGGGGGTATAGGGGCATACATAATCCATAGAACTGCTATAAACTCTCCAAGTCATACAATGTGTATATTCACATTTTTGAGACAATTTTATTAGGGTTTCAGCTTTAATATATATCAATCTTTTCACTCCAAGTTTTTCTTTATAAACATCACATTTCACTTGCTGAAGGCCCTTTCAAAGCATACATGACCTTTATGAAATTAAAAGTTCTAACTATGTAGCTGTTTTTTATTTTTTTTAACCTTTGGACCCACTGAACACATGATGGAGATTGAGATAGGAAATGACTGTGTCTCTCTATTTCACTGTTTTCTTCAACCTAAATTGTATCTATGGCTGCAAACACTAATTCAGATTGCCAAGGTTGCATTCAGTCCACCATCTGCCAGCCAAATACTAGAGATACACAAAGTTTTGCTCAGGAATCCCCCTTACAGTCTGTCAAGCATCCCATGAAGCTTCTAGACCCTGCTGTTTTGTAAGGGTGTCTCTTGTGGCCCTGTGAATTTGGACATCAGCCCTTTTGGATATAGCACCATCTAGTGCGGCAAAATAGCCAACTCCTCTTAGGAATCTGGCAAGGATGGAATCAGAAGTGGCATGAGAAGCCAGAGTTTGTTTATTAGTCATCTGGAATTCATCACAGGAAGTTCTTTGATTACTGTGGCAAAGCACAGAGAGACTCTTTAAGCAGGGCAATAACTGCTCTGCAGGCCAGGTTCTTACATTTCAGGTGCCTGGTAAAATTTGCCTCTGTACTCGGTGATTCCTAAATCACCAGCTCTGTGCGATGTCTTTTCCTTGCAGGCTCAGTTGTCTACCTCCTTCCCAAGAATGTGAGGAACTCTCTTAGAGGTTTACCCAGCCGTTTGGTTCCACCTACATCCATGGCCAATGTCTCTGGTTACTCCATTCATATGAATAGCCTTAATGATTCCTGATACCACCCTCCCATAGTCACACAAAACCTGCTAGACAAAAGATTCACGCAGTTCCCACAAAGTAACAATATAAATGAGTAAATCAGATAGATTAGTCATAAAGCCACTTCAAATTTTACTTATTCTCATAGCCTCTGTATCATTCCAATATCATTTCTCTGTCCTCACAAATGAAATATTCTGTTATCATTCAGCATGCTAATGCTGTACCTCTGTCCCTCTTCAGTGGTTCATACCATACTTTATTCTCAACCATAAATTACTTGGATACAATTCTCAGGTACTTCTTTGCTTCCCTTCTCACTTGACTTCAATGATTTTGTAACACTTATAAGCCTCCACTTCCATGTTTTAAATTAAGCTGTCCCCTGTGCTCATCATGTTTATGAACATGGAAACTCAACCAGTTTCCTTCACCTCTATCTCAAATCCCTTTTGCTGTAAGGCCAATAAAGAACCACAAAACACATAGGCTGCTACGGCTGTTTCCTATAATGCTCACCAATGTGGTCCTGTTCCTCAGTTTGCTGCCCTCTTTTTACAGACAGATGCTAACTCCACAGGGGCTTAGCAGAGAGGCGCTTCTTCTCCCTTCTCTGCAGCAGTGCCGCAGCCCTGCCAAGTGACACTGGAAGTCTGAAGCAACATCCACCTCCCCGGGACGCAGAAGATGGACTCCGTGGAGGCCGCGGGAGCAGCGGGTTTTCCTCAGGGAGCGCACGCAGATTCCCCCGCTCCCCTGCACGGAGCTGCTGCCCACGCGAGCGCCGTTAGAGCCCCGCCGCGGCGCCCACGCGCCACAGGCGGCCGTTGCCCGGCGGCCGTTGCCCGGCAGCATGGCGGAGGCGGCGGGAGCGGGGCCGCCGCTCGGCGCGCCCGTGCCGCGGCCGCCGCCGGCCGCCTTCTTCGGGGCCGTGGCGCCGGGCAACCCGGTGATCGACACCTTCGAGGCCGAGCTGCGCGACGTCCTGGGCTTCCTGCGGCGCCTCAGGGGCGCGGCGGAGGCCGAGCCGCGGGAGCACGACCTGCACCGCCGCGGGTAGGGGCGCCCTCCCCGCCGCCCGGCCCCGGGGACTCGCCGCCGCTCCCGCTCGCCCCTGCCCAAATCTGTCTCCCTCTTGCGCTTTGTTCTCCTCCCCCAGCCCCTTCCCCTCTGCGCCCCCCGGAACCTTTGAGGCCAGGCGGGCTATGCCGGCACCTACTTTCCCTCCTCCTCTTCTTCCTCCTCGCCTGCCTCTCATCTCCCCCTCGCCTGCCTCTCATCTCCCCCTCCTGCCAGAGCCGTGCAGCAGGAGACCCCCTCCTTCTCTCGCCCAATCTCCTGGCAAACTGGTCAGGAGATTCTTCAAAATATGGACCATCAGTGTGCCAAAACATACGTCGATCCACATTTTTTATTTATTTAAAATAATTTTTAAAAAGTTCCCAAACCTGAACACCTCATTCTTTCCATGCACTTTCTAGAAGTTAGTATTTTAAATGGGAACAAAATAGCCCAATACATTAGGTATTGTGGAAGTTGGCAGTGCCACCCTTGGCTGAAGCAGAGCTGCCTGGGCTTTGCAGTGGGGAAATCCCTTTGCACTCCTGGAACAACTGGCAGCCCCCAGCACGTGCTGCTGCGTGTGAGGATGGAAACGTGTAGGCATCGATGTGGCTTTAAATATACTACGCTCGTCCTGGGGCGCTTTAAATATACTGTGCTTGTCCTGGGGCTAAGTGAGGATAAATGCGCACAGCTCATTTGGTGCATATGCCTGGGTCTGCACAGAAATCTTTTTATACGCATAGATGCAGCAGATGGTAAATGTAATTTTGGTATCTGTTTGCTCACATGCATGCATGTCTGTGGGTATGCATTAACTAGGAATCAGTATGTGATTCATAGTGCATGCATTTTCACAGAGTATGTTTCTCACGTAGCTCTCATTTAGGCGCAGCATTAGATAGAAGTTCAGCTGCTTCTTTTAAGATGGGAGACTGATTTTCTAGGTCTGAGCCGTATTCTATTCTAAATTCACAGGTCCTTTGCATAAAAAAAAATAAGTTTCCAAAGTTATCAGTATATTTAATTCAAAAACAGCACATGTGAGCTAGATGACATGGGGACTAGCCTTCAATCTATGCGCAGCTTGTATCTTTAGGGTATTTCAGTCCGTACTTCCCTTTCTGCTATGAAGAAAGCCTCCAAGCCCTTCTTTACTTTCCCCTCTGGAATCCTGACCATGTCTGTGCTGCACAGACTCAGCTCACATCAGGACAACTTCCTTTCTGAAGAATTATGTGGTGTAGTTCATTATGAAGATGAGAACTAGCTCGAGATGCCACAAGTCACTCATTGTACTGATTCTTGCCAAAGCTCCAAAGCATCATGAACACTGGATGATGTTAAGTTCCCAGCAGCTCTGCAACCTCCAACATTCTCCTCTTACCAGCAGAGAAGGAGGTGGAATTCTGCCTGTTAGCACAGATTCATTCCAGCAGCTAGCAAAGCCACAGCTGGTGGGCTGTGACCGCAAAATTTCACTGGTGTTTCCAAGTGTAGAACATTGTGTGTGTTGCTTGCAGACCCACTCTTGGTCTAAATATTTCTGAGCATTTCTAAAGGCAATGGCTATTTCAAATGCATTCCTAAATGCTCTAAGGACTTAGTATCATTTGTCAAACTACTTATCTGGCATAGATTGATAATCAAAGTGTTTTTGTTACTAGAGAAATAGAAAACTAGTTTCTACATTGGAAGTATATTCAGCTTAGAAGATTTTTAGAAGATAAAAATTATCAGCTTTATTTTCCCAATATGGGCCACTTCTGAGTTTGAGAGGTCAATTGTGAGGCCATTGTTCAGGACTTCTAACGCAGGAAATAAAAAATATTTGCCCTGAAGCAGTGTCAGACGTGAGTCTTTTCCATCAGAAGCAGCAGCAATCAAAAGTATTTTTGCCTCTACTAAATGAGAGGATGTTTTTACCCATTTCCTGCTCCTTTGGAACCTCTATATATCTAGTGTTACAGAAAACTGTTAGCCTTCTGTTGTGGTTAATGGCTTACAGATGGCCTGAGAGAGACTCACTCTTTAGAAGGTTGTCTTTGGTAGATTGGGCTCTAACTTCTTTAAAAAAAAAAAGAAAGAAAAAGAGATTATAATTTTTTAATGCTTCTCTGGTGAAAATATCTTTTTGACAGAGTTCTCATATAGCCATATCTTATAGCCTTGAAATATAAAGGTAGCCTGTAACCAGATGTCTCTTCATTTTAATTACATGAAGTCTCCCCAGTTAAAAAAAAAAAGAGACATCTGGGAGACTACAAAATGAGTTCCAGAATATCAGAAGACAATTTAAGAGAGTGTCTTGCACTTTGGTTTGCTTAGTAGTACCTTAGCAGACCAAAAAGTCCCAGATAATTAACACCTGTAAGCATAAGATCTAGATGTGAGAATTCAGCTATAAGGTTATTTTTGAGCACTAATTTCTCTCTCCTCAGTTTTCTTTTCTAGTTCCTTATAATGCTATCTCTGAATAATTTACTGTTGTGGTTTCACAGGGAACTCTTTGTTCTGTAGAAGTGGTGTGTTAAGAGAATAAATAAGAAAAGAGAAAAAAAAGATGCCTTTGTGAATATTGTCAATACTGTAACAACTCTGTAAAGGTTTCTTTCTGAAAGATCCTTGAGCTTGTTATCAGTCTGCCTGATCAATTATTGTTTATGGTTTGAGTATAGCTTTCTTGAAGAAGCCTAGAGTGGGAGAGTTTTGCACATGAAGGCAAGTGCACATCAGATCGTGGTCAGGAGGGACTGCCGTACTGGCACGATGCCGTCAGTTCCTATGGAGGGGAGGCACGTTGCACCTTAGAGCCACTTACAGGTTGTAGGAGACTTGTTGGTTCAGCCAAAGAACAGTAGTTTGTCACGCAAAGTCATTGCCAGTGACAACGCAGCTAAAATAAGAGACACAGTCAACAGAATATTGTTAGTGATGCCTTAAGATACCAAAACTTAACAAATATGTCATGTGCTTGTTCTGTCTGACCCCTATCCATTATAATAAACATTTCATGCCGGATGTAGTTCATGCTGCAGACTTTCTTCTGGCTTTCTTCCTTTTGTCCTTCACAGTGGAATAGTTCATTTCATAGCCACTAGTTCCTAAATTTATTGCTACCTGAACTGCACTGTTATTTTCTGATCTTTTTTTCCTGCACTTTGCATTTGTAGTTTCCTATGCAATAATTGCTTTGAACTATAATTCCTTGAATTTATACCTAATTGTTTCTTCAGGTAGAACTTCTCATAGATCAGCCAAAAAGTGGGGCAGATTCTACGTTTACAACCATGTTTGTACAAGTCAAAGGATTTAATATTGAGACATTTTAATAAATATTTATATGGGAGACAATTAATTCTATTTTAAATGTGTGATAGAAACAATTCATGACAGAATGAAACCCAGAAATGTCCTTGCTGCTTGTTAAATTCAAATTTAATGAGTTCTTGTTTTGAAATACTAGAGTTTCAAATGTGTTTGGAAGAAAGGGTTTTTTTCACAATTTGAAGTTTTCATGATCTGTTTACTTGTTAAACTGCAGATCTACTGCTAGTTTGATGTGAAACTTTTTTTTTCTGTATTTTTTTTAGAGCAAACACTTTGTTTAATATTTGGATCAAATATAAGCCTCGACTGCCGGACTGGTATTACAATGAAAAACTTCTGAAAGTTGGCGATTCCCTTGCTCAGATCAAAGTAAGTCATGTTAAAACAGAAAATGCTCAATCACAGTCTGTTTCATTAGGCTTCTAGTCTATTTTAATTTTTAATTACATTTTACAGAAAATTATTAAGAAAATAACAAAGCTTTAAAAAATAATCCCAATAACACTAGGTGGTTTGTGTCTCTTTCTTATTATCATAATTGCCTTGATACTATGATGTATTAGTCATATGTGCATTTTGTATGCATCTGTTGCCTCTTTAAAGTTGAACACCCTGGAATCTCTCCTCCAAGTATTTCCTTGGAGTTCTACCACAATGTAGTACACTATCTGAGTGTGCCTGTAGGCTCTCCTTCAGTGAAAATTGTATAAACCAAGAAGTGGTGGTTTGTTCTATGGAAATGTCAACTCTGTGTTTGGTAAACTAAAAGCGACCGAAAAGAATTTCCATGAAGTGAGCAGAGAACAGGAAGGAGAATGTCTTTGCACAATCATATATATGTATATTAATAATATTCTTTTATGTTGAGTTCCGTGTGCATTTCTGGACTCCTCAAAAAAAGGGGTCCAATTACAACTAGTGGCAAGTTGTAATTGGCAATTCAGTGGCAAGTAACAAGGCTGATCAAAGGTGGAATGGCTTCAACATGAAGGCCAACATGAACCACAAAGGTAGGCTAAGTATTCCCCTGGGAGCAGAGAGCCCTTAGAAAATAGTACAGGTCTGTGGAATCATGAGCGAAAGGAGGGGCTGGATATGGATCAATTTCATTCACTTCCTCTTCCAGTATAAGAGCTAGACATCATCAAATGAAGGTAGTAGGTAGCAAATTCAGAACAAAAGCAGGTTATTTCTTCACAGTATATGCACTTAACCCATGGAATTTCCTGTTACAGGATGCTATGAATGCCATAGGTTTGTGTAAGTTTAAGAGGAAACTTGAGTTCACAAATGGAAGTTCATTGAGGATATTGAAATATGTATATTGCCCTTGATTTAACAAGTCCATAAAGTGCCGATTGTTGGAGAGTTTGAGAGTATTTTGGGGGATGTTTGACCCTATCATTAATGTTTTAATCTGTATATATTTTTAACCTAGTCATCTGTTCCTGGCTAGAGTTGGAGATGGGATGCTGGGCTAGTAACAACTGGTCTGACTCAATAAAGCTCTTTTTAGTTTTGTTCTTTTATGAGATTGTCTCTTGTTTAAAAGCTACCCTCACTACTTGAAAAAATACACTTTGTGGCAACCTGTATGATCCCTGTAAAGCCTACCTGTATGATCCCTGTAAAGTCTTTTAGGTTAAATGTTGTTATGACAATATTTAGGAAAGATATATTTAAATTTGAGTTCTGTTGAGGAAAATTCATATTTCTTGTCCCTCCTTACCCCTAAAAGAACATAGACAACTGAGATTGTATATTTCTTAAAAAATATTTTTTAGAACACTCTGTTGGCTTGTGTGTTAGGAAAGTAGCTTAATACCTCTTGTCACTCATAGCCTTGGTGCTTTGTGATTTTCAGTAATGAAAATGCTTTGATAGCAGTTGATAGATGTAGGGCACCTATCCACTTTTACCTTTTTCATTTTCTTGAGCATTTGACATTATTAGAATCTCCATTTTCACCTGGAAAAGTAGCAGACATAACTGGAACTGTATCAAAATTGTGGAGCCATCTTTGAGGAATGCATCCAGTGAAATGATGCTTCCACTATTAAATCCTTTGCTTGTGTAATCCAGCAAGGAGAAATACTATTCTGTAATTCTGTTTTATATATGTGGCTAGGAAGTGAATTGTTCAGGAGACCAGAACAAAGATTACCTTACAGATATATCCTCCCATTGCATCTGCCCGTAACATCTTCATAAAATGACCTGCCTCCTGAGTAAAGAAGCTGAAGCTGAACTTCAGCAAGACTCACATAATTACAGATAGGTTGTAGAAAGCATTTAGAATAGTTCATAATATTGATGTTTTAGGTATAGGCTCATGTTTAGCAGTGTATGATTTCTCACAGAAATTCTCACAGAAGATCTTGAATTTGTTAATAGCCCTTTCATTGCCTAAGCAATTCCTTTTATATTTTTTTATGGCTCATGTTTTCCTCAGGTTTTCAATACCTTTTGGGTATGAAACAATCCTTTGACGTTAAATGAAGCTTTCATTGCTTGGGAAATGCTGGCCTCAAAACATACTCAAACATGCCAAACCCCTGCATTTGCACCTCACATTGGCTTCCCGTAGGGTAACCAAAATGTTAATTTGGTCTTTATTTTTAAGTTGCTTAATGCCATGGCCCCAGAATGACTGAAAATAACCTAGAATTCTCAGTGAAGAGTTCTGCTTTTTGAACACTTTGGATCCTCTGGTGTAATGTCATTTCCAACAGTAAGAGTAAAGTCATCTATGTTGTAGGAAAAGAAAAATCTTAGTGGATGGTGTAAAACTTTGAAATGAACTATATTTGGAATTATGGAATTCCCATTTTTGGTGCATTGCTTTGAGTTTCCAAATTTAGCTTTCATCTTACCTGTTTTTTCCTGGAGAAAATACAGAGAAAAACAACCAACCATGTAGTGAATGCAAGACTTTGATGCATCACTGAAAAGATGGATGCGGGATAACACCGAGTTCTGCGATAGGCACGGAGAAACTTGTTCCAGAAAAAAAGCTTTTCTTTGGTCTTGCTCGATTCTATTTGAAAACTGGTGATTTATGCTAAGTTTTCCTTTATGGTAATATGTAGTTAGGAGTCTGTAGAAAATAGAATACCAATTATGGATTGTCAGCCGGTAAGCACAACATTCCCTTCCATTTCATTGAGTTCCTCTTCTGCCTTTTTTTTTTAATGCCTTCTCCCTTTAGATTCTTTTTTATTATATATCTGCTATTTATCATCTAGAGCACACCTAAATTCATTATGTCATATATCTGGAAATTAGTTAGCAACCCATTAGTCATCATGCTGATCAGCACTGACTCATTTTTTTTCACTTCCTCTGTGCTTGTGTTTGCTTGTTATCTCTGATCTCCTACATATATTTTAAACTGTTTGGGTGTGGAATTGATTTTTTGGTATATATTAGAAATTAGCTTAATGGGAATTTGATCCACGATTTGGCATTCTAGAGGTATAACAGTCTGAATCGATGGGTTCAGTTATACAAGGGACCAAATGCCCATACCTGTCCATGAGAAATAAGCTTTTCAGTATTTGGCTGCTCCTTTTATATAGCAAAGAAGATAGGGTACCTTGAGTAATCTTGTGGATTAGACTGAGATGATTAAAAATTCAGAGTAAATGTCATTGTGGTGATTGGAATTTATATTGAAAACAGTGTTTAGAGGGAAATACTTCTGTTTTTTTTTCTATGATTAAATAACATATTTATACCATAAATACCATATTTCTATGATTAAATACTATATTTACAAATACAAATTAGTTGCTATCGTGCTTTTTTTACTCCCAGAATTTATCATGACCATTTCGTTTGCATGTGTGTGTTGTGTTAGTAACAACTATGAATAATGTTGAGCTATTAGTCACATTGAGTTCTAATAATAATGCTACACTTTGCCTTTACTACAACTTAGAAATTAGTGTGTGCAGAGTTGCCAAAAGGCTGTTGGTCATCAGGCAGAACGGATCTTCCTGTGTCGATCATGCGACCCTTTCACGGTGTGAAACAGCAGATAAGTTTCCGATGAGCAGAGTTTTTACCTCTTTCATTTAAAAAGTTGGTTCCATCTAAACCCCTCACAAATTCAATGAAAAATGTTATCTTTCTTTCTTTCATATGCCCAGCTTTACGTAGTACTCACAGGGCACTTGCAACTTTCCCTGTAAAGGTGGATTGTGAGAGGCATACCTGGGAGGGAAATAAGTTACTTTAAGCAAAGTACTGAAGTAGTAAAGTAGTCTGCAAGCTAAAGAAAATAAAGAGTGCTCAGAAGCAGCAGTGGGATCACCGCAGTACAGTCCATACATCCCTCTTCCCTGTGAGGGAAGGAGAAAGAAAACCTTAAGGATATCTACACAGAGCCATACTGTGAATTCTCCTGCAGTGTAGCTTCCCACAAAAGTGAAGTTGGTAGAGAAACCTCTAAGTAATCTTTGCTGCAGGAAGTGGTGGAGGTGACTCAGTCAGCGGCACTCCGACATCTGAGTCAGTGCTGAACCAGAGGCTCAGTGTGATGTCAGGAAGGACCAAAGTGCTGCTGGGGGCTGTGTTGTGAAAGAGACATAGAGCTCAACATCCTGTTTGTTACCAATCCTAAAAACCCAGTGACAGTTTCAAGCCTCTTAACCTGGGGTTTTTGGCTGTGTGTGAATTCCAGTTGCTCATTTGTTTCGCTCATTTTTATGACATTTTATTCTGAAGTGGTTGATTTTCTGATATCTTAAGCTGTTCTGCCCTTCTGCCTAAAAGAAGGGCCTTGACATCAGAGTACTGAGGAGGAGAGAAGTGATGATTGCATTATGCAGTACTTTTCTCAGAAGTGTGATGTCTTTATTGTTGCTGTTTCAAAGCTTCAGGCCACTCCAAGAACCCTCCAAGTTTATTGCATTAACCTGGGATCGTACTTTACAATAATTCTCAGTATGTCGGATTTATAATTAAAATAAACAGAAACTCCCAGATCACAAGCTCTTCTTTTAAGTACTCTAGCCTTTCCAAAGGTGTGTTAGCATTAGAAATTATACTGCTGAGTGTTTTTATGACACTTCAGTGTTTTATTTCCAGCTGCTCTTTCCCACTGATACCTCTTCCATAAGCATAAATGCAAACTATAAATATAACATATTCTTCATTCCTCAGGAGTATAAATTGGCACTTTTGCAGTGCTATGGAAGATATCTTCAGCAGTTCATTTCTGTAAACCTTGATGAAATCATAGATGATGTGAATCAATTTAAATCTACCTTTTTCCCAAATGGTTTCAGAGATAAAAACGCAGCACTTACGGTAAGTTCAAATTTTTTTTTTGGTCAAAGACATTTGCCGATTTAAAATAAATAGCCTGTTTTATCTTCCCCAAATGTTCTTCATATTAATTATTAATTAATTTTAATTCACGTTGTATTAATTAGATATTAACAAATACTAATCTTCAATAGTTAGTCAGTATAGATTGCATTGAGATTTAACAGCCATGGATGATTTGAACGTGCAAGGTTGGTGTCACGAAACGAGTGGTGGCAGGGATGAGTGACAAATGCACTTCACTCGTATGAAAGAAATAATAACAGGATTTATTAATATGGACAATGATTTCACGAGATTCTATGGCAAGGTCACTTATTATTCACTGCATGGAGGCTCAAGATAATACACAATTATCTTGGGATACCCTCCCGTTGGGTCACGAGGTTCAGATTGGACCCCCTTGCTCTCCAGGCTCCTTCTGAGAGGAGTCTGGGTGCGGCTGAATCCAATCCTAGTCCCAGACCTGGTCAACGGTTTATGACTGAGGGTGCTTATGTTACAAAGTAAATTAAAGAAAGAGAGAGAGAGAGAGAGAGAGAGAGAGAAAGCAAGCAAGGAAGAAAGAAAGAAAGAAAGAAAGAAAGAAAGAAAGAAAGAAAGAAAGAAAGAAAGAAAGAAAGAAAGAAAGAAAGAAAGAAAGAGCGCTATATTCACTTACCACAAATCTGCKRTGGAAAGGAAGATCTCTTGAGGAACCTCGAGGAGTAACCTTGAGAGGCGTCCCTGCCCAAGGGGAGATCCTGGTGTGCAGGCYGCAGCYGTGTCAGGAGAGCTCAAAGGGGCTCTCAGGCTGTCCGAGTATTTATGGAGTAAGATGATTGGCTTGTAGTCATATTTTTAACTTCAAAGACTTAGGTTAGTGTGTTGGCCTTATCTCCCTGTTTACGATGCAGCCTTGAGGAGTGTTTTTGTTAAGTCTCAGTGAGAACAGAAATCAGGACGATGGCGCCTGCCAGAATTAGATCGGTCGCTGGTGGTCAGCAACAAAACAGGGCTGCATGTAAGGTACAGGCCAGGATGAGCTGGGAAAGGAACGTATCCGTCACATTCCACCCCGTGACTACAGTCAATTCATCTTATTCTCACAGAGTGGTGGTACGGTCACCTCTTGCCTCTGTGCCATAAATATCATATTAATAATTCCTGCATTTGCAGGTTTATGGTAAGTGAATATTTTAGCGTCCAGTATTTCCACTAGGTACAAATTTATACATTTTAGGTGGTTGCATTTGAGTTATTTGTTTCATCATATACCAGACCTTTATATATAGTTATAAGTAATAGACCTAATAATACTAGAGCTAGTAAAACCACAATTGGATGAAGCATAAGATTAAAAATTCCAGTTGCTGTTGGTGACCATCCGAGAAGAGTTTCCCACCAATGGTGTTCTCCATCTCGTTTCACTCGCTCCACGGTGAACACGGTGTATTTCTTCTGTATCATGATGAACAGTGATTAGAGTCCTTTGTCCGTTGTCTCTGATGTGTCTCGGTAGATGATACAGGTCACAGTTGGTATTCTTTGAAATAGAGATAACACATTTTTAAGAAGATATAAATGCTTATGCTTCTGTGGCATAAACCAACCACTAGTGATTTAATGTCACAGCAATTTTCTGTGAATTAGCTATGAAGCTATTCCATAAATGCCTGCAGCAGTTTTCCCTCTGCAGTAGTTCCTAGTAACGGTTGTCAGAATCCAGATATGGGCTAAAGTTGATAACTGTCTTGCAAGTGTTGTAGAATTTTTTGTAGACTGTGATCTGAACATTAGGAAAAGTTCAAGAGAGCTGAAATATTGAACTGCAATTTATATTATAAATGTGCAAAAAATGTAAAACAAAAATGTTCATGGGGAGCTCAGTGATCTCATAAACGTGTCAGCTTAATTTTTATTAGATACTTAGAAAGATAAGAGCTTGCAATTTATCCTATGCTATCGATGGAAGAGAGTGTTTTAGCAGGTATAGAGCTCCCCTATTCTAAAAATATCCTAGATTTTATCTTAAGTAATGTTTTGTTGAGAAGCTGTTTTTCAGGTTTTCACGTAACTAGGTTTGAAATTCCATAGACCGTGAACCAGTCATACTGTTGGGTGTTACATGAATGTCTACTAAAATATCTGTTCTATAGCTTGACTTTGGATACCAACGTATCCTTAAGTTTTGAAATATGGAACCAAATTTTACCATGGTGTTTTACAATTTGTAAGAATGATGCTAATACCTCTTCTAAAAATCAAATTATACCTTAATGCTTTATATGTAATTCTTTTGCTAGGTTTCTGTGGTTTACTTTTATTTACTAATATAACAGTATTGAAACTGTAGAAATGAAATTCTGGGGTTTGAAACTTACAGTTTCAGTGAACTAATTACAAAAAAAAAATTAATTTCAGACATTAAAGTTAGTAGGCATCTAAGAGCTTGTCAGATACTGATAGGCCTTGTTACACTTGGCTCGTTCCAACCTTGTACCAATGACTCTGTAGGGCACACATGGCTGATATTACTCTAGGTTATGTCTTCCATGGATATAGAAGAGAAGGGATGATTCATCTGCAATCAGATGCATCAAGGCAAAATCAGATGCAATCAATGCAAAAATCAATGGGGAGAAATCTATGGTACAGATGGGGAAATAAAGATTTGCCTTTAGTTGCACTGGGCATCAACAGAGAGACCAAGAATTAAATCTAGACCATTTGAATATTAGTCAGCTAAGTCTTACTTAGCTCTCTCCCTACAATCCTTTCAACAGTCATAGTGCACTCTCATCTTGGTGCATTCTCATCTTGGGATACTGTCCCATGTTAATAGTCAATCCACCTTAAAGCTTTAGCATTTCCTCCGTGTTTTAATTCTCAGATCAATATCACACTGAGTTTTCTCTGGCATTCTTGATCTTTTTATAGTCACTGATTTGTTGTGCTTTGCAGATGTAAAAATGTGGTATGTGCATGCACTTTAAAGGCAGATATGTTTTCATTTATCTATGTTTCTGTATGTTTTAGTTCCATGCTTTGCAAGAGAGGAATGTTTGCATTTATCAGATGGTTTGTGTCAGTGACAGAAATCTCCAGAATCAAGAGTCCCTGCAGACTTGTTTCAATATCTTGTCCTCGTTACGGCTCACCATGCAAGTGGCTCTACCTCAGGAGAATTTGTGTTGGCTTATCTACAATGGTATTTGAAGCTTCTCGTTTACATTTTCTTTGTTAATGAATCCTGTGGAGGGAAATTTTGTACATGTAATTTAAGCTCAACTAAAGGGTCCTGAATAAATTTCTAGCTACTTTTTAACCACAGTAGGATGTATTTAACAGACTGTATTTTGAAATAGGAAGTTTTAATTTTATATTTCTACATAGGGTTTATTTTTCAGATAGATAACTCTAAAAGTATTAGCTTTTTCATTATAGTGTGATTTGAGTTTACAAATAAAATGAAATCTGACAGGGCATACTGAGGCCAGTTTTTAAGTGAATTCTAATTGAATAAAAAGCTGGTGGGTTTTTTTGATGATTTTTGTGAAAAGTGAATTACAGGTCTAAGAAGAGAAAATAACTGTGTGTAGCATTGAATGTTTGTTGTTTTTCTTTACTGTTATCCAATGTTGATGTTAATAATAACATTTCTTTAAAAATTCTGACCCAAAGTTAGAATTTGAATCTACGCATGTATGATTTTAGTGTGCTATTTATATTTGCTTGTATTAGGATATCTTTGAGAAAACAAAGTGGAACTTCTGTGAGATAGAGATATGAAGAAAGATGTATCAGGAGTTTATATTTCAAGAAGAGGAACATCGTATTTGTGCTTTAAAAAGAAAATTTCATTTCCTCAATCAAAAGTTTGGATAATTCTTGGTTCTATAATGGGTAATTGTTGTAATACAAATTGAGGAAATTATATGTTTTTAAATGAATTTTGAAAAACACTCATATTTACTTTCTCTGAGATACAACTGGTCTTGACATTCTCATCCTTTTGTTTTGTTGGGACTGCCATTGCATATTTTCCTGGTTCCTGAGCATTTTTCTACAAGTCTTTTTGTCAGTAGGAGATTTTTGTGTCTCATTAGATAGTTGACTGATAAAAAAAAAAAATGCTTTCTAATACTTGCAAAATTCTTGCTTATTGGGATAATGATACCCTGCTAGCTATGACAGTTGACATAGTGATGCCTGTGTGCTCCTGTAGGTGCCCATTTACATACATGTGGACAGAAGAATAGATTTTTTTCCCAAACTGCAACATTTTTTGTACTTACAGGCTGATTTTTTGAAAGGCTGCCTTGTGACATAGCTGAAAGTCAGTAGCTTTTTGACAGGGTTTTATCTCCAAGTCACTTAGATGCTTTTGAAAATTTTGTTCCTAATCAGTTTTCTTCATTTCTCTTGTGATACCAAATGTCACATAATAGCACTGTTGGCTGCCAGGACATCACTCTGACAGATTAAAAGCAAGGCAAAGTCTGTGAGGAGAGAGAGTTTTTGATTTGTTTGTTTCTTTGTTTTTGCTACTATGGTGTTGGGAAAAAAATACCATTGGTTGGTAAAGTAAAAATTCTATATAGTACATATTTAAGACCTCCTTCTTTTCTGAGGCTGATCTGTTGTGTACTTTTGAAATTATTTTAGCATAAGAATATAGTGGCTAAATCTTGACTCTTTTAGAGGTGTTAATCGAGAATTTAGTTTTAAAGCTGTATTTTCAGGCTCTAAAGTGTCCAAGTTGTAAGATGTTTCAGCTGGTTAGAAACAAATTTCAGGGAAAAATTACTTTTTACTTTATTTTGCTTTATTTTATTCTTACAGGTACTATTCATATTTACATGATATGCAGACATTTGATGATGATAGGTCACTCTGCTAAGGTATGGCAAACTAAATGGAAACATTTGGAACATTTATGGAGGATTAGCAATGCACATATATTTTGCCTAATGGCATAACCTGACATTTATTTCATTCTCTTTTGCCAGTGGTAGTGCTTCTCGTGTGTAAATAAAATGCCTAGCATGCAGAAGGACCAGTGTATGGTCCTCACGCCATCCTAGCTCTTCTCCTTTGGTAGTGGAATGAAGCCCCCCCAGAATCTTGTGTTGGTTTTTGAGATGGCTAAGGCTTCAGTGGAGCCTCTGAGAGCTGCCCTTTTCTGAGTGACCCCAAACCTGAATCTGTTATCCTTTATGTCTTAGGTTTTTAATGTATTTTTTAAACATAACTGTTAAAAGCATAATACGTTTTTAAACATAACTTATGAACTGTTCAGTTCATAAACGAGCCACGCTAATAAGAGTGGCTAAGTGTCTCCCTTCTTTGGCTTCTGTTGTGTTAGCACCAATTATTGATCCTAAACTAAGTACCACTAAAAGGTAGCATGTGCTTCTTTCTATCTTTAACCTTATGATTTTGGAAATCTTCACTTGACTTCCTGAGAAAAAACTGTCTAAGGAAATCTCAGTTCTTTAATGAGTCTTTATTTTTAAGAGTTGAGAACATGTCCTCTTCTTTCAAGTTGAAAAAGTATACTTAAAACATACATAAAGTCAAGCACAGTTATAAATATAGTAAATTAGTATTCTGTACAAACATATCCCAGCAGTAACACTGACTGCATGCAGCGGAAGTGTTTTTAACTGACCAACTGATATCCAGTGAATCTCAGTGGCAGTTCTTGTAAATTGAAGTTTGGATGTTTTATTATGTGAGTTTAAGTCCGCTGTTTAAACTAGGGTAGAAAGACCATGATTCAGTTGCCTCTACTTAGGTGTCTGAATGCACGTGTCCTACAGGTGCCTGACTCTGAAGTGTCCAAGCATCTTGGCTGGCCTCCAACTGCTGTGCTGGAATGGCCCAGGGCTTCTATCTCATCTGCCATCCTCATGCAGGTTACTCGGATCTCTTTCAGATGCTGATTTTGTGCGTCTGAAACAAATCCCAAGGATTTGCCTTTTGCTCCTTGGAAAGTGGAGCTGTACTGACACCTGCTGGCTAGGATTTTAGTCACAATTTCTTAGTTGATCAGATTCACAGAATCAGAGCAGAGTTAAGGTTAGAAGGAACCTCTAGAGATCATCTAGTCCATCCCTGAATGATCTGGATTTCTTTTCTTTTCAACTTAAGGATTTTTCTTTGCTTGAGCTTCCACTTTTTCCCTGCTTAAATTTTAACAGACTCCACAGCATCCTAGATGCAAAATCTTTTCTATAGAACTGCATGGTAATGTGACTGTTCTGATTTTATACTGTGAACTTTATAAAAAATCTATTTAAAATGCATTCCAATTTCTATTTAAAATGCATTCCAATTGAAAGTGGATTTCTTCAATGCAGGTGCTGGAATACTTACTGTGGGCCAGTGTCTGTATGGAATCATCCATTCCACTTTTATGTGTACACTATTTGACATGGAGAGCCACTCTTTATACTGCAGTTTCTCAGTGTTATTATGATTGTCAAGACAGCATTAATGGAGAGGTATTCTGATTTGCCATGGTTAATATTTCAGATGCAATCAAATGGAAAATACATTTATGCCTAAAATGCGATTGTATGTAGTTTTTCCTTTTCTATTTATGTGCCGAAATTTAACTACATTGTGGAAGTATGTTTCATATGTAAATGAATAATCAGTTCAAAGCTAAATTTAATGTTACTTTTTAATGTAATCCTAGTCCTAGATTTTTAACATTGAGTAGCAGCCAGTCCTAATGATGATATGCAGATATACAAAGGAATTTTGCAAAGGTTTTCATTTCTTTTTTAGCAGTTGTTCAGGACTTGACATTCATTGTGGTCCTTTACTGTTGTTTGAATTCAAGAATGATGCAATTCTAAAATTATGCACTAGCAAACAGAACAGGAAAACAGTTTCAGTTTGTATACATCAGCTCATTATCCTTTCTTCTTATTATTGCTCTTTTTTTACTTTGGACAGATATTTGCTCGCCGTGGCCTAATGAAAATTGATGAACTCAAGCAACTTGAAAATATCAGTTCTTCTCCTGGAAATTTAGAAACCAAAAAGATTTTTAGAGAGGCCACCATAAAGGTAATCACCCTGCAATTAGACATCGACTGTTACAGTACTTAAAATTAAAAGGACAGAACATGTCACAATTATTTACTGTTTTTCTTTCTGTCAGATGACAGTAATGATTTTCAAAAGATTAGTGTATGAATCCAGAAGAAAACCCAAAAGCTACTTCCGTCCTAAGTTACGAGTTAACCTAAAAGAAGCACAAAATGTAAGTTTAACATTTTATATTATGGTATTCCTGCATTGAAGTTTTACCTCATCCCCTGAATCTCATGATATTGTTATAGATCTACCTCATATGGACTTCATAATATAATAGCAAGTTCTGGAATCTCTGCATTTTTGAAGAAGAAAAAGAAAGATTCTACAAAGTGACACTAGCTTGATGAAATCTTGATGAACGATTGGGATGTTAGGAATTTATCAAACTTTCAAATAGCATTTTGTTTCATTATGTATTTGTATATGTTATCTATATCACATAGCAGATAAAATCCAGAAGCTTGAAAAATCTTCCTTAATCAATTTTGTTCTGCAGTATCTTTGTGACTTTTATTAGTTTTTGACTAAACTGAATGCCTGAAGTTAAGAATAAATCTTTAGAATTTACACTGCTCATAACTCCTCCACTAAGTCTTTTGCTTATAAAATTTATTATGACAATTTTCATAGCTTTATTTAAGAATAAATAGTATTGAATATTCTCTAGTATCTTCTAATTCTGTAATTTTTGATATTTTAAAAATTTGTAAATATTTACTGTGCTGAATTTGTGCTGCTAAGAATCATTTTCTGCAAAGTGTGTAGAGCCTAGCTCCTGATGCTCCAGTTTGTATCGTTTTAAGAAGACGTGGGTGGCTTTAAACTACATGGCCTTGATACTTTTTAGCTCATGTTTGCTGTTGTACTGCTCTCTTAGCGAAGTACCATGCAGCAGTGTGTATGGTTGCTATGAAATTATTGTACTTAAGTATCATGCCCACTTGGCATGGAGCTTTGTTATGACTTTGAAGCATGAAATTCGTAACAGCAGGATATCTTACAGTGTATTTGTTCTTTTTTTTTAAGCATGTACTTGTTTTCTGAAGAACTACTTTGAAAGAAATATTGCTTTATTGTAGATGAATTTACGAGATGTACATTCCTTTTTTCTTGCTTAGTTACCATGGCCTCGCACCGCTACCGAACGGCTCCTGATGGAAATGTTTGATGGTCCCGCAGCGCAGTTCCTTGCCATTCTGGAAGCTCTGTCTGATAGCAGCAGGCCCGTCTTGCGCCCTGCTCCACCTGTTCCTGATGAAATAGAAATTCGTGATGTGGTTTCTGAGCTTTTTTTTGCAGGCATAGGAATCCTTTCAGGTAAAAGCTTCCATTATACTAGCAAAACAAACAAACAAACAAAAAACTCCAAACTGCTCCTGTTACTATCTAGTGACAGCATTTTTGTCATGAAAGCTTCACATCACATTGTAAAAATAAAAGAAAATATATAAACATCTCTTACAAACACAGGAGGAACTGGCTAATTAAAATAATGAAGCTAATAATAGAATATGGAATGATCTAACAAGTTGTCTATATTAAAGGTGAGGTGAGCAATACTGGTACTCAAGGAAGACACTGCACCGATCATTTTGGGATAAGTGCATCGTCAACCCTCTTGCAGTTGTTATTAAAAGGTACACTAGTTTTGAGTTTAAAGAAAATGATGACGTTAAAAAAAAAGACAAGTTCTGCAAGTGTTTGGTGAGCCAAGTGCACTTTCATGTTAATAGCAGCCCTATGCATAAGTAGATTGCAAAATGATGTCCTCTTTGGGAAATATATTCATGAATGTCTATAATACTGGGGCATGTTGAAGGGATTAGGTATAGATTTCATTAGCATTTTGCTATTACATTATTTATTGTTAGAATAGTATGCAAGTATATGCAAATGTTGTAATAATCATATATGCTCAGCATAGCTTTTTGTCTGGATCTGTTAATGCCCCTAATAATCATTTAAAGTCCAAATTCTTGTACTGGTATTGCAGTATGTGCTTAAGGAAGAGAAGGGCTGTAACAAAAGGATTTCTCTCAGCTTGTTCAGGACCTTGGACCGATTCCTGTGCTGCTTCAGAAAATAATAGCTCTCTATTACTAACTTAATATTTCCAGCATCTTTCGACAAGATGACCCTGTTCCTCGGTGGTAAGACAATAGCAGTGGCATGTTCCTAGGCCTGTAGAATGCTGTGCAGGGTCAGCTAAGGCACTTGTTTCAAGTTCCAAGGGTTAGAAAAACACTTTTCTGCCCTGCTGTAGTTTGGATAAATTTGCAGAGTGAGAAAACAGGATCCCTGTGTGTATAAATACATATTCAGATGTTGCAGTGAGAAATGCTCACCCATCTTGCGATAAATTATTCATGATTCTATGCATCATTTTTACTAGACTGCTAGGAAGGGACACTGTGGGGGAGATAGGTACCCTCATTTAAGCTACCATAGGTGGAAATAGGTCCTTTATATCCTCAAGGCAGACACATTAATATCAACAAAAGTACAGCATTTCTGAAATGTATTGGGACATTGAAGATACATCAATGTAACTATAATAAAGTAACTATACAAATTCATACATTACCGCAGTGTGATAAAGCCTTTGTATCTTGTTGAGTTATTAAGAAATCCTCACTGTGCAAAAAAGTGTGGAATTTTACCTTTATATTTTTAATACCCAAATTGTTGTTTAAATAGACTTCCAACTTCTGAAAATATACGTATGAATATATATATGTTATTGTCATTATTGCAGGAGAAAATGCTGTGTCTGGAGATGCTGCTGTGAAATTTGTAAAATTAGCTTTCAGCTATGAAGAGTGGGATGTGTTTGATTCTTCTATTGAATTAGTTATTAGTTTTCTTCAGGTAAGCCTGATGCTATTTACACATTCTTAATGTAACCTTTCCCTGTGAGGATAAGAAAGAACATTCAATTCCCAGATTTTTGAGACCAACTCTATTAGCTGTTTCTGTCATTTAGGGTCAGGATGATCCAAGATGGAAGAAAGCAGAAATGGAACTCAAACTGCTTACAGTGATGCAACCTTTAGTGTTTCCAAGAAAAGTGAAACATGCTTTTGCAGTTAGTGAAAATAATACCAGAGAAGCTGCCATGCCTTATGGTTCTGGAAAGAAACAGACATTAAGAAGTAAGCATTGTCCTTTTATGGCTGTTGGCATTTCAAATATTGTTGCAGCAAGAAATGTTATCATTTAGAAACTACGTAATATGGTGCATACAGTACTCTGTGGCAAAAGAGAAAATTGAGAGATTGTGTTTTCCTGCATTTGCCAGAAAATCACTTTAAAACAGAACAGTGTATGTAAGTTGACTCATACTTTTTCAAACATAGACTTGTAGCTAAAAGTAACACCCTATCTTTCCTTTTCTCTCTCTCTCTTTTAATATGAGTGTAGAAGGATCTCTAAAGCATGGAGAGCCATCTGATGATCTTATCGTTTTGGCAACAACAGTGTTTTCCTGTATCTGTACAGCTAAGCAGGTATAACAGATTTAGAAATATTTCTTCTGGTGGAATCACTCAGTCTGTAATAAATATATTTACTCTATCAAGAAAGGAGTCAGACGCAGAGTTTACAAATTGCAAAAACTAAATAGCAAGAATGAAAAAATATATCTATATAAAATGGGTACATCCATAAAATGTTTCCCTATCTATGTAAAGTAAAACCTACTAATTCTGTTCTCATTCTGCAAATTTTCACATATAGTAATTAAAAAATTCCTGAAGTTAATTGAACTGTTAAGTAGCATATAGTTTTCCCAGAGTATATCGACTATTATAACATTTCACATGTAGTTAATTTGTCTCTCCCATGTTATTTTTTTCTCTCTGCTTTCTGTATTTTTGTAACTGTTAACTACTCTACACTAGAAAGGGAGATACTTAAAAAAAAAAAAAAACCTAGTCTTTTTTGTATTATTGGCAGAAGATTGTCTTGAGTGCTGTACCAGGAATTGCTTTTGAACAAGACATTCTTTAAGCTTTTAAAATGTTGCTATGTGTTATAGGCAAGTTAAAGATAATCATTTACTGACTGTTAAAAAAAATGATTTTTAATATATTGAATATACATACCTGTTTCTACAGATCTGATAATTGTATTTTTCCTTCCAGAATCTCCAACCTGATAAAGAAATACTTGTTGATGTAATAACATTTTTGTGGCAGAAGTGTAAAGCAGGACTTCAGCGAATCCAAATGAGTGGAAGTGACTATTTAAAATATATCCACAAATACAAAGCTTACAAAGTACTTCTTTATTATCATGTATTTATCTTACTAAAACAGACTTCAGTCACATTAAAACCAAGTTTCTGGGCAGAATGCAGACAATGCAGAAAAATCTCATTCACTGAAAATGTGAATTGTAATGCCTCTCTTATCCCACTTAATCCCTTCTCTCTCTGAGTGAATAAATGCTAAGATACATCTTAGCCTTTCCTCAGTATCATAACACATTGTCTGCCAGTGAGCCATAATAAAAACTATCTAAGTTAGTGAAAGCAATTGAGCATGTAAGATGTAAGAGGAAATACTTTGTGTGTGGAGGGGTAAACTAAAAACTAACTTTTTAGTTAAAAAAAGTTCCCTAGATTCTGCTGCAGAAAATGGCAAAAAAATTACTTGTTGGGGATGAGTGGTAGCTAAATGATCAAATCTGCTACAAGGCTCACCTCAATATGACAAAGAATAAAAGTTATGTCTGTAGAACAGTCATAAACCTCATAAACTCATTTAAAAAAAAAGTTTGCTGTATGGAAAAACTAGTGCTAGGAAACATTTGGCATCTGTGTTTGGTGCTATTAAAAAAATAAAAATAAAAGAAGTTAAATACAAGAAGGGAGTGATATATAGTCACATTCCAAGAGTTGTTTTTCACGTTTATGAATGCTTTTAAACAATTTTGATTGCAAAACCCTACCTGTCTCAGTAATACATCAATAAGAATATTTTCCAGAAAGTTTTAACTCTGTCTTATTTCTTTTTCCTTTTTCAGTGGGTTCATGTACTTTGGATAATAAATGAAGTAATTCAGAAGAGTAGCATAATAGACACTAATGTTGTAATGCTAGCAGAGATAACCTTACGCCTAACTGCAATACTGGAAAACGTAGCGGATTGTGCAAATAAATCTGGGAAAAAAACAGGTAGAGCTTTCAATGAAGATTTAGGCTAATGGAAGTAATTTTCTTTCGCGAATGACTTGGCTTTTAAAGATTGGAAGTATTTTTAGTAGAAGATATTGACAAATGTGCATATTCAAAAATATTGTAAATCACGCAGAATCACAGAATGATTGAGGTTGGAATAGACCTCTAGAGATCACCTAGTCCAACCCTGCTGCTCAAACAGGAACACCTAGAGCACATGGCACAGGGCCACATCCAGGAAGGTCTTGAATATCTCCAAAGAAGGATAATAATATAATATTACACATAATGAATGTGATGTAGAGGTCTATTTGGCAATGGGAATGACATGGTGGGGTGATCCTAATGGGAGTGACATGATGGGGTGGACGTAACGGATCTTGTGGGGTGATCATAATGACTAGGCAAAAGAGTGGGTCTGGGCTGTGGCTGGAGAGCTGAGGGGAAGGCAGAGGTGGGGCCAGCATAGGTTAGTAGGCTGGTATAGAGGGGAGAGCAGAGTAGAGAGTGGAATGGAAAGGAGGGGAGGGTAGAGGGTTGGGTGGCAGGTAGGGGAGGGTACAGGAGAGAATAGAGAGTGGAAGGCAGAAACTAGGCTGGAAGGTAGGAGGTAGGGTAGAGCGGAGGGGAGGGTAGAGGCAGGAGGTGGCTAGAGAGGAGAGTGGAGGTGGGGGCTAGTGTAAAACAGAGGGGAAGGTGGAAGCAAGGGTAGTGTAGAGAAGAGGGGAGGTTGGAAAGTAGCAAATGGGGCAGAGTAAAGGAGAGGGTGGAGGTAGGGCATGGGGTAGGGTGGAAGTAGGAGGTTAGGTAGGTAGGGTTAGGTTAGGGTTAGTTAGGGCAGGATTAGGGTAGTGTTAGGCTGAAGTTAGGTTAGGACAGGTAGGATTTGGGTAGGTAGGCTTAGGGTAGGGCAAGTAGGCTTAGGAGAGGTAGGCTTAGGATATGTAGGCTTAGGGTAGATTTCGGGTATGTAGGGTAAGGGTAGGGTTAGGATAGGTAGGATTTCCACGCTGCCAAAAGTTATTGGAAAGACTGGAAGGCACCATCTGGTGAGTGTCACAATCCTGTGACTTACAGAGAGACTTTTCCTTTATGCTTCGTTTAATGACCTATTTCTGTCACACAGCTGTTCAGCACCTGTTGATAGTGGAATGATAAATTTTTGTAAAAACAATTTCATCTTTAATCAGAACTAATGAAGCCTGCTTTTCTAAGGATTTGTGTGTCATTTCTTTACTTTTACTGCTCTACTGAATTAATTCCATTTTGAATTACATCTGTGACTCACCCTCTCCACAGTTCTTTTCCATGTCTCTTAGTCCATCCACAGTATCCTCAAATTACTCATATGCTCTCTGAACTTTGACCATGCATGGACTATGACTTATCTGGAGCATTGTTGGCTAGTGGTAGGGCAAACAGAGCAGGAAAATAGTGAGGTCATACTGAAGCTTTTGCATTTTACTTCTTTACACAAGTACTGATTTTTGTGTAGGAGTTTAATTGTCTTTCGTATTGAATGTTTGAACTTGGCTGACAAGTTATTGAGATACAATGCAACTGACCAACTTTATTTACAAAACCTGACTAAAACACTAAAATATGAATATTTGGATATACTTTTAAAAGATATCTGTTATTGTTATTGTTATGAGTTGTAGTTTTCATAATTAATTTACAGTGTCTAGAGAACAGATTTTAAAGAGACTTTTAAAGCCTCTGTAGAAATGGAAGAGGATGAAATCTTTTTGCTTTGTTTTGAAAATAAGAATCTTGTAACAGTAATGTACCATTTTAAAATAGAGTAGGTATTGTTTACTGTCTTTCCATTGAACCAAGTGAACCAAGTGAATACAGTTTTGTTATTTTGTTTATGAGAAAGAGCCAGTAAACAAATGGAAGTATATGGACAAAACTGGTAAGAAGAGCACAAGACAGACTGGAAGGTCAAAAAGTGAATTCCTGCAGAAGGCAAAAAGTAAATTTCTTTCAGTGAAGAGTTCACAGTAAAGAGGGTTATTGCTAAAAGCGAAGAGATTGCCTCCTGGAAGGCAAGAGAGAGTTTTGGGTACATTCTTTATAAATAAAAATAATGTAATCCATCCATGTAACTGTTAAAAGTGTGATAATACCCCTTCAAGAAATATTTCTGTATCATAAATTTATGTATCATAAAAATTTGACCTCACACTTTAAAAACAGTCCTATAAATTAAATTAGCATTAAAAACTTCTGTGATTCATGTAAAAATAGTTTTAGATTAGTTAAAATGAAAAATATATATAGCCATTACAGTAAGGAACTAAGCGATGAGTCCAAGTTTGATTTACTTCAATCTAATATTCAAACTAATATGAAATATAGTGCACATTTTGAAATACTACGTTATTGGATAATCATGTACTAAATTGGTGTAATTGTACAGATACAGCTATCCTGTTTAAGCCCTGAAATTTTATTCAACAAGCATTATAATTATCCCTCATAGTCAAGTGCTGAATAACTGACTTACTGCTAGCTAGAGTCTTTAGTTAATAGTAGAGCTAACCAAATGCTACTAAATTTATCTGAGTGTATTTCTAATTGTTTTTTCTATGACAAAGAAATACGTGCCTCTGTCTCACAAGATGAAACCCGTGACATTCCTGAAATACTGATGGTAATGTCTATTTCATTTTAATTAATATAACATTTTGAATAACACGAGAGCATTTATTTCCACTAGAAGTTTTTTTCATAGAGCTGTGTATTTAATGTTGTAAAGAGGAACATTTACGATGTCATGCTATTGCAGAGGAAAGAACAAAGATGATTTTTCAAATCAAATATTTTTGAGAAGCTTTCTAAAGTTGATTATAGTCATCTGTGATATGGAAGAAATTCTATTTGAAATTTTTTGAAAGCTTAAGGAAAATCAGTCATAAGTTGATTAAAAATAATTTGAAATTCAAAACATTGATATTAGTATATGGAAACCTGGAGAACAATGCCTATCTCAGGACTATATGGAAGAATTTTAACTACAATATTTAATAATAGCTTTTTAGTTTTGTTAGTGCATTTTATCGCTTGTAGTGGTATCTTATATAATGTGTTCATTCTTGTTTTTATTTCAGAGAAGTTCTATAGAACAATTGCAAGCTGCTTATGAAAGTCTTGAAAAAGCAATTAATGGTATGAACACATGTCGCTTAATGACTCTTCTGCCAGATGGAAAATCAATATTTGATACCTGCTGTACAAAGGTAGTGTCTGGAAAAAGTTACATTGTAATAAAAGTTATAAGTAATATATTGGATATTGATGACAGAAAACTCATATTTTCTTCATATCTAGAAATCTTAACATTATCAAATCTCATCTTTCCAACCCATGTAATAATAGGATAGAAAATAGAAATCACTTTAGTAGAAATAGCATTTTCTCATTCAGTAATGAACTGCAGACTCCTTCATTTTTTTCTTTGTCATTTTATTGTAGCAATTATAGTTCTTTGTAATTTTATTTTGGTAATTATAATTACCAAATAAACAAATAAAATAAAGAAGTAATTGTAATTTGTATCTTCCTGCTACATTGTAAAGCAAAGATCCTTTTCATATTTGTTGCTTACAACTTTTTATTATTAAGATTAATTTTGGCCATTGAAGGGAGCCTAGATTTTCTAAATAATGTTAATTTATGCCAACGTGATCATGATGATCTTTGATTTGTGAAATGTTGGACACAATAAAACATTTTTTTCCCCAAATTTATTATTAAAGCTATTTCCTGTTTATTATCAGGTTTTGACTGTTTTCCTTCTGCCAATTCTCCATGCTGTTCGGTCTATTCATTTTCCTTCATCTATGCTTAATCAAGTGAACACATTTTCCGCAATTATGACAACTTCTTTCTATTTACTGAAGTAATAATATTAGACCTAAGAAAAGTGTAATTTGACCTAAAACTTTGTTGACTAATTATTTCTTTCCATTCATTAGGTGGACCTAGATGGCCAGAATTTGAATTCTTTGGGCAGGGATAATGATAAGCCAGAAACAGGTACTGGTTTTGTAATAGATTTGCACTTGGAACTTATTCAGGCCCAGCATCGAGTAGCTGTGAAACTTCTTAAACTGACAGAAGGTATGTTGTAGTAAACCTCAATAATCTTCGTAGATTAGAATCTTGATTAGAGTCCTCTGTTAATAAATTCTGTAATACTATCATATAAAGGAATATCTGCTATCTGTAGTCTAGAAAATGTAGGACAATTTGTATGCCTCATATGTTCAGAAATTACAGGTTTTAGATTTACCATGCCATACTAATCTCTAATCTATACTGAATTAAGTGGAGTTGGGCTTTCCTAACAGCTACTGAATTCAGTTCTGAGGTTGTTTTGGTATAATATAAAGTGATAAAGTGTCAATATCATGTTAGAGTTAGCAGATATCCTACTCCTTCATAGCTGCTGAATGCCCCCTGAAATTACTATATTTGGATTCCCACTCCTGTGGTTTTGTTTGTTTCTTTGTCTTAATACAGACTAGTATTATCTTGATGCAGCAGATTTCTCATAGTGATCAACAAGATCCCTCTTGCTGTGATGTTATGTTATCTTGCTGTGATGTTAGCATTACATTAACAATGGTAGAACAAGATTGTGCAGTTCTTTTAATGGTGGGATCACTCTAAGAAATTCTGTCAAATCAAGCCAAAGAGCAAGATGGAGCAGAGAGTTAATACAGAACTGCATATTAATCTTTCACTTTATTTTTTTAATAGCACTGTCAGAATGAATGACTCAGGATTTCCTTCCCACATAGGTGTTCAAAAGGATGACAGAAATCTGAAGTGCCACAGATCCCATGGGAAGAATATAAAAGATTGTCCTTATTTAACAGGTAATGCATATTAATTAATACTTTCAAATATAATATATGATTGCTAGAGTTTTATAAATATCTTCAAATATCTTTTTACAGAGGCAGTTATAATGAAAAAAATAAAAAAGAATAAATTATCCAAAGCAATCTTTTTGATGCAAAAGGCCTCACAGATGTTCCCTAGCGACTTAACCACCTCTTCTCAAAGGCATTTACTTGAGGTAATTAAAAAAAACACGGTAGAAATTCTTCATCATTATCAGTTTTTCATGTTCTATATAATTAAGACTTGTATTACTCCTCATAAAAAGAAGACAGTAGAAGAAAGTTGATGTACAATGAGTTTGCTCTTTGTAACTTCTGTTGCCAAACTTTCTCTGAAAAGTTTTGTTATGATGAAAGAATAAAAAAAGTTAAAACAAGGATAGACCATATTGCCAAGTTTTTGTGTATATGTACAGATAGCAGAAAACCTGAAAGGCATAGGTTTTTTTTTCTTTCTATATTTAATTGCCCAGACTTGAAGATATGGATGTATGCTGTGCAGATCATCATGCAGATTTTTCTTCTCCTCATCACAACCTGCTTTAATGTTCTTTTTTCAAGGTCTATAAATTGTATTAGATTATGTTGACTAGTGATGGTAAGATTGTTTTTATTTGATTACTATTAAATAGCTGAGAAATAGCTTAGAAATCATAAATTTTGCTCTTTATTGAGATTAGAAATAGAATCCTCATGAACTCATTCAAAATCTTCAAAATCAGTCAGTCTCTGTGCAGAGCTTAGCAACTTTTGTATCAGCAATTGTCTATTAAAATGGCCTCCTTATTAGTTTAGCACAAAATTTGTTTACAAATATACAAATACAAAAAGTCCACAAAAAGATAATGAAATCTCAAATTCTTGCTTTTTTAATATATGCAAAAATATTTATAACACTTAAAATATTAAGAAATTGCTAGAAAGTGTTGTTTTCTTTTAAGTACTGCAAATTTGGGTGCATGATAAATCATATATCCTTTATATTAGAAGGAATGCAAAAAGTATATCAGTAAGACATACACTAAAAATCTTTCCTGCATTCTTGTAAAATAGATGGCATTTATGAATATTAGATGTAGAGATGTGGTATTAAAGCTGTTCCAGTGGTCCCCAATGAAGATGTATAATCAAGTCCCAAGAACTATGTGGTTATCCCAGACACTGGAAAAGGCCTTATGCTGTCCTTCACCATATTTTTGTTTTGTGCATGTTTCAGAGAAAGTGAAGTAGAAGTATATCATACATTTGCAGCCCCTTGAAAAATACTAAAATTAACTTTATCTGGACAATCTTAGCATAACTTCTTAGTTATCTGTACTATATATACATTTTATTACTATCAATTAATTTTCCTCTTTGAGATGGACAGTGCCCACTTCATGAGCAGCAAATACATATTTTTTCATGCTTATATGTAGTTGACAAATTTTGTCTACAAATTTTATCACACCAAAAATGCAATATTTTGGTATTTTATTGTTGGAGAAATGTAAAAAAAATCATGTCTTATGTAGTAAGCTACTAGGCAGATATGGAACTTTCTGATTCATTTGTCTGTTTACTCGAATTAATTACCTGGTGCTTTACATTGTAATTGATTTCTCTTGCAGTTCTTTCTTTTTTTCCATCCTGCCCTATATGCCCAGTTTGAAATCCAAGTCTTTATAGAGTTGATTACACTGATGGTTCTTGTTGGACAACAGTAAAACTTAATTTATGTGATTAAGGTAATATCACCTGCAAAGTCTGTGGCAGAAGCAGGGATAAAATGTGGTTTGTCATAGTGACATTTGGCTTCTTCAGCCATAAGATTATTCTTTCTCTTCTTCCAGCACTGGCACATTCATTATCTTCCAAGTCCTGGAATTAATGAAGTATAGGTCATGCAGTTCCAGTTTCAGTCACAACACTATCCTTGTCCATCCCTAGAGCAGTTCTATCCTTGCACTAATAAGAAATATGTCATGGAGGAAAAATGAGGGTGTGATTCTTTAATTAAAAAAATGTATCATAATACAGTTCTCTATAAAGAGGTGTCTATTTTAAGGTAGCAGTGAAGTTCCTAATCACTGATGACAGAAGTTGTAAGGTTGCGTGGGGGTAAGAGACATCCCACACCTTGTGTTGTTTCTCATACTCTTCATTATATAGTTCCCATTAGGGTGGAGGCAGCCCAAAAAGTGGGATGAAGTGAGGGACTGTGCAATTGCATACCTGTATGATGTGGCTGTTAACTCTCAGTTCCCTATTTCACTACAAATCTATGATTAGGCTTTAATTATTTTTGGAGATGAGATACAAGGCTAAGGCAATTTTTGATTTGAACCAGCGTATCTATTTTTACAGCCTTATAAATGTATGTATGTGTTTTGCACATGGTATTAATGTTACTAAATTTGCGAGAATTGTCCATGTGAATGTTCATGTCTCATTCATTTCTCTCATGGGCATAAACAGTCCTCGTGCTGAAAATGTCCTCTCATTTGGGATGTAGCTTGCTATGAGGAAACATGGGATTGTTAAGGTTCTAAGATTCTAAGACTCTCGATGTATAACCAGTAAATTTGAGTTTCTTCAGTATATTCCTTAGACTCAGTTCAGACTAAGCTCTTGGTCCAGAGGACAGCTCCATGGAATTATAAGGTTTCAAGTGAAAAGCTTAAATGCAGGAAGACTTTGTGCCTCTCTTCCTCCAAAAGAATGTTTTCTTTCACAGCATCCTCAGTCTGTTTGTCACTGGGAGCTGGCCCTTTTAGCTTTGATTTGCTCTGGGGAACAGGCACAAGTAAAGAAATAAACATAAGGTCTTAATATGAAACTCCAAAGTTAAGTTTCTCCTTGAAGATGTAAGCAAGGTTCAGAAACCTATCAATTATTGGCCATTGGGTCTACTTATATCAAATAATATCTACTTATATCCCTGTCCGAATGACTGCAATAATAAATATAAGCAGGAGTCGTGTTTTGGGAAGACACTTATATGAACGGAGAAAGCCAACAGTTAAGAGTGTCAGTCAGATTTCAGTTCTCTCAGGCTAATTGAGGAAAGTGGCATAGCTCTACCTTTTCAGGCCTGCATTAGTTTTCTTTTTCTTTATTTTTGGAATTAATTATTTCTCTCTGTTTCTTCAATCCAGAAGATCAGTCTTCCTTCCCACTTCCACAACACCTTCAGAAATTCCATAGATTAGGTCTCTCTTCTCTCCTGATGAATTAGTCTCTTATGTCATGTTGGAGCTAATCCCAGGTCACCAAAAATTTCTAATCAACTTTAGTCATTCAGTCTTGTTTTGCTGGTTGGTTCTCCTGAACTTTGCAGTTCCTCAGCCCTACCTATTTTATATGCAGCTCTGCATTTCTCTTGTGAAATTTGCCTGCATATATAAGATTTATACAAAGTCCCATCGATTCTTATTTTAGCTGTTAATAATATATGAAAATCTATAAAAAGTTTTATGTATTGCAGTGATTTCTTTCTTACCAGTTCATTTAGAAAGTGATATATAAATACAAAATCTGTCCAATTCTTTTTAATTGTTTTTCTCTTTAAATCATAGGAAGTACTAACTTTAATCAAACAAGTTGAAGCTGAACAAAGCGCATTGTATCACAGTCTAAAAGAAGTTATGAACAGTAAGAAGAAAAGCAAAATTCCTCCTCCTCCTATATTACTTTCTAGATCTCATTGCTCCATGATATTTAAACCAGCCCCATTCTCTTCAGATGATCAGGTAATGTATTTTATAATAATTGCATAAGAAAATATGCAATTCCTACAAGAAAGAAGTCAAGGAAGAGGGGCAGGAGACCTATGTGAATGGTCAAGGAGCTCTTGAGAAAAAGAGAGAATACATCATGTGGAACAAGGGCCAGGCCACATGGGAAGAATGTAGGAACATTGTCAGAGAATGCAGGGATGCAATGAGGAAGTTCAAGGCAGTTAGAGTTAGCAGGGGATGTCGGAGAGAACAGGAAGGGCTTCTCTAGATATATCAGCAGGAAGAGAAAGACTAGGGAATATGTTATTCCCCTGCTGAATGGGGAAGATGCCGTGGTGACAGAGGATGCAGAGAAGTCAGTTACTAAATGCCTTCTTTGCTTCTGTCTTTACTTCTAAGGCTAGTCCCCATGAACTACAGAGCCCAGATATGAGAGAGCCAGGAGAGAGGAAGACTTTCCACTGGTCGAGGAGGATTGGGTTAGGGATTATTTAGGCAAACTGGACACCCATAAATCCATGGGCCTGGAGGAGATGCACCCAAGAGTGCTGAGGGAACTGGTGGGGGTTGTTGCTCAGGTGCTCTCCATCATCTTCAAGAGGTCCTGGAGAATGGGGGAGGTGGCGGAGGACTGGAAGAGAGCCAACGTCACTGCAATCTTCAAAAGAGCAAGAGGGAGGAGCTGGGAAACAACAGGCCGGTCAGCCTCACCTCCGTCCCTGGAAAGGTGATGGAGCAGCTCATCCTAGAGAGCATCTCCAGGCATGTCAAAGAGAAGAAGGTGCTTAGGAGTAGTCAGCATGGATTCACCAAGGGGAAGTCATGTTTGACAAACCTGATAGCCGTCTGCAATGGGATGACTGGATGGATGATGGAAAAGGCATGGATGTTGTCTAGCTTGACTTCACCAAGGCTTTTAACACAATTTCCCATAACATCCTCATAGGAAAGCTCCGGAAGTGTGGACTGGAAGCATGGACAGTGAGGTGGATTGAGAAATAGATGGATGGCAGAGCTCAGAGGGTTGTGATAGATGGGGCCGAGTCCAGTTGGAGGCCTGTGGCCAGTGGTGTCCCCCAGGGCTCAGTACTGGGCCTAGCGCTGTTCAACTTGTTCGTCATTGACTTTGATGAGGGCACTGAGTGCACCCTGAGCAAGTTTGTGGATGATACCAAGCTGGGTGGAGTGGCCGACACTCTGGAGGGCTGAACTGCCAATCAGAGGGACTGGACAGGCTGGAGAGTTGGGCAGAGATGAAGGAACTCATGAGGTTCAACAAGCACAAGTGCAGGGTCCTACACCTGGGGAGGAATAGCCCCAGGCATCAGTACAGATTAGGGCTTGACCTGCTGGAGAGCAGCTCCACGGAGAGGGACCTGGGAGTCCTGGCTGACAACAAATTAACCATGAGCCAGCAGTGTGCCCTCGTGGCCAAGAAGGCAAATGGGATCCTGGCTGAGGATCTGAGGACCTGAGGGGAGAATGTGATGAGAAAGGGACCAAGCTCTACTCGGTGGTGGCCAGTAATAGGACCAGTGTCAATGGACACAAGCTGAAACACAGGAAGTTCCTTCTCCTGGTGAGGAGGAACTTCTTTACTGTGAGGGTGACAGAGTCCTGGCACAGGCTGCCCAGGGAGGCTGTGGAGTCTTCTTCTCTGGAGATCTTCAAAACCTGCCTGGAAGCCACCCTATGCCACATTCTCTAGGTGTGACTGCTGGAGCAGGGGGGTTGGACTAGATGATCTCTAGAGGTCCCTTCCAACCTTAGCCATGCTGTGAGTCTGTGGGTCTGTGACTCTGTTAGATATATTTAATACATGGGAGAGCAAAAGTTGTTTGAGCAATGCTGTATCATCATAGTTTTCTCTGCCATTCCTGAGAAGATTGTTATCCAAACTTAATTAATTATCTGTTATATTATTATGTATCAGTGATGACTCACTGTTTTGATCTTCACATTTACCTGAAACTTCCTTTTCATACATGGTATTCTTTGGTGTTTTTCTCTTGTTTACCCTACCTACCAAAAGTTCATTCTCTTGGTTAAGAGCAGACCTAGCCCTAGTCTGCTACATCTTTAGAGATGAAAGGCTATGATTGCATCATGTGATGCAAAAATATACCTTGTATGTTCATGAATGGTTGAAGTAGTTCGACTCTGAATTCTGCATCTACCTTCTGCTGAACATCTGGTATCACAAAATCACTCAAACTGGAAGTATTCTCAGAAAAGGTTTCTAGCCAAAACTCCTGTTCAAAGCAGGTTGACTTTGAACCTGATCAAAGAGATCAGGTGAAATCAGATCAGGTTGCTCAGGGCTTTGTGCAGTTGGTTCTGAAAAACTTCCAGGGACGGAGATTAATGAAATAAAAAATATATGTTCTTTGAAGTCTATCAGTTTGCTTTTTTAGTAAATGTTCATTCATATTGCTCTATTCGGAACATTGCATATAACAGTTTGGACCGCTAGATGGTGAAATGTTATTATTGTTCTTATATTTTGTAGACAGATATCCTAGGAGGTTTTTTTTTTTAAGATGCACATAGCTGTAGAAACAATATAAAAGCTTTATTTTATGAGGAACTACTTAACTGAAAATAGATAAAATAAATACTTATGATTTAATCATAAGTAGATGTATGCACTTCTTGTAATAGAAATCAAAATAGTTGGCAAATTTACTAATTTTAAAATTATTCATCTGTTGTATTCTCTTGTATTTCAGCATTTGTTTCTAAACAGCTAATTGTGATTAAATGTAAGATAAATAATGTATATTACAAAGAGAAAAACAACTTTTCACCTGTTCAGAATTTTTAGATGTGGATAAATGACCTCATTTGCCCAACCTGATGTCTGTTTGAAGGTCTACTGAAAGTAAATTGACTTAGTACAGTTCCTAGTGGAAGAACTTTAACACAAGGAGAACTTAATTAGATGTATAACTTACTGAAATATGTGGGCCTAGTTTTGCAGAGAAGCAATCAGAATTATTTTTCATATTTGATCTGCCTGGCTACTGATCCAGGAATGTTTGCTTACATTCTTACTTGCTTAAAGATACTGAAAAATGTGAATAAGAAAGTCAATGAGATTGTCTGTATCGTTAAAAATCTATTGATATCAATAGAATTAAGATCATTGCTTGTTTAGAAAATATTTCTAGACACATGTCTACCTTTCTGTTACCTGCTTTTAAGGATTTATCCTCATGTAATCTGCTGAATCAGATCAAATAAAGGCTCAAGATGACTTTAATTCTCTAGGATAATCTATATATAATCTATAAGGTCTATGATTTGGAATATGGTTGATCTATATTGACAGGATAATGGAGAAACATCAGCTTTTATTGCCTTTGTAGCATACCTGGTTTCTGGCAAAATTTGTTAATCCATTTTCTATTGCATTTAGGCTAGTAATTGTTATAACATAAATTTTGCTATTATCCTTTGCAAAAAAAAAATACATTAGGCAAAAATAGAAAATGATATATATCAACTCATTATGTTTTTTCTTTTAAGGTTTCATGGTACAGTATTTTGGGCTGTGTAGCAACAGGAAGTAATATGAAAGTAAGGTTAAATAACAATAAACTTCCAAATGCAGGAGAAGAGGTAAGACAGAGACAAAATTGATACAGATCATTTTCTCTTCCTAAAAGACTCTGTAACTACATGGATACATCCGATATCTTTCCCGTCTTCTTTTAATCAGGGAACTGGCCAAGCCTTTGACGAATCTCTTGATCATTATTTGAAGTTCTGCTAGGTTGAAAGCATACAGTGTTCCGGGAGCCTTTTTTGAATAATGGTTTGAATGCTTTAATGACTTCATGTCAAAGAATACTCTGTCCCTTTTGTTATAACTCTGTTTTCTTGAAAGGCTTCTAAAAAATGCAAAGTCAAAGAGAAGGATGTGATGTATTACAGCTTGTGCCACAGTCACTATCTCTTTCCAGGATTCAGAAAAATAAATTCTGAAAAAAAAAAAATTATTATTTCTATTAGAATAATTGTGTAACTCCTATTAACTACTTCTTCTTAAGAAGACCTTGCCTTACTTCATTCTGGTATCATGATAATATCACTCCTTCAAAAATCTTCATGTTGTAGGTGTGATTGATTGTCTAGTCATTCTCCTCCACTTTCATGTGGTATGAATGGGCAAAGCATCATGACAGACATCTTTGATTTTTCATACCTGTTCATGTAACTACACTGGTGCTCTTTCTCTAACCTCTTGTACCGTATTTTGTCATTACAATTTGATGTTTACTTCTCTGATTTTGTTTTATATTAGGCTTACTTTTCTCTTTTGGCTTTTCTGTTTGGCTTACTCGTTGATGTTTCCACCATTCCTGACACAAACAGGCCTACACAGAGTTCTCCTTCTTTATCACTTAGGCACAGTCACTTAGTTGTTGCCATAGCATTATCAGGAGGAATATGTTTTATCCAAATGCTTTGTATGTTGACTTTTAGGAAAAGAAAAAAAACCTTCGACACTTCCTCCTGAGCAAGTGTCAGACCTGAGTGGTTTGTTTTTATTTTGAATGCTTCTTTATCTAATGGGCAGAAGATGGGTTCCAACTCATTGCAGGGAAGGTGTCTGGTTTGCATTGTCACAGAAGAATGATCTCAGCCTCTTCTTCCTCATGTTTCAATTTTTCCTGGCTCTGTGAGCTAACTCTGTTCTAATGCTGGTATTACTGTCTTTGGTGATCAAGAGGAAATCTTCTCTTTCATACTTCTTCCTTCTACCTTCTTGCCAAAAGGGAAGATGTATGAAAAGATATAGATAGCTACTGACAGTTAGGACTTAAGTGTTTTTCTTAGTATTCTCATTATCAAATTCATAAAATCAAACTTTCAGTGATGTATAGTGAGCTGATTTCTAATCCTGCTCCCTATGTGCTGTGTTTGCTGGAGACTCACCCCTGCTAGCTATTGTGTTTGTGAACTTGCCATAACACTGTGTTCATCCAAGCCACAGACTTAGTTCTGGCAGACACTACAGAGGCACAGACCTCAGGTTAACCATATGCCCCAGCAAAGCAGCTTCTGATTGCTTTAGGATATGCTTTTGAAGTCACTGATCTGCAAAGTGACTGATGAAAAATGATCTGCTTGCTCCATGGAAAAGGCTCGGAATTTTTGGTGATGGAGCAATCTATCAAAGTATCAGCATGCACAAAGCTTGCTCTAAAGAGATGCTATGGACTATGTGATGCTAATTCCTGGTATGGTTCAGACTTCAGCCCCAGCATTTGAAGGGATTTCTTTTGTGTAGATGGCTCCTTTTGAGGGCCAGGCAGACAGTATTTGTGTAAGAGCTCTGAATGCTCGTCATCCCACTTGCGTTGTCACTACAGTAAGATAATCTCATTTCTGATGCTGTGCCTCAACATTGTGTCAATTCTATATTTTTTCAAGATCCTAAAATTGTCCATTGTGTTAAGTTGTCCTGGTTATTGAATGGAAGGCAGAAAAATCTGTTAGGAGCGAGCCATGATGTTGAAGTATAGGTTGGCAAGTCCCTGAAGAAGAAATGGAAGGAGAATCTTCATAGTATATTGTCTATATAAATATTGACAGACTGCCCATTTCCCTTTTCAAAGTCCTGTTAGTGATGTTGGGAGAATGTGAAACATCCTATATCCATATCTGATACATCCATGTGGCTTATACAGAGGAGAGCCACCTGATCTTTCTTTGGAAGCCCAGTTGAAGGCTAGAATACCTCCAGCTCAAACTGGTGCTTACGGTGTGCAGGTGTTTATGGAAAAAATGTTTTGGAGAAACGCCAGGTACTGGTATTTAGCTTTCTTAAGATAAACCTAAGGGTTAGGTTTTCTCTTCAGTTATCTGTATTTTCAGTTGGTTTTCAGAGAAGACTTGTATTCTTTTTTTTTCTGTCATTTTCCTGTTTTATGAGCATTCTAAGCAGCATAATATGATATTAATCTAGGTTGTACTTTGATAGAAGATCTTTAAATAATTTAACAATAAAAATTTACTTTTTAAAATGTATAACATGCATATAACTGGAAAGTATTTTCATTGATAGATACCAGCTGATGGGAAAAGCTTCTTGGAAATACAAGGCCTTGATCCCAATGAAAAGTACATATTTGCAGTTGCCGCATATTCTTCTGATGGAAAACTTATTGGTGATGCTATTGGGGAAATGACCAAACCAATCCTTGCTTATCCACCTCTTTCTGCTGCTACTGTTCGAGCCTATCTAACTCAGGTAATCTAAGAATCTTAGGGAGTATAAATATACTCTGATTTATTTGTGTTCTCGCTGGCAGTTCAAAAACTTTTTTTGGTCAGAACTCAAGACTTCCTAACCAGGAAGCTTGATAAGCAGAGATTTTATCAAAATTTTATCATCACAAATGAAATACATGAGTAGCTGAAATAATTCTAAATTTAAAATGATTGGAAATTCCAAATAGTGGGAAAAATATCTCTTATCTAGTTTTCTTATCTCCATTTTGATTGCCCTGTTTGACAGTTTGCATTCAACTTTTAGTTTCTTCCTTTTTATCATTCATTTTTTCACTTTTGTAATGGAGGCCAAGAGCTGGAAATCATCTTTCTATTTATTAGAGTATGGAATGGAAAATGTGACTGAGTTTTCCAAGTCCCAAATCCAACCATTTTCTGTAGTGAGTTGTAGAAGACCACAACGACCTATAGTAACTTTCTATATTTTTAACAACAGAAAACTAAAAGAAATTGTGACATGGAGAAAAAGTGAAATCTTCTAGCCCCACAAATTGTAGGAAAGTATTAGAAGATTTCCCAAATCTGCCACAGTGAGAATCATCCTCATGAATGTGCTACTTGTGTGGCACCATTTGCATCCCATGATCCAGAGCAGCTGGTATTCTGCAGTATTAACAAAGATATTAACAAATGGATCTAGATGAAGTAACACATCTTTGCAAACTGCAGCATCATACCTTCTAAGAATTCCATATGGGACTGGTAGACTCGTGGTTAACAGTCGAGAGTATTTTGCATTCTCAGATGCTAATTCTGAAGGCAGACTAGTATTAGCAGAATCAAACTGCCACTACATATATTTTATTCAAATACGTCTCAGAATATTTTTACAGAAATTGGAGACTTCTGTGTTGCAGGAGGGGATTTTTAAATCCATCTTATTGTAATCACATTTACCTTTGTTATTTGAAGAACATGAAAATTCATTAGATTTATTTTGATTAGCAATTAATAAATATTAAAACATGAAATGTCATCATTTTTCTTTCAAAAAATTGCATGTTTTTTTTTCAGGTAGCCTACCAGACTGGCAATTATACATTAGCTCGAGAAGCATTTACACCAATATGGGATTATTTTGTTTCAGATTCTTCTCCACTGCCTGCCAATAAAGCTGTTATTTCTGCAAGCAGTAATTTAACTATATCTGAAAACAGGTAACTGGCAAACATAAAATTAAAATAATAATTAGTTACAGAGGTGTACATTTTATTTTAAGGAGCAGCACATTGTGAAATGTTATAAAAGTGTTATAAAAGTAGCAAAGGAATTTTTTGTTACTTATATAACTGCTAGCATATACCTTCCTAATTCTTTATGATGGCTGTTTTTGCTGTTGAAGTAATTGGGAAACATTTATAAAGGGGTCATTAATCCGGTATGAATGTGTTTTCATTTGCAAAATATGTAACATGCATACAAGTTGGTCAAGGATTTTGATAGTACCTACTCTAAGACCTGTGGGCATTTACAGGCAACATATGGACTGCTGTCATTCAGGCAGAGGATCACTAGTTACCCTGTTTCATGATGATGTGTTTTAATTTTATCCCTGGCCCGGGCAACAAAATAAGAATACAAATCCGGTTATTGTGACTCTTTTTTTGCACTTGTTTTTCATTAATCTTGTTTCTAATCAGTTCTTATTTTTAAATGCACAAAACTCTAGAGATAAGATTGAAATGAAGCAACTTTCAAAAGAATCAAAACAAGACCACAGATTTTGAATAGATGTGCAAAGGGTTCTAGTTGTTTTGTTTTTCCAGCACTTACATCCAAGCCGTACTTATATTAGAGTTCATATGGAAGATTCTCAATGCTGCAGTATCAGTATCAGAAAAACAATCAGTTTCAGATCTGCTGACTAATAGTTGAGAAATTACTTGGACCATCAAGCAAGTACATAGAACTCATAGAGACGGTAGAGGGAGCCACAGGGAAAGGAAAGCCCTTCTTTCCGACAGGAAGCTCTGTTGCTACCCTTGTGATGTGAACTATGTGCATGTATCTATTGATTTTTCATCTTGAGTTTCATTCTCTATTAGGGAGCACAGCTGAGGAGAAGCTCAACATTTGCTTTTTACATGTCCAAATTACAAGGTTGTTGCTATAATAAATACGAAAAAAAAGGACAAAATGGAATGCAAAACAACAGAATAATGCAGGCAGCTGAGAAAGATTCTTCTTAGACTTGTAAAGAACATGTTTTAAAAGAAGATACATGTAAAATAAATACTCTCTAACATCCCAAGTTTTAATAGAGGATTCAAAATAAGTGTCACTTGAGTTAAGTGAAACAGCTAAAGGAAGAGGTATCTTAGGTTAGTAGTAGGTGGACAGCAACCTGAAGTTACCTCACTTTTTTTATAGTTACCTCACTTATTTATAGTTTTTAAGTTAGAGTACATAGCCAGTTTGTTACATTTTACGTTTAAATCTCATTTCCTAGCTGTGTTTCCTTGGTGTTTTCAATTAAAGATTGCATTTTTCATTTCAAGAATGAGATGTCTGTGTGATCACTAACATTTTTACCATTCTTTTGCTTTCTATTTTGTAGACTATGTTTTGAGGCTTTATCTCAGACCTCTCCTATTGCCTTGCAACTCTTCCTGAGGAATATATTTGCTATTACTGATATAAATATTATGGAAAGAGCACTATTCTGTGATTCCATCTGTACCAATGAGATACTTTATGAGAAACAAGTATGTGTAGCTTAAAATATTTTATCAGATTTCATTTTACTTTTTAATCAGCTTTATTTCAACATCCCAAGGTGCAATATATTCATCCTTTTTGTAGATTACTTCATTTTCTGTTAAGGTTTCTGGTCTTCCTTTCTAAAATATTTTGTTATTTGCTTGCTACTTTTTATCTTGGAAGAAAACCAGTTTCTGGATCAGTCATACCCTCATTAATGTCCTAATCCAAAACCCACTGATTTAGCAGAAGCATTTTCCTTGATTTGAGCAGGAGGAATTGACATTTTAAGATGTATAATAATTGTCCTTTTGGTTGTGCTTGGATACAGATGGTATTTCTAAGCAAGATGTATGTTTTCATTAATATTGGAATTCTAATGGGATTTTGTGATTATAATACACTCAGCTTCTCTTGTTTCAAACTTTCTTACAAATAACAGCACGGTAAATTCATGGCACAAAAAAACTTTCTTTTTTGCTTTGGTAGTCAAGCCTTCATGACTGTATTATTCCAATCTGCTTTTGCTGAAAAACTTGTTTCACAGAAATGCGAATAGAATTAATGATTGCTCAGTTACTTCACTGTATCTCTTCACATGTTCAAGAACTGTTGCAGATAAACTGGAAGGGAAAGAAAGACATTTTTGTTCTCTGTTACTTACACTGAGAGGTAACCACGTAAAATTTCCTGTCTGCTCAGATCAAGATTGAAATCCAGGCCTTGTAGATGGATAAATTCAGAGGATAAAATGAGTTCAAAAGCAATGAACTTTACAATCATGAACTTCACAATCCTTTACAATCATGAGCAATGTTCCATTTGTTTATATACTTCTAACATATATCACGGAAACTCATTTCTAAACTCATACATTATTTGTTGCTTCCACAGCTTCTAAATTGCAAGAATGTCTTTCTGCTTTCACTCTAAGACGATTTTAAGCAATGGAATTTATATTTGAATCAAAATGTTTTTTTTTTTTCTTTTACAGGTTGATAGATTAGCAGAATGTAAAAGAATGATTGTGGCAATTGAACTTAGTAATTGGTTAAATGATCCAAACGGTGCCCTGCAGGCTGTTGTACAATGTTATGGTCTCCTTGCTCCAATTATTTATCACAAGATTTCTTCAGTAGCAGTAGTTCAGGTGAGAACACTTTAAGACACAAGACACAAGAGCAGTTTATGTGCAAATTCTGTGATTCTAGTGATTCCTCTCAGGAGGAGAGCCAGTCTGCTGGGCTTTGAGTTCTTAGGAGCTGCTGCAAGAAAACCCTTTAACGTTTTTGCGTATTCCCAATGCATATGTTCAATGTAAACAGCACACATTGTGCTCTCAAATTTGCTAACGTAAATCCATGGTATTGTTCGTGTCTTCAGGATGATTCATTGGAGTGTTTAAATTGTAGTAGAATCTGTGAGAGAACTTTTAGTTGTTTTCCATTTACAAATAGCAGTAACATGCTTTGGATTTTTTTTTTTCATTTACAGTTCTCTTTTCCTCCAGTTAAAGAGAAGGCAGCAGATAAATGTTCTGATAAGGCGCTCTTCAGTTTTCATGTATGAGCTCCTTACCAGAAGCAAACACCTTCTCTTTGAAAATTGAGAGTGCCTGAATCCCTTCTTGTCACTGCTCAAGTAGCATGCATGCTTTTTATTTTTGGCAAAAACATGCTTATCATCATGTTTATCATCATGATAAGCGTGCTTATCATAACCATGCTTATCATGAGATAGATTTGTCGAAGGACAACAAAAGCACGGGTGCTCTGTGAAGATGGAGGATCTGGGTGGGTAACTGACCATAGGCACAGGCACAGGCATGGACTGGGCACAGGCAATGCAGGGCACTTGCTGACTAGGGTCCATCAAGGGGTAAAGTCTGAAGCAGCAAGGGATGAAGCCCAAGACAGCCTAGAGTCAACGCTACAACACAGGTTTGTCTAATGGGTGCCTCCAGGAGACAGGCTACCTACAGCTTAAGTTGAAAGGAGAGACAAGAGGCAGGCCTGGAGACAGGGACACTTATTGCACAGCTCAGGTAGGGGCTGAAGGCCCAGGCTTGAGCTTAAATGGAGTTCCTGGGCAGAGGCTTCAGCAGGGGCTGAGCAGGGCAGTGAAGAGTTACCAGAGCACAGAGCCCTAAGAAATGCTTGACAGCAGAGACTATATTTACATCAAGTGACAATTTCTTGCTTCAGAGGGCTGTTATGTGCTACTAAAGGCACAGCCACTGGAAGTATCTTCCACGAAGCTGTGGATGAAATCTTGACACCATTAAATTAAATGGAAATCTTATTATTGGCTTTTGTAGAACTAACATTTCATCCTGTTATATTTCGAAGTGTTTTTAAAGTTTGCCGTCAAATGTAATACACTGTTACAGTGAGAGGTACAAACTTATAAGTGCATTCCAAACTTAGTTTTAACCTTTGTATTCACAGATCCTCATTAAGTGCTTGGCAGTCCTTCAAGAAGTTCCAAGTGCTACTTTGCAAAGAAAACACGCGGGATGTTATGAGAGTATCCAGCATATGATAGCTTGTACTTCATTTTATACAGCAAAGGTATTGTGTATCTTATTGTGCTTACAACTTGGTTTAAGATATAGTTTTTGTCATGAAGAAAAGGTCTTATAAGGTAGCCTTCAGAGTGGTATTTTATAGAAACATCCTTCTTAAATATCAAAGGTATGGAAATATTTATTAATATTTTTTGTGTTATTTTTGTCTTTTCTATAATAATGACTTCGACTTTTTAATAAAACAGAATTTTTGTTCAGAAAATTTTAATCATTAGCCAGTGACATTAGGTTTGTATCATTCTATGTGCTTTACATCTTATACCTTCTTCCAAATAAAACTACTTTAAATATAAAATATAACCTTAGAAATTCTATACAAAGAACTCATAGTGTAATTTTAATCAGATTAACATGTATGGTTTAAGGACATAAGGAAGAATGCGATGCATTTAAATATTATTTCCAGAGGTAGAGCCATGTTAGATTCAGAATTCATGTCCTTGTAAATGTATGACCTTGGAAAAAGCAGATTCTCTTTAACTTTGGACACCCCCAGCCAAGAGTCACTTCTGAAGCTGAGCTGCTGCTGCTGCTGCTGCTGCTGCTTTTAGGGATTCTCCTGGGTTGGCTGTTCCGTTGCCTCAGGCCTTGTAGAAGCTTCATCTCTGCATTTAGCTCACAAGCCCGTATCATCATCAAAAGTTCTGAGTGCTTTGCAAGACCCAGTTGACATTTTTCTAAAATATATAAAGATGAGTTTGTTTTCTCATGTGTTGTCAGGGTTTTTTTGGTATTAATCAGCTTTTCTTGTCTGTGAGGGCTGTGTGTGCAATGAGGGCTGCCTGCTGCCTAAGGGCTGGGAAGCCGCTGCAGATCCCAGTCAGCAGAGCAGCCGGCAGCCTCCACAGCCAGCGCTTGTCCATCTCCAAAGAGCAGGGCAAGCTTGGGAGAAGTAGCCAGGTTCAATCAAGAGTCCATGGCACCGGGCAAGTTTATGATGATGGGTCAGGTCCAAGGTCAAGACAGAAAGTCAGTCTCTAGGTCACAGTGAGGTGTGGTAAAGGTAAAGAGGGTCAGGCACTGTCCAGTGTTGGCTAGACAGGTTTATCATGAAGAGAAAGGTCTGAGATCAAGCCAGGAAGTCAGCCCATGTGGCAGGATCCAAATCAACAAGATTCATTGTCCGACAAGGGCCTGACTGTGGTAGAGGTGGGGGCCAAGACCCTAATGGTGTTGCTGCCATAAGGACTGGCAGTCCTGGGCTGATTTCAAAGGGGGCTTCTGTGCATGGATAGGGAGAAGCAGCAGATGAGACCGATCAGGACCAGCAAGGTGTGTCAGTGTAGTCAGGACTCTAACAGGCTGTCTTCCCTGGCTCTTGCAGTACAAATCATGGTGGCTGCCAGCTTCAGTGCTGTTGCCTCAGTTGCAAAGTGTTGACTGTAAATGTGGCACTAGGAAAATCCATTTTCTACTGTACTTGAATCATTACTCTTGTTCATCTCAGGAGAAACCTAACTTGTCAGCATTTCTGGAGCTTACCATGTTTTATCCAATTCAGATCTTCTTTTCCGAGTCCAAGACCAGAAAATGCACCAGATTAGAGATGTATTTGCATAAGGAACTCGCCATTGCATAAGTAATTCCAGATTCATTAACAAAGAGAAACAGTAATTTTATGGAAAAATAAGGTGTGTTTGATGTCCAGCAATGATTTTTGAGGGGGTAACCCATGAGGCTTTTGCAACCTGTCGTTGACAATGGAGGAAGTACTTGTTGGAGGAGATGCTTTTGGAAAAAGAGATATTTAAATCATCTTGTATCTTAATTTCCAAAATACCTTTCGTGCTTTGAGGCAATGGCTTTCTTTTTCTAGTGCTATTTGCAGTAGAACTAATCAATGAACTTATTATTTTCTGTTCAAGAATGAACATGACGGACCTAATCTTATTGATTCACTTTCCTTAATCTTGAAGGTGTCAAACAATGACAAATAGCTAGAGCTCAGGTGGCTTCTACCAGTTAAATTCTCTAGAATTTATAAAATGTATTTGGAAAAATATTTCATAGTCCTGAACATCATGATTAAAAAGAATATTCCTTTACAGATAAGTATCCCAGTGAAGATACTTTTATTAAGCTCATTTCACTGAAATCTGTTTTCAACATGTACAGTATTTCTTACAATCTTAAGCAACTGCATTAAGACAGATAGATTACAAGTATGTTCCTCAGATATTTGCTTGTGACAATTTCCTTACATCTCTTGTCAGTTCTAAGGTGTGTTTTTTTCCAAGTAAGATCGATAAATTTTCCTCCAAAATACCTTAATACTCTGCCTGCTTGTTGTTTGATTCCCCAGGTGAATGACTGTCTGCTCGTGTTGTTGATTTTATTCTCCTTTGACTTAGAATTTCAAAAGAATATCATACATTTGGTGAATTGCAAATTCTTATGATTAATCCATGGCGTATAGCTTTCTATAAAGTTAAATTCTGTCCACATACTGTATTTATCCTCAAGTAATCTGTACACATATTTTCTATCCCAAAGGCAGATAATCACAAAGATTTTCTAAATGAAGTTACCTTACACACTTTAAAAGTACTTCGTCCACTAGTGTTCTCTCTAAAGATAAAGCCACCTAAAAACACCCCCCCCTCAAAGTTAGTTCATAAATGTCATTTCCTTTCTCTAACACTGTTGAGAATTGCATATGTGCAGTCAATACCAGTGATGTAAATGAGGATCATTTGGGAACCCTTTGTATTCTTTGGTAGCAGTGCTGCATGAGGACAGGGAGTACGTCAATCACGGCAACATTTTTAGTCAAATCTTTTTACTCTCTGATAGTTAGGGTCTATGCTTAAGCAGCAGTAGAACGTTTCTATAGCCTGTAGGCCAGGTGTTTATTTTATTAATTGCAAATTAATTGTTGAGTAATTAACTTCTGTCTGTGGTATTAATAATTGTGATCCATTTTAGGAAATGTAATGATAATAATAATTAATCATTCTGTGCTCTGCAAAATGAAAATATTTAACAGGTGATTCTTTAACAGGTACTACGTTCATGGAAAGAATATGAACTGGCAGTAATTGTTGTTAACTACGGCAAAAAATTGCTGAGTTCCCTACAGTCAACTTCATTGTACCAGTCAGGAGCAACAAAAACTGAAGAAACATCCGCTAAGACAGACTTTGAAGTAATTACTCTGATTTTCACTTTCTCTTTTCTCTAAGTGCAGCATTGTACTAGCTTAAGGACCGTATTTATTAACTTTTTGTTCTAAGGTGATTTTATAGAATAAGAGTTCCCAAACTCAGGTATCTGAGAGGCCTCTGTGTAACTGTAGCCATGTTTTTAGGATGAGCTGCAGGTTAAAGTGGATCCAGGTTCCCATCTGGTTGAACTGGTTAGCAATATTCCAAGTCAGAGCCATGAGGATCTTGCAGATATCAATACCAGCGTCTCTAAGTGATTTACACATGTACTCTGCAGGAATACTCTATTGGACAGGAGATGAATTAAAGAATTGTACAAGAATCTCAGGAATATCCTTCTTAATATAGAAACATAACCTTTGCATTGTGCAACAGCTGCTTGAAACTGTTTTATAGTAGGAGAGTGATTTCTCTGAGATATTTAGTCCTCAGAGAGCTTATTATTAGGTTGAAAAGAGATGCAGTGGTAGTCTGTTGAGTTTCCTACAATGTAGAATCAGAGGAAAGATATTTTGCAAATGTTATGTTGTTTCTGCAGACTTTTCTATCTGTTTTTTTCTTGAAGCTGAGATAGATTGAAGAGAAGGGCAAAAGATCAATGACTTGAAAGGATTTCAGGAGTAGTATTTGTAGGATACTGATAACATACAGTAGAAATGACTTTTTTTAATAGCTGAGCTTTTGATGGCTTCTCCCAAGTTTATACCAAAGAAAGAAAAGGAGTATAAGATCATAGGAAAAATATTATTCTATATTAAACAATATGATTTTACTGAGCAGGGTTGATTGAGAATTATATTTTCACTAAAATGAAAAAATAGAAACTCTGTCTACTCTCCAGAGATTTTGTTTGTTGTAGAAAGTAAAATCTACAAAACATTTGTTTTTATGAAAACCAATGTATTTTGTCAGAGAAAAAAGCTGAAATATCTTTTTTGCTATACCAGTGGGAAAAAGTATTTAATGGCAAAGCAACCCTAATGACTCCATTGGAGATTGGTCAAAAATGAATTATGCTCAATTTTTTGATAAAAAAAGTTAAAAATGAACATAAATTTTAACTCAGTTGAAAACCAAAAACAGGACAATATCGATTAAATCGCTGCATTTAGAATTAGAATACTTGGAATCTAACCTGAGTCCTACTATTGACCTTCTGTTTTCAGTTAAATAAAAGCTAAGTTCTCATAATTAATCTTTGATGTTCCAGAACACTTCTGCAAAGATATCTCAGTTAGCTGCAATGGAAAAAGCAGCAGAAAATCTAAATGCACTTGAATCAAATCTACTTAAACTGACTAAACCCGGTGGGTGTAGTTTTAAAAACTTTATACCTTTTCTGATACAGTTTTCTGTGGTTTATCTGTAAAATTTATTTGCCTAAGAAAATAATTATATTAAATATATATTCCATCCTATAGCCAGCAAAATCACGATTTCATTATTCATCTTCTTTATCTGTGTATAATGACTTATATGTGTCTTTTTAGTCATTTCCACAAAATATCATTTCTTCTTAGAAAAAAGAAGTGTCACTTTTTCTTTTCTGCTATCATCTGCTATCATGTATGTTCTCCTAATCTGTGTAAATCTTCTTAAATCAGCAAATGCAGTGGCAAAACTCATTGCTCATCTATAGCTTATGTAATTTCAGAGTCCCACCATTCCTAGTAGTAAGGTCCAATGCAAGAAATTTCAGTGGAAAGAAAGAAAAACAAAAATATTCCTCTTTTAAAGGAATTACCGTAATTAGCTTGTAACTTAACAATGAATATATCAGCTTTAAAATAGCTCAGGATCTGGATGAAGCATAGGATTTTTCAGGATAGTTGTTCTGTCAGAGGTAAATGAAGTAGAAAATAAGATTTATGAACAAATATGATTAAAAATTAATTTAGAGCTGCTACCATTTTTTTCCTATCAACTACCTGACAACTTGTATTCCTTAGTGCCTACACAGAATCATTTAGTTTGGAGTGTGTTTCTGGATGTCATCTAGTCTGTCCTCATCCTTGAAGCAGGTCCAGTTAGATCTCTAAAGAAGAAAATTACACATTTGTGGGCAGCCTTTTCCTATATTTGACCACCCTTATGATGAAAAGGCTTTCTCTTTTGGAATTTTCCAAAAAGTTCTTCTCTGTTTGGAATTTCCTGGTTCCTAGCTTGTGTCCCTTGCTTCTTGTGCTGTCACTGTGCACTTAGGAGGACTGGCTCCAGCTCCTCTGTCTGCTTTGCATAGTTGTGGCCTCTGATAAGATCTCCCCTTAGTCATTTCTTGAATAAATTTCATGAATAAATTAAAATAAAATTTCATGAATAAATTAAAATAAACTTAATGAATAAATTCAGCTCTTTCAGCCTCTTTTTGCATGTCGTGTGCTCCAGCTCCTAGTTATTCTGGTGACCATCTGCTAGATTTATTCCAATATCCCAGTGTCTTCCAGTAGGAGTCCAAAACTGAACATGGTGCTCTAGAAGTCATCTTAGAAGTGCAGGACAGAGGAAAATAACCACTTCCTTTGCCCTGCTGGCTACCCTCTTTCTAATAAAGCCAGTATGCAATTGGCCTTTGCTGCAGGCACACACAGCTACCTGTCCACCACGTGTGTGTATGCATTTGTGCTTATATCTATATACGTGTCCCAGAAGTGAAAATATTTCTGTAACATACAAAAAATGTGTGACACACAAATTCCAATCGTCTGTGTGCTTGACCCTTCTGTTTTTTCTACTGATATGGATGCCTGTATCCATGCAGAACAAGTTATAGGACCAACAAAATCTGTGAGATAAATGAAAATTATATTGATTATTTAATAGAATTATGTCCCATTTATACTTCAATGGGTTAATCAGAGAAGAAAACATTTTCAGCATTTTAAACATACTTTTCAGCATTTTCAGCATTTCAAACATACGTTTTGCTGAAGTTCTTACTCTATTGCTAAAATAGGATATTTGTTAATGAGTTTCAAGAATATTTCTGCAAAATTAATAAATGGATATATACATGAAAATAACTTTGCAGGAGAAAAAAAGACCATTTCATAATTTCTGGAGGGGAAAAGGATTAAATTGCTCAGATTAAATAATGCAAACTGATAGAAGAATCTTCTGCTGAGACCATGCATAGCAAATAACGAAGCTTACAACTGCTATTACAAATACTTCCAAGGGGTTTAGGACAATAAGTGCACTTGTAGGATGAGCAGTTAAAATATATTGGCTCAGCACAAGATTTTTTTGGTCCTACTTGTCTATTAAGACAAAATAGCAAATTTTGCCACATTGTTCTGGTGTTCATGAGCTGGTAGCACAGTGGTGTTTAGCTGTCAAGAGGCTTAAATGCAATTTATTGTTCACCTGTATATGTATCTATCTTATTCACCTTCAGTTACATATGTTATAAAATATTGTTATGTAAATATTTAGGTGAACAGTATGTATGTGTGTACTTAGGATCTCCATATAGTGAGCATGTGTGTTAGCACCAGTCACCAGTAGCATCATGAGTTTAATTCACTGTGCTTATCATTAAATACCATTTTTGGACATTTCTTTACTGCACATCCTCCTCCACAGATGGTTTATATGAATATTTATTAGTCCTCTGATAAACTCCAAACACCTTCCTCTTTGCTCTAGTATAAGGGAGTTTATTGGTCACATCCTTAAGCTCTTCATTACTGAAGCCGAAGAGCTTCTAAAGAGAATAAAAGGGCAAACTTTTCAATGTTTGTGTGGATGACAATGAGACATTTAATAGCAAACTGTTGTCTAAAGTTTTGTTTTTCTAGTCTTCAATTATGATTACAGGTAAAGATCCTATTTTAAGCCATCACTACTTGTCATAATGGATTTTGTTTTGGTTATTGATCTAGTACCTGCATCAGAGCTTACAGGACAGGAAGATCCTTTGTTCCTCTACCCTATAATTTCATGTTGGACAACAAAGAATGCTTATCGAGAAGGTAGGATAATGGGGATTTGTTTTTAAAGGCTTCTTTAGTTTAGAAAGTTGCCAATAAAGGATTTTGATTGTACTTGACTTTTTTATTGTTTGCAATAAGCTCTTGGAAACTTTTTCTTCATCTTGATTTCACCTGTAAAAAAAACAAGTACAATATACCTTTAAAATTCTCTAATACAGTCATGTTTTGAAGTGTGTGAAATACTTGAAACAAATTATTTTAGATATCTAGAAAACTAAATTTTTGAAGTATTGTTATTTTAAATGAAATTACATTCGTTTTGTAATAAACTTGAAAAAGAGCTCATTTTGTTGAAAAATGTGTCAGATTTCTGATGGCCTTTCTCTTTTAAACTGAGATATTCAATTTCCACATTAAATTATGTTACTGAGAGAAAAAATCTCAAAAGAATCTTGAGTTTCAAAAACACTTATGTTTCTGAAACACTTTGTGCCAGCTGTGTGATGGCTCTACACTAGTGTGGGTGTCACTGAGAAGAGCAGCCTAAGTGAAGAGGGTGCAGTTACTTTGTTTATTTTACTTTTTTATTTTTTTCAGACTTTTCAGGCATGTGTACATGTACTGATATTCTACTGAGTTTGAATTTTATTGTAATACGATATAAAAATAGTTCTAAAATGGGTTCCTTTGGCCCTAAATGTTTGCCGTTCTAGAAGTATAGAGTGAAATTCTAGAAACCAGGTAACAAGCAGAAATACTCGGCAAGTGCTTTTGTATTTCATGACATCAAATTTTGTTATCAGTATGTATTTTGTTTATCAGCATGCAACATAGCCTAACAACATGTAATAAGTAGTAGCTGAATTCAGAAGACTGTTACAACATAAATACAAAACAGTTGTAACTATGTATTACCTTTTTGCAGTGATGAAATTCAGAAAGAAATCTCGTTTTCTTGAGTACTTTGTTCAAGTTTTGCACAAACTCCTGAATGAAGAGAAGTTTCAAAAATGTCTGGAGTGGACAGACAACGTGCAGCATTACTTAAAAATGTAGGTGTCTATTATAGTAGTATCAAAAAATTGCTACTTAGGTTCATCAGTGTCTCAGTTATAGCAGAATCTGTAGATTGTATTTGGTAGGAGTCCTATCCAGAGCCATTTTCATGGCTCCTAGTCTATAGAAGTCCTGTGAACACAGAGGATTATATAACTGCAGAAATGATTCATGTGACATTATTATATGTGGATACATCTTCCTTGACTGTGTGCTTCCAAAATGCCTGTCTGTTGTTAATCTTTCTGTCACCCAAGCTTGTCCCTTTCACAGACATTGCTTTGTTATTTGACCACTAGACCTATTATTATGAGGCAATGTGATAATAACATTTCCTATATTCTACTAGGATGGAAGTCTGAAAAGTGTGTTGAGTTAAATCAAAAGGAAACTCATCAGGGACTATTTAATTGTCTAAAAAAATAAATTATCAGATAAAGCATAAAAAATAAATTATCATATAAAGCATATTGTATCATGAAGGATCATGATCAAGAACTATGTACACTGGGGTTTCTATTTCAGCATGTTAATAGCATAATATTTAGTGCTAATACTTAATGTATTAGGTAACTTTATGTAGCTGTTTAGTAACTATGTATTCATTCATAGAAATACATAAAGAGCCATAATTTTTTTCTAGAAAAAAATGAATCTTTGTTAAAATATGATGCATTACTATAGAAGAGTAATGTATGGTTGTGTAGGTGCCAGTAATCAAATACAGGAGACATACAAAAAAAATGTCTCTAAAAAGGGCTAAATAATTCATACTGAAAACATAAAGTCATTTCCCTAAAATGAGACCAAAGAAATATAAAATGATTTTAAAAGCCGAACAGTATTCCTGTAATTTGAAAGGCAAGTGATCACAAAAGAAGGAAATATGTTGTGGGGAACTGTTGTTATAAAAGACCAAAAGGATTATAAGCAGATAAAAATTTCTTTATAAGAAGATAAAAAGTTCTCAGCAGTCTTCCACAGTAGAACTTGGATAATGGAGCAAACTGTTTACTTTACTAGGAATTAGGAAAGTGAGATTGTTGTTACCTATACATTAAGATTTGAATAAAGATCTTGAGAATGAACACTCCCTTGTAGGGAGAAAAATGAAAGGATAGATACTTCAGGAGTTTAACATTATTGTTTGTTTGTCAGGAGGAATGACTACCTTCTCGGTATTGAAGGAACTTTAAGAAGAGAAACAAGTTTTCTTTCTGTTCACGAAAGCCCAAGGAGACACACTTCAGCTCTTCTGGACTTTCACAGAGTGAGTCATGTATGTCATTAATGGGCACAACAGTAATTTTAAAAAGCTGTCTCCTAGAAATTACACATGGAGATATACAGAAAAGTAGGCATTGGAGGTATTTTAAAGGTCAGCATTTGTAGGTTCTTCCAGATGAGCTAGAGAAACAAATTTCAAAATTATTGCAAATTAAAACTGATCATTTAGATTAAGTATGTCTAGTATATTTAAGATTTTAATGGAAGTTTTTTTTTTAAGAGCTTGGAGATCACACCTTCTAAGAAACTAGAGACATCATCTTTGAAGATACCAAGAAAAGAAGTTTGTAGCCCTGTTAAAAAAGTGCAGACTCTTAGACAGTATTTGGTGAAATATCCAAACATAATGAAATATCCAGAAGCGCGAAGGTAAATGAGCATATGAACCAAATATTTTGACTGAATCATAGTTTACAATTAAGTATATATGTATTTTTTTCTAAACTTGTATGAAAGGAATCCCTCCATCTGGGTTTAGATATGCCAGGAGTTACACATTTCATTTACTTTTCTGTTTTATTTTGGTATAAAATATGCTTCCAGTCCAGAGAACAAAATCGATTTCATTGCTACATCAATGAATATCTGTAGAAGATTTTGAGGTCTTTGTATTAATAATCTATGACCATATATTTCAGTTATTTTAGCTAGAGCAAGTTAATTCAACATGGTGCAAGCTACATTAAGCTGCATACTGTCTTACGTATTTCAGACTGCTAGGAATCTTTGACCAGTAGATATCTAAAAAAAGCTTTTTTAATTTGTATCAGATCGGGATTATTTTTCAGAGCATTTTTTGTCGTCTTTTTGCTGGGCTTTTTACCTCTTCTGTTTTCCAGCTTTCAAAAAACTTCCTTCATACAAACCACTGAAACTTTATTCACTATTTCATTTCTCATATAGTTAAACATACTTAGCCAAGCTCCAGTAATTAGCAACTAGAAAACTAGAAATATTACCTGACTGTAAGTAATCACATAACTTATTCTCAAAGTGCTTTAAATGAAGAACTGAAAAGTCTTTTATACATAATCTTCCAAATATTGACTTCAACTATCCTTTCTTCCTCTTCTAGAATAAGAGGACCTCACTTTCATGACTTCAGTGGAAGAAGGGGCATTTTACTTATCCTGAGTTTTTACTCCTTCAGCTACCCTTTTGTGTCATTATTATTGATCAAATATTTTAAAACTTATTGTATATTAGTTACATAACAGTATATATAATATATAGCATATATATTATATACTATAATATACTATATAGTATATATATACTATAGCATACTATATACTACAGTATATATACACTATATAGTGTGTATATAGTATATATAGTGTAGTATAGAATATATAATATACTCTATTATATTTTAGAGAGAACAGTAATAAGTAATATTATATATATATGAAATACTATTCTACTCATGCAGAAGTCAAAACTTGCAGAAAAAAATTAGAAATATAAAAGAAAAAGAGTCTAGTTTTTTGAAAAGAAAATTGAAAGGTTTTTTGATTATTGCATTGCATGCATCTCCACAGAGAGAAAATACAAAGTAATTAAGGATTCCTTGATCTGACAGAGAACCTCATAGCAAGATCTGTGACTTAAGTTTCAAAGCATATATCTGTATTTGAAAGTAAATGTCTTTGTCACACAGATGTCAATTTGCTACCAAAATAAAGTAATAAAAAGAATGATTTAAGCTTACAGCATAATAGCTGATCCTCTATCTTCTGTGTAAGTCACACTTTATGTGCTGTAATGATTTATTTGGAGGATTCAGGTATAAGTACCTCAAAGCATACAGCTAATTATTTTTGTATTTACTAAGAATAATATTTTAAGGAAGACAGTAAAAAATAAGATAGGATTTAGTGTGTGTTAAGTGTGCTTAAAGAGAGAAAACATGATTTACATTACAGATTACAGATACTTACAGGAGTTGCTGTAAATATCTTCCACACTGCAATAAATATCCTATTGCTAGAAATCTGTAATATGCTTCTGAATTAGTACAAGTCTGTGGATACATAATGAGATTCTTTTGTGAATCTTTATCATTATTTTATTTTGTAGACCTTTGAAAAGTAGTTTCATTTTTTTGTTACTGCAAATATATATTTTGATTTAGGCAGCACAGAGAGGAGTTACAAAAGGTAGCTCGTCACACCTTGGTTGTATTCCTGAAACCGCTTGTGACTAGTTTCTTAAATCGAAGGAAGCTTCATCAAGCATATATTGAGGAGATGCCCTGGAGGTCTCAGATGAATATTTATCTGGCAATCATACACTATAACTTGTTTAAGAAGAAGTTGGGAGAGCAACACGATGTCGGAATTTGTGTTTCACAGCATCACAACAGGTATATCTTCACTGTATTATCGGCGATTCTTGTTAATATACTGTTCCATTCATGCTAATAGATTTAAATGGCAATATCACTAGTGAGGTTTGCTGTATCACCAGTTCAGCTTCTACATGAATTTACTATGTTTCCCTTTTGTCATCCATCATATGGCAGGTGACATGCACTTTTTTTTTGGCTGCTCACTCAAGTATTCTTTTTCTTAAAACAGGGAAGACTTTTGAAAGTGAATGATTTTTGAGCAACTGATTTTTGTGTTTATATATAAAAAATCTTTTTAATATACCTGTTTTTTCATGCTTTCTTCTTTTTTTGTTTCATTCTGCAGTTACAGTGTTCTGGACCCTGAAATATTCTCATTAAGTTATTCTGGCACTGTGGTGGTAAAAGAAGTCATGGAGGATAACATAAAACCAACTCCTCTTCTCCTTAAGAAGTCACATTCAGAAATGATCAAAAAAAAAACTTGTAAGAACTTTTAATGGATACGCAAATGGAATCAGATTTTACTTAGTGTTTCCTTTATTACCTCAGATAGCATTACTAGAGGGTACATCTAGTTGTATTAATATGAAAACATTCCAGAATGTTCTAAATTCAATTATATTTTCTATCAATTTCTGTGACAATTATCTGTTCTGTAATTTCTTTTAGATTTCATCACTTATCAATAATTTCTTGGTCTTTCTTAAATTGTTGAACAAAACATTATTATCTTAGGTGGGGCTCAGGCCTAAGCTTATCCTTTTAAGGAGATGTGACAAAATTACCTGATGAACTCACTGGTTTTCTTTGCAGCAGCATAGTCATAGCTCTGCCCTTCCGTTTTTCATGAAGTTTACAAGTCACCAAGAACTGAGCAGGGGGGTTGAGTACAAGTCACTAAGAACTGAGCAGGGGGTTGAGCAGGGGGGTTGGACTAGATGACCTCTGAGGTCCCTTCCAACCTTAAGCATTCTATGATTCTGTGATTCTAACTGAGATTCACTGAAAACAAATGAAAAACCTGTTTCTTTTTATTTTCCCCACTCTTGTAACAGTTTTGAATGAAAGTTTTCATGAAGCTTGCAGTTTGCCATGCTGTTCAAATGCTGTTTATCTTGAAATATTCTGCTCTGAAACCTATCTTTATCTCAGATACTACTTTATTCTTTCATGATATACCCTCTTGCCTCTCCCCTAAGAACTTTTCTTATTGAAAGAAAAAAACAAAAAACAAAAAAGTGAAGCAATTCTACAAATAATACACAATCTTCCCTGTTTTACAGTTTCTTCTCTTAAGAAACATTTCCCTCAGAAAGCTTCCTGGGAGCAGATGGTGATTTCTTATTAAACTTGGAAACTTCTACAAGGGTTGCATTTGGACTTAAAGTCTGGAAACTGCTTGGTGCACATTACTGTTTTACTTAACCTGCTATTTTTTTTTTTAAATCCTTGCCTCTCCTGCTAGATAAGTATAGGCATCTTTTATTTTAAATATCATAACCTTATAAAATATGATGACCTTAACTCTGGCATTTCCTAACATTAGAGTGTTTAGGTGCCACTGGAAAATCTTAGCTGACCAATAACACTTTCTTTTTTTAATGTTTCTGAGAACTTTAAATCATTCTAACCAGTGAAATTTTTGTCTTCAGATACAGCTAAATCTTCTGAGCACAGCTCTAAATCAAGCGAGACAGATGATACTCTTCAAACTCAAACGACGAATGAGTCATATTCAGAAATGTCCATCTCATTTTCCCCCAAAGAGCATGACCAGTTTCCGACAAAAAGTGCATTTTCAGACCATTTTATAAAAATATTTCTTCATTTAAGAAGAGCAGTGGTAAAGTACATTTTATTAAATACTTACTACTAAACAATAAATTGCAATACCTAGTACTTTCTACATCTTTAAAAACAATCTTCAGTTTTAAAAAAAGCTTCAGTGAGAAAAAGCAATGATTTTCCATTCTCTGCCAAATATTCAAGTACAATGTATCAAATATATCAGATATTTATTGTACTTAGTGTACATTTCAATCAAATGTTTAATTATTTAGGTAATTGTTTTTCTCTTTTTCATTTTGTCTTTCCTTCCAGTGTCTTATCCCAAATGTCTTTCCCAAAACATCTCCAGACTTGCTTCTGTCTTTATTAGATGGTGTGGTACAAAAATATCAGCAATTGAAATATAGGCTGACCATTCTTCCTATAAATTCTTGTAAAAAAAAAGTTCAAACATGTTTATAGGTGGTGTCAATTACTTTTTTAATAAATTATTCTCACTCCAGAAACAACAAATAAAATAAAAATAGAATAAATTTTTAGGTGTCTAAGAAAATGTTCAAATTAAGATTTGATGTTTTCTATAAGCTCAAATTTTGAGTAAATCTGCTATTAGCGGGGACTGGTGGATTATAATTTTGAAAGATTACTTATACCTTCACCTTGTGTTTAAACAATGATGCTTTCCACTTTTCTTTTTTCAAAGTGTAGTTATATTTTACATGTTACACATAGGTTCTTGCTCATCGTGGTGGCCACTGGACGTTGCTTCAAAATGCTTGCCGAGAACTTTGGAACTACGCTCAAGAAGCACAATCGATTGCTAAACATTCCCATTCCCATCCAGGTTTTACCAGAGATTTTGTTAGGGACACCATCTGGCTGCCATTTTATTTGGCATCAGACATGATCATTGACATGATAACTGAGCTACAATCAAGTAATTCTCTTAAGGTAAGAATGTATTTTTATTAAGACAGCATGCTCATGCTAACATTCCCCACAGAGATAATTTTCTTGCTACTGCATTTCATTTTGATATCACGTTGTCTTCTGTAACTGAATTTTAGAGAAGTACAGTGCTTTCTAATCTTCATAATTTTATTTCTACTAAAAACAAGTTTGAAAGTAACAGGTAGTGTTATCTTTCTTCATTGTAGGTTATGGATCCTGAAGGAGATTTCTGCATTCCTAGTTGTTTAGGAGGTATTACTGATGAGAATGGTGGTTCTAATCTCCACCCACAGTCTCCTCTGGATGATGTGAATTTGATTGATTTGAGGTGGATATGTAATCTGGTCCTTAAAACAATCGAACTGTTATATCAAATGAAGAAGTGGGAAGCACTGATACACATAGCTGTACAATTTAACGTATTTACACAGTAAGTTACAGAAAATAACAGAAACAACAACAGCAACAAAAAGACAGAAATCAACATTTTATAGTTAATGATATTTTGATTTATGATTATATTTTGCTTTTTGTTTCAGTGAGAGATATACAGAACAAGTGAGTCCACTGTTGGTGTATGCTCAGAGGCAGCTGCTAGGAAGGATACAACAATTCAGTGGCCTTCATAACCCTAAATCACATTTCATAAAATATCTGACTGATAATACAGACAAGGTGAACCACAGATTTACTTTTTTGAGTACTTTTTTGAGTTACTATAACCTAAATCCAGAAGACTGCTTTCACTCATGAGATTCCTATGTTTTTCCATAATGTTCACAAATAGTAATTCATAATAAGAAATTAATGACCAAAATTGATTGAAGTGTATGTAAAGGCATATATAGCAAAATTCCAGCAACAGCAGAGGTCTGGACTTTATGACCCAGAAACGATTTCTTCCACCCTTGCATAATTGCTTGTATTATGAGCCTCAATCAAATTTTATATTAATTTCTGATGCCAATGTTTTAACCCATTTAAAACATTTATTTGGTTATGTGGTAGCTTTTATGATTGATTAAACTTAAATGCAAAGATTGTTTTATTTCTGTGTTGGAATTTTTCTCTAAAAGGTCAAAATTAAGAAAAATGAGCTTATTAGGCAAATTTTGCCATTGGCAAAAGTTTCATAGGATCAGCTATCAAAAATACGATTTTTAATATAAAGTTTATTTCTAAGAAGTTTTGCTAAAATAAGTGGGCAGTAGATATTTTAAGCTTTTTATTTATAAAGTAACCTAAACCCAGGATTTAAAAAAAGTGGAATTTATATTTGAAGAGAGTATAGTTCTGAGCTTTGTGAGCTGAAACAAAAAAATGATCATGAAACAAAACTTCCTTTTCAGATGAGCTGCAGAAACTACATAGGGAATCAGCTGCCTCTTGTCCATGCACCTTGTGAAAAGATCTTTCCTGGATGCTTTTCCTCTCCTGCGATGAAGAATTATTATATAGGCCATAGCACATTTCAGTATAGTGAGTTCTTTTTCTTTAAAAAGCTTTCTTTTGCTTCATAGTGGGTATTTTATTTTTTTGCATTCATTCCTCTTGTAAAGACTTTCACTATTGCTATAATCTGTTTCTTTTTATAAGTTCAGTTCTCCTCCAGCTATTATTCTGAAGAGGCCTTGATATTTTGATGGATAGTAATGTTCTGAAGACCTTTCCAAACAGATTCACACTGGATCTGAGAGCAGAGAAAAGCAGATGTCATCCAAATGCCTCATGACCTACAGCATGATGTATACACTTGGTGGCTTTCTGTGGGCATTGCTGAGTACCCAAAAGAAGTATCCAGTTGCAAAGCTACACTGTCCTTTATAAAGGGAATAGAAAAATCCAAGTCCAAGGGGACAGAAGTTTTGCTAAGAATTATATTTGTATAATTATTTTCTTTCTCCATAATTAATTCCCTCTAGGTTATACTCAAGCAAAATGCCTGGTTTATGTACCCCTTGATGTGAATGACACACTGAAATGTTTTAGAGAAACTCTAGAAAAATCTAAATATCACAGCAGAGCACTGAGACACAGCAGAAAACTACTTGCATTATTTCTTGCACACACACAAGGTGAGTTTATTCATTTAAGTGTTCCCCAATTAACAATAAGTTGTTAATTAAAAGAAAGTTCCTTTCATTATTTCTTATTTTGACTTTTTAAAATCAAGATTTAGTTTTTATTAAGATTTAGAAAAAAAAACTTAGAAAATATTTGAATTCTAACTGAGCCAAAATATATAAACCAGCACTACTTATATCAGATTGTTTATATTTTCTTTCTTTCTAATTTCTAGTAAAGTAGTATATGAAGGTTCTGTAAGCCTAATCTGTAGGCCTCATTTCTTATGATCTGTTTCTCATGATTGGGCGACAGATTTTTTTTAATATATACAGTTGTGTTACCTGTAAGTATTTTTACAATGTTGGATATTCTGGTGCCTAATAACTTGTCATCTCTGCAGCTAGAAATCAGTCACAAGACTGACTGGCAGCTCTTGGTGAGCTTTTTTTTTCCTCGGTCTGGGCACATATTTTCATTTGGCTGAGCTGTCCAATGAGTTATGACTAATGGGTCAAATTAAAAGGGGACACATGAACAAAATCATGGCGTAGAAAACCAAATTGAAAGAGCACATAGAAAAAATATTTCCTTTTTTTAATGCAATATTATTCTAAACTAAGCATATAAATTGCTTTTCTGATGTAGAAAATGTCGGAAGAACAATCAGTCAGATCTCTTCAAAAAGAAGGCTGAAATTTAGTGTGGGAGCTGAGCTGACATTTCTGCCGACACCATGTGACCTTTCTCAAGAAAATTTTAATTTCTCCAATATGGTTGAGAGAAAACCAATACCACAGTCACAGCTTTCAGTCATTATTTCTTCCTATGAAAAAACAATTGGTAAATCATTTATAAAAAATTATCTTTCCAGAAAACATGTGACTTCATTCTGCCTGTGTTCATATTTGTTCACTCTACTGTTACTTTCCTCAGTGTGAGGAGCGCCTTGCTGCTTGGTGATGTCCTGAAATACGTAACCATTTTTTTTTCTGTTTATTCAAAAAAAAGCATACCTTAGATACTAAACAAGCCAATAGTTTGTTCATGTCCTTTGCAGTTATCTCCTCTTATGAAAAATCTTTTATTTAGTGGAGCAATAGCAATCTGCTATTATCACAATCCACATCCATATCCACAATCGTGCCAGCAATCTGCTGGTGTGTTTAATGGATGTTTTTATTCCGTGATTTTGCCCTGCATTTGCCCCTCGCCAAGAAACTGAGCTTCCAGATTCTGTGCATTTGAACACGAGACATGATTATTTGATTTCCATCTTGCGTTCTTCTATGACTTTACTCACACATGCATAGTTCAGTGCTGCTACCTGTTTTGTTCTGTGACAAACAGCCCAAAAGTGGCAAGTCAACAGATGTTTTAAGCAGTTTTATCTGAAGTAAGGAATCCAGAAATGAGCCAGAGGAAAGGAATCCAGAGCAGAACCACTGCTGTGTGCAGGCAGTGTTCTTTAGCAGGGCTTTGGTCAGTGGCATGCTCCCCAGTTTTACTCTGGATGAGGAAGAAATTTGGGAAGGTGGGGAAAAAAAAAACAACAGTTGAAGTAAACAGATCTATGAATACATGGATGAATACATTATTTTTAGAGTTAGAGAAATGAGATAGGAACATGTATAGTCAGACATAAAATAGGCATCTTTTGAATCTTGCAAAAAATTTTACATATTGAATTACCTTTGAATGTACATGAACTCATGCAGAATTTGTTTAAGATTCAGCAATTGATTTTAATAATATGACTTTTTTTTTTCTAATTGTTTAAAACATAACAGAAATCCTGGAAATAAATAACCAGAGAGACCTCAAGGTTCAGGCTCTACATGAACTTGGAAATCTTCACTTCTATGCTGGAAACAAAAGGTACATACTGATTAAAAAAATGTATTTGATGCTCATATAGACTAAACTCTCTTGTAAGTTCATATGCTGTCTTGAAGAAATTCATATTTCTTCATATATCACAGTATTGGCTATACTTTGAGAGACATTTTCCAGAAAAGGTTTATTTTTCACTACTAGTTCATTGTAACATTAAGCATCTCTGCAGTTTTCGGAAGTAATATTTATCATTTGACAGCTTAGTCTTAATAAAAGTCTCTGTGATTGTGTTGACCAGAAATGAAATCTTTTTATGTTGTAGAAACGATATTTCAATTTTTGACCTAATCAGAATTAGTTGTAACTCAGGCAATAAAGATAACATAAAACTCGTCTTATCACCCACTTTGGAAAATGTCAGCAATATGATGAGTATGCTTTTTATGTGTCACAGAGCTGCTTTTAAATATTGGTGTCAAGCCCTTGATGGAACGCTCAACATTGCTGATGCTCTAAACAACTGGCAGGAATTAGGTGTTTCAAAAAATGCTACAGACTGTCTTGCAAATGGAAGATCTACTGATATAAGTCAGAAATTCCTATCTCAGGCTGGAATTTGGGGATGTTTACATGCAGCAGTTTTAGCAGCTAAGATAGCCCAGTAAGTATTTATTTATGTGTGTGTGTGTGCATGCACACAGCATATTTATATATTTGTATGTAATTTATTTTATATATTTATGTTTTAAAATAAATATATTGCTGAAGAAATGTCCATCCAGGACATTAGATATCTTGTACTTTACTTTAAAACATGGAAGAATGATTATACACTAAAGACTTACCAAAACACTTCCTTTTAGAAGGAAAGCAGCTCTTTTGGAGAATATTGTTTGAATTGTCTTTTTTAGAGTGCTCACCTTTGATTGTAATTTTACCCATTGAAGATCCTTGAAATAAAACAAAATTATCAAAAAATTTAAGCATGGGCATTTTATGGTCATTTTGGTTTTCTATTGAAATATCACATCTTGCAAGTCATTATGCATTTTAAATATTACTGTTCCTTGAGGGCAGATTGCCCACCTAAAGTGCTCATTTGCAGGTGAGTTACAACTAAATAAAATTTGAATTACTTTATGAAAGACCACCATCCATAAATATTACAATCCACTACTACTTGCTTGCTAGTGAATCACTATGGATGCTATTCTGAGCTGTCACAGCTTACAGTACATAAAATATACAAAATAGAAAATTTAGCGCTAAATCAGTAGTACCCATGAAAGGGCAGAGTTTCAGCTGAGCAAACTATCTTAGTTGAGAATAAGAAGCTATTTGCACTTGCAGTCCCTGTTTGCTGTGCTGTGTGCTGTGCCTTTTCTCCCCGTATCTCCATTCCAGTTCCTTCTGTGGATCCGGGGGGAGCTCCTTTCAGCTTCTCCCTTGGGCAGATCTTTTCTACTTAGACCTGATCTGGATCATTAGACTCCTTTCCCTTGAGTTGATTTTTCCAGAGGAAGTCTCTCATGTCAAAATGCAGATTCAAGGATGTTTATAATGTTGCTGCTCCAAGGATTTGCCCATTACCATGCTGGTTTAAAGCTACGGTGAGGTATCAGATGGGATTCACTTCATCTAGCTATGTGAAATTCCACATCTCCAGTTTGCTTAGGCTTCCTTTACATACAGAAATAGGTGCTTTTAGGGTATGACTTTTGTGACCTGTTTAATCTCTCCAATTTTGAATGAGATGAATTTTGTTCCTAAGTTGCCTGTTTCGCTCCCTTAACTGTAAAATCTACTTTTGGTCAAGTGATCCTTTTCTTCCAAAGGTTTAGCACCTTTCTATAGTACAGGCAACTATTCTTAAATATGGAAAACCTCTAGCTACTATCATTATTACACTAGATAGAATAAGAGTTTAAATAATTTAAATCGATGGACACATTCACATTTCTTACTATTTGCTATACTTTAGGTATATCATAACATCAAAGATGAGATTAAGAGCTAAGTGCTGCTATTTTTCTTCTCTGCTCTTTAAGGTAAGAATACAATTTCACTTAGAATTCATGAAGTTGACAGAATGCTTTTAGATTTAAATCTCAATAGTTAAAATATGTCTTTCTATTTTGATTATAAAGGAGGACTGTAGATCAGAGGGATCTGACAATTTATGCACATTAGATTGTATTTATTCTGTTTTTTTAACATCATTCCTGTATTATAGCCTAAAAATTATCACTTCAATAGGAGACTAGTTTTCTTTGAGAGAAATAATGAGAGAAATAAAGAAGTGAAGATGGCTAAAAAAAGTAGCAGTCAAATACATTTTTCTTCCCTTGAGGTGTTCTCTCAAGAAGAGATGGACAGGATCAACAGTAGTAGGGTGCTCTCTATCATTAGTCTGAACAAAGTCTTCAGAGATTGTCATACTTTTCACCCAGAAGAACACAAAAGCTATTTCTGAATCTTTTCTAGTACTGAGAAATATTGTTTTATAGTAGTAAAATCTAAACTCTCTAAGAAGTTTCTTCTGAAAATAGAGAACAGTCAAAACAATTCAGAATTTCGTTTACAAAGAAAATAAGATTGTTAAAGTTAAGTTTGCAAACTTTCAGTAACCATCGGTGCAGAAGGAAAGCAAAAAGAAAGACTTCAGTTTGCTTTTAAAAAGAAACCAGAAGCCATCACTAACAAAGATGTTACTGGCAAAAGAACTGTAGCTCATCTGCCAGGCTGACTGCACCAGGACTGGTGCTCACTGCTTCCAATGCAGCCTCAGGGAGGTGGCGGTCTCCTTCCCAGCAGCCAGCCCCCCGTGCTTGGGTGGTTGCAATGGTGCGAGTTGAGCCCCGGCACATTTATGTTCTTGTTAATGTCAGCAAAGAGAGAACAAGCTGGAGAAACAGAAGTAACTCTGAGTAGCTGCAAGGAGGGTAATTGGTGGTGCTACAAAGCTGAACAATTTTGATTCCTTCTTGTGACAGAAATAGCGGTAACCATTTGTTACTCTTGAATAATGGTAGAAATAATTGTGACTGACTGAAGTGGGTCTGATATTAATTGGGATAGGAGCAGCTTGCTGGTTGAGAGTCTTGAAAAATATAATCACTTACTGTCATAGCACCTTGCCAAGTTCAAGTCCATAAATTTGTTGCTGTATTTGGAAAGCTCTTTTATAACCTAATTTAAATTCCTCCTCTGGTATAGGCTTTAGGCTGCTTAATATCTCAGATCTGAATATGTAAGTGGATATTCACCAGCATATCATTGCTAATTATGATAAGATAAACACATTTAGGAAAGAATATCTAACTTCAGATACAGAGTTAATGTACCTCCTGTTTAAAGTTATTCCCTTTAAACTCATTCAAGTTGCATCGATTTTAGTAGAAAACAAACTTTCCTTTTTCTGCTAACTTTTCATGGTTTGCTCTGAGAGTGAAGGGGGTGACAGGCAGGCAGGGTGATGCATAGAGCTCTGTCCTCAGTTTTTCCTTTTATCTTTTCCTCACTGAACAGAACAAACGCAGTTGATTTTGTGGCCTTATCTGATGACCTTTCCTCTGTTGTCTAAAAATTAGCCTCAGAGGTTACTTAAATATTTTTGTAAAGGTACAGATAGAGAAAGCAGTAGGCAGAATGTAGGCCTTTCTTGTAATAGTGTTTTTTTATCTGAAGAGATGAAATACTATTTCTGATGTTAGTAACAGAAATCTCAGTGACCTGAGGGCATTAAAAAAAAATGGCTAAAGTGCCTTTTACTGGCTGTAAAGCTTCAGAGTCCTTTCCAGAAGCAACATTTGAGGTAGTGACTGAGCGACTATCTAATAGTGAGTAAAATCAAACTGCTTTCTTAGCTTGTGTTTTTTCATGAAACATCCTCACATGGATTAAAATAGGTGTTTGAATACTTCCCCAAAATTTTCCCAGCAGATTTTTCCTTTTCATTCTCCTTGATCCTCTAAATATTTAAACTATTAAGTTCTTTCTCTCTGTTGATCAGAGGCTTGTCCCAAGAATACCTGATTAATTTACTGGGCCTTTTTCCAGTGCTTCCAGAGATTTATTTGGATTGCTTTGACTCGAAATCAGAGAGGAGAACCATTGGCACATTTTCAAGATTTGCAATATACCCAAAGTACTTACTGAGGAAACTTCCATGATTATTTTTCTTCTTTTCTTTTAACCATGCTATGAAATACTTGTCTCTACATCAAGTTCACACATAATGCAGTAATTTTCATAAATTTTTCCATAAGTATATGGGTACTTGGACATTGACTGAATTTCATTTATGAAGTCTTTTATGAATATCAGATGTTGAGTTTTTTTTTATTGTTTCATTAATGCAGGTTTCTTTTTACAAACAATTCATTATTATCACTTTCAGGCCCTGTTTAGAGCTTCTCTTCCACATCCCATGTCTGACTGTGAATATGCACAATACGAAATAAATACACTTATTCCTGGCATTGACTTATTCTCTGATCGCTACAGAGCTGATATCTCCACTGTAATTGCAAGCCTGAATTTTCTTATGTTTGAGTTACATTGTGCAAAACAAAATTTAACAGTAAGTATATTTTTTTAAAAAAAAACTCAGAGTGAATTATAAGACATCGAGTACTTTTTATGTTAAATATACTTATGAAACAATATAAGCTCTGATATAATACATGGTTATGTTTTGCAGAACTGAAGGAGATAAAAGGCACAGCTTGATACCTAAAATTTTCAGAACATATAGAATACTTATTCAGGAAGATAACAGTGCATGGTCCACATGGCTTTTCCAGGCATTTCTGAGGAAGTTCTCTATTACATACAGTTTTAAATACACAGTGCACAGAATCCCTTTCAATGCAGTATGTCCAGAATGTTATCAGTAATTTTATTTCATGACCATATAAATCTTTCTTTCACTTAATGACACACCTCTTGCAGTGTAATCCAGCTTCCTCCAAAGGTGTAGTGCTGTGCTTTGGAACACACAGATACTACCTCAGTGGTACTGAAAGGGAGCAGTTCTACCTATCAATCTGTTTGGTCCCGTCTGCTCCAGTAGATTTTCTTACACCATATCAGGTATGAGTTGAATCAACTCCCTGCTTAACAGAAAACTCCTCAGCAGAAAAACTGGATAGCTTTTTTTGCTTCCTTATTGAATTTAATCAATATTCAATATTAGGATATTTTGGCTGGTAGCAGGGTAATGAGGAAGTGGTGGGAGGTGGAAATGGATGGATGGTTAGTAAGAAGGTCAACAAGACTTTACTCCCTTTTTTTCTTTGTCAGCAAAACATTTGCTGGTTCAGTTTCTTCTGGAACTTCAGGCATTCCCTCTGTCTTATTGACTGATGGCTCCTTTCCATCCTGCTTTCTTGGAGTACACTTCATAACTGAGCTTTGCCTAATTGCCCTCTCTATAGCGGGTCAAGGAGTGGACAGTTACCTGGAGGCTGAGACGCTTAGCTTGACTGCCAGCTTCACATAGCATGTGCTTGTACCAGCAGAATATATGGAAGCAAGTCATAGATCATAGTCAATGCAATTACTATTTCAGCTCAGGATGAGAGCTTCATTTCAACTGATATTCAGTGTGTATGTTCAGGAATGTTTTGGGTGGCAGGCACTAAGCTGATTTGATGCTTTAGGTCAAATCCAAATACATAAAGATTCAAGATTTATTAAAAACAAGACTTCAGAAAAACTTTTCTTCTGGAAGCACTTCAAATTTGGGTTGGAAACTGAATCAGTACAATTAAGACATTTCCCTTAAGCATGTGCAATCCAAATTCTGAAGCATTAAGCAACTTTATGAAAAACTAAAATACATTTGACAAGAAAGTAACAATGATGTTTCTGAGCTGAGGGGCATTTTAAAATGAAGCAAAATGTATAAGCTGAACAGTAATTACATTTTAGAATTTCTTTCCATTTCAATAAATAAGAATCTGCTTTTCCTAAAGTCCTGTGAGCAAAGTAATAGTAAATAAAGTGTTGGTACATGAACTGAGAGGATAATTTTAGGGAAACTTTTTACATTCTACTTTTTGAATCATTTAGGATATAATACTAAATAGGGGCTAGCTTTAACCAGCTGAAAAACTTTAAAGATATTCGTCCTTCTAGAACATAAAGTAAGTAGTGATGGTATCCTGCTTTGTGTTGGTGAAAGCAGTACTACTATATTATTTATATACTTTTGACAATTTTATACATTATGCCATTTATGACTACATCACTTGATATTTTCCTACAGATCTTACCACTATTCACATTATATGAATACTTTGTTTCTGAGATTTGTCAAGACCCAGCTAAATGTATTGAAGGAAGAATCTTAAAGGTAGTCCAAGAAACATTCTGATTAACGCAATACATTGTATTTGAAATAAGCTTTTCACTTTTTTATTAAGTAAATCTAATAGTTAATCTAATATTTATGTCCCCAATATAAACTGCAAAACAAATGTTTTAAACATCTATGAAAGATTATCTGTTATTACATTTTATTTTGAGCAAAAAGAATGACTGAAAATAAATCAAAGCATCTCTTATTTTTTCATAGATTAAAGTACTTACAGATATAGGATTTTTTACAGAGGCCTTTCATGAATTGTCTTTGCTTAATTGTGGTGAAAGAATTCCGTGGAAAATACCTGCAGGCTATAAGCCAACTGAACAAAAGAAGGTAAAAAATCATGAAACAATAGTCTTGAGCTGTAGCCCTTGCTTCTCTTCATAAAACTGCAAAAATACCAAATCTGAAAATAATTACATATTGTTAAAAAAGGCATTGTATTCCCACCTCTTTTTGATAACAATATGAATCTCCATTGTATAGTCACACCCAGTAGATGGAATAAAATAATATTTCTAATCTAGGGCTGATTACAGGCTGATGAATAAAGGCAAATTCCTGCATACTTTCACATTTGCTTTCCCTCCCTACAGTATATCAAAAGTTAACAATAATAACTTACATTATAAATTAGCTTAGACTTTCATTTTTTGACTACTGCCATAAGAGACAGCTCCGTGTACTGGAATTACAGTTATAGTTCAGAAAATCAAAGCATGTTTTCTATCATCTTCCCTGTTCTTCCCTTGCTTCACATTGGAGTATCCTGTTGAATGGTATAGGAGGTGTAGGGTTAGGTCTGAGTGTAAGACGGGCTCAGAAATGAAAAGACCACAAAGGCTAAGTAATTGTTGGTAATTTTTAGTCAAAAAATGCATTGCACTTGTCCACTGTTCTGTTATTTCATTTGTTTCATTTTATGGGCATATTATTATATATTATTTGTTTGGGGTTTTGTCCCTTGTACAGGCCTCTCAGAAATTTGACACCTCAAAATCTCCCCTGGTTGTTACAAATTTACAGGTAAGAAAAAAGAAAAAGAACATCCTGCAAAAGCTAATTCTTTTTCATCTTTTTAATTTGCAGTGAACTTGTGTGTCTCTTACAAGAGCTGATAGTAGAAAACGAAAGTGTAGTTTCTATTTTGACAACTTTAGATTCTGTTACACAGGTGTTTTCACTTGTTTCAGGCATATTTTGAAGTTGCTTTATTTGAACTTGTGACTTGAGCAAGCATGATTTTACAAAGTGATTTAGACTTTCTACTTCTAAATTTATTACTGTTATTATCTCTTATCTATCTCTTATCTATTACTGTTATTCTTACTATATAACAGAGGATCAGGGAAGAATGGATTAATAACTAATGAACAGAGTCTGTGAAATATGCTTGAATGGTGTGACAGAAGATGTTTTCTCCTTGTTAATCCTTCTGGTTAGCATCAATCTTGGAAACAGAGCTTGTTTTGAATTGCAGTCTCTGAAATACAGATTTACTTGTGTATTTTTTGTGCCCATCTTAGCTATGGAAAAAGCAAAAGACTTAAACTCATACAGAGGAATAGCTATAATATTGTAGATATATCTTCTATTGGAAAAGTGATCACTGAGGATCTAGCAAGTGCTGCTAGGCGGTGATTTGGGGGGGAAAAACAGAAACTGCTCCATAATGACTAACGGCATATTGCTAATAGGTAAACAAATGTTCATTGTATGTTGCTAAACATTATTATTAATAGAAGTAAAATATGCTTTGAGCAACAGTAAAATAAAATATATCATTTCAAACTAATTTCAACTTTGTTGTAGGTATTGGAAGACATATTTAACTGGAGTCTGTCTTTAGCAATAGTTCCACTGTGCAACCAACAAATTATGAATAAATTAACCTTAGCCAAAATGCATTTCATTATTTCTCTTTCTGCTACAATAAATGATATACCTGAGAAAGTGGAAAAATACACCTATTCTACTGATAACAGAAGCTTGAGGAGGCCAAGAAGAATTATGATGTCAAGTACCAAAGGTAATTTGTAAGGGTGCTTATGAATTTAAATAAGGGTATGTATAAACTTATAAATTTATAATTTATTCTGCAACTTGTTTGATGTGAAAGGCTCTCACTTTTGAAAACTATATATCAATTTTAACAACTATATATTCACTAATTTGTTATATATTAAACGATATTTATATTAAATGTTGCTGAAAAAATACGTCATTATTGAAAAAATAAATACTCTGTGTTTTTTTTTGTCTTATATCTCATATCGGAGCTGCTGTCCTTGTTTGCTTATTTTAATATTAAAAGTCCCAAAGAAAAAGAGAGAAAAAATACGTGTTTTTAAATTACTGAAAATGTTTTGCTATCTGCTTCTGCTATCTGAAATGCTTCTGTTATCTGAAATTTCACTTGAAATGTATTTTACAGTCAATACTGTCAAGAATTCTAGAAAACGAGAACCAAGAGGCACAATGGTGCAGCTGGTTGACTGTAAAGGTGAATTAAACATGGCCATGCTTAAGGTAATCTTGTTGTTTAGGGAAAAAAAGATTTTAAAAATTGTTTACTCTTTTGATAATATGGCAAATGTTTTCAATGTAATAGAAATTATGGTGGGAGGAGGGCATGCTCCCTAGAATGTTCCAATCTGATTCTAATTGAACTAGCCATAGCTGAAGTCTTTCAAATACTCCTAGTGGTTACACTCTCGTTTGTGCTATGTAAATATCTGAGTGCTATATTGTCACAAACAGAGGACAGAATGACTCTTTCAGCAACAAGGGCAAAATTGAATCATATTTGAAGAATTAAATCATCTGCCTTCAGAGATGGTCCTGGTAGAACAATTTAGACTCTTTGATAGGCCAATATTTCTATGGTTGAGTAGAAATGAATTCTATACCATATCCAAAATGTTTTATGGGCTAATCATTCATTTGTTCTGTGATCTGAAAAAATGCATTGTCAGGAATATGTTTAGTAAAAGAGGTATTATTAATATTACTACAGAAAAGTTCTGAATATGTTTTTACAGTAAATGCCACCTTCTTGAATGTAGCGAACTTAGTGGAAAAGATAAAGAACAGAGCAAGAAGTGAAGAAAAAAAGATCCATTACATATGCTTGTTGGACAGTACTTTCAAATTTGTCATCCTCAAGTTCCACAGGAACTTAAGGAAAAATTTCTTAACAGTGAGGGTGACAGAGCACTGGAACAGGCTGCCAAGAGAGGTTGAGGAGTCTCCTTCTGTGGAGATCTGACGCTGCGTTTGCAGGGGGGTTGGACTAGACAGTCTCTAGAGGTCCTTTCCAACCTTAAGGATTCTATGAAATTCTATGAATTCTTTCTAAGCATTTTATTTTGGGGAAAAAAAGAGTATATCACAGCTTGTTTGGTTTCTTATAAGTTTTGGGTTATTTTTTTAACTTCCTGCTTAAGCATTTCACATCATAAGTTGAAAACTGAGGGCATATTCTTTCTTCTTGAGTACTTCTACACTGTAAACATCTATTCTGGCCATTTTTATAGATATATTAATGTATAAAATCCATTTGGAAAAGGAGAAATGAATTTATGTGGCAATTCCTAAAGGCTAGAAGGTTCTGGTGTATCTTGGAAATAACTTGAAAATAGCATTGTGAAAATAACTTAAATAGAACATTTAAATTAATTTCAATTAGTCCTTCTTAAGGAGGATAATGTATTTCTAATGCTTCTGATTTTTCTTTACTATTCTATTTTTTAATTAATTGAGGAAACAGACGAAATAAGAGATTAGATGATACAAATCTTTGAATTATTTTGAAATTCTAAATGTTCCATGATTGGGCCTTTATTTCAAAAATGATCTTTCTCTTGGATATGGTTTTGGCTTTCTCACATTCTTGCTGGTTTTTTTTTTTTGTCAGCGAAACTGTATATTATGCTTGAACTTGGAATGAGCATCTGAACATGGATGCCCTCTGTACTCAAGGATTATGTCAAAATATAGTTAAAAAAGAATATAGCACTTCTTGCAACATCTTTAATAATGTATTTTAAATTTTATTATTTAAATCAGTAGTATAAAAAGTATAGTGCAGTGTTATCAGGTATGGCTATAAGAGAGAAGGGAATGAAAAATTATGTTGCTAACATAATGTTTCTAAGCCACAAAATACTCTTTTTGCAAGGCATAATGTAGTAAAGCATAAATTAAAATAGTAAAGGATAAATTGCAATAATAAAGGCATAGTAAAGATGTTGCTAGATTGAATATGTTTAATTTATAAACCTGCAAAAATCAAAATTAACTCCCCTGCTCTAACTCCCCCAACTACTCATGCAAAAGGTGTACTTTATTCAAGCTGATTTATTTCAAGTTGTGGGAGTCGTGGGACATAACAGACTAAAATACATTTTTAGAAATTTTATACAAATTTTCCTTTTCTTGCATTATTCTTGAAATCATATGATGCTCTATTCTTCTGTAGGGGATCTTACTGACAGAAGCTGAAGACAGTCTTAAGTGTCTTGTGCAGAGCATTCAGGACAAACACGATGGGAAGATTTCCTGTTGTTCTGCTGAGGAATTAGAGGTTGTTATTGAGGCCACGCTTCAACTTGCAGCTATTTGTCAGCAAAGGCATCAAGCGGCTTTCAGGTAAATAATATTGTGAGCAAATGTACATTGTACAGTTTTGGATATAGAAGACTGTTTATAACAGGATGTGGAATGCCACTGTATTCACATGATCTTCCAGATGTTTCCTCTGAATTATCATTTCCAAAATCTGATATTTCTAAGGTTCTGACTTCCTATGAAAGAACTTCATGGAATCATAATTTTGCTGTTCCTTGAGTGCATGGGGAATGCACAAACATAAACTCTTTGCAGATATTTTTTGCAGAATATCAATTTGGTCTTTTACGTAGGAGAACTGTTTTCCTTCGTATACCTGTAATATTAACTTGTAGAAGAAGGATAATAGCTTTAACAATAAATTTTCTTCATTACTGTTCAGCTCTTTTTAATCCATTTTTTCTTAAAATTGAAAAGTTTTCGAGGGTAAAAAGAGTTGTTAACTTTTTACCCAATTAACCCAAGCTAAATGTTTTCTTCTGTGTCTCAGGCAAACTGGCCTACTTCTCCTCCTCCTCCCAGCTAACCCAAGGGAATAAACAAGGTTCCAAATCAGATAGTATTGAAGTTTCATGGTTCCATTTTAGCTGCTATATGACAGGAATAAATGTATAGATTATGTGAACCAAAATCAATGAAAAAGTCTTTCTTCTGTGTTTTCTTTATATTATTTTAAAAGGTAGCCATTTCCTAGCAGTTCAGTTTTCAGTGCTGTTGCCTTGCATTTATATTCAAGAGTGTGTTTTCTCACTTTGCTTATACCTTGGCTCAGACTGAAGAAACTTTTATCCAGTATTAAGGGTTCCTATGGATGTCAGGAATTTTATGGATTGTTTTTGGGGTCCCACAAATTTTGATGCATCCGTAATGGGCCTTATATATTGCAAGTGTTCAGGTAGCAGGAAAAACAAAACGAAACAAAAACACAAGTTTGTTTTTCTTTTCCCCCCTATTTTGCAATTTTATTGCATTGCCATCTCTGAAAACTGCTGATATATTTGCCTCAGAAACAAATGAAACATTCCTTCAGACAGCTGAATGTATCCTGCCTGCCAGCCTTGAAATCAAACTTTGCATGATATTACAGAAATTCATCTTTTTTTCCTTTGGCAAAATGACTTAGTGGTGAAATTGTTATAGTCAGCTGTGCTTTCCAATTTTGATCTTCTTGTCACTTTCTGATTCAGCTGATAAAAGGATGTGTATTTTTTCAAGGGAAATATATAGACGCATCATTCTTGTTGACAGCAAGAAAAAAAAAGCCACAAAAATTTCATCAAGGGATACTTCTACAGTACGGCCTCTGCAGAAAAAAAGTAAAAAAAAGCTGAAGAATAATTTTACTTACAGTAATAATTCCATTGATCTCAGTGAGACCACTGACATGCTGTCCATCCTAAATATATGAGATACCTAATTATCCAAATATATGCTTGTCTGCTTATTTTGTTAGTGCTTAAAACTATATATATATATTTACACATTTGAGCTTGTGGTGTACATTTTACTGCTGAAATTTATATGTAAGTATGTCCGTAAAAGTGGCCTCATTTCAGTACTGCTCAGTGCTGACAACAGAAGATAACTGGAGGCAGTGGTGTTCACGAAGCTGGGTTAACATTTCTCCAAAGTCAGTATTTGGGCTTTGGTGCTGCACCTTCTGCACTCACCTGAGAAATATTAGCCTTAGCAGCTCAAATAAGATTTTGAAAAATGTCATGTTTTGCTGCAATTTTTACTCCCATGCCTCATTTCAGAAGAAAAATGCTCCTTTATAAAAAGAAGGCAGATAGACATTTCATTGTAATATACCTTCTGTGTGTTTTGCTTTTATGAGCAAAATTTGTTTAGTCCTCTAGATTGTTAGAGAGAAGATTAGCACCAAATTCAACACAGATTTATTTTGATATTCTTTTGTTGAGTAAAACTGAGATAAAGGGATGATGAAGGTGACTCATAAGGCTTAAATTCCAAGAGCTGAAAGGCAGGATATTGTTTTGGTACTCCTTGTTACTTTGGGGTTTATTTGTGCTGAATTGATATAATCCATCTAATTCTGCATCACAAGGACAACAAACAGGACAGAATCGGAAATGGCAGAAAGACTTTAACTCCCCACTTACTTGTAGAGGTTATCCATCCCATATGTAAAGATAAGTTGGCAGAATAATGTGAGTAATTTCAGAATAATGCAGCTCTTGTTCTGTCATTTCTGTATGTAGATCAAGAACTTTTCCTGTAGGACAACTAATCTAGCACTTCTCAAAAGCAGTAAATTCACAAAGAGCCTGAACCACTCCTACTGTAAAGACTTTTTATGTCACCCTGGCAGTGCAAAAGGAACTCAAGTTGTCCATAAATTACGTTATTCTTTTACTTCAAAGCAGGCAGACCTTTGTAAAGTGAGACTTCAGCATAGATTAGTCTTTGAGTTATAAATTAAAAAAAAAATAGCTAGGGGTGATTTCAGGTATTTTTGCATCATTAGGAAGATATGCCTCAGTGGGCAGAGAATAAGCAGTATTGCAAGAAACACAGTATTTTAGAGAAGAAGCAGAAAGTAGACATTTACATGAGGGAAAAGCTCAGAAATTGAAAACTGATACCCAGGAGACATTAGCTCTGTACTTCTTCTCAGAACACTCAGAGCACCGTGTTCTGTAGGCAACAAATCCTGTTATAAAACATTTTCCCAGTTGGTTTCACAAATGTCTTCATATCCCGAAAATATATATATATTTTTTTCCACAAGGTCCTGGATCAGAGCTATACATTGCATATGTATAATGAAAATTGAACAGGGTATCTGAACTCACAATTTCTGAAAATATGGTATAGAGTTTAGTATTGCACTGACCCTAATAATGTGTGTATCAATTCAGATGCTGTTTGGAGATAGAAAGAATTTATAATGGTGGGAGAAAAAGAGGCCAAACCCAATATCTCATCATTTCCAGGTTATATAAGGAGGGCAGCTAGCCCAGTTTTGAGATGCTGGTGCTTACTAAGATCCTGTGAGAGTTAAGTCACAGGGATTTAATAAAAAACTTACCATATAACCTGAAAAGGCTGCAAGGAAGAACTTCTTTGGTTCTGAATGAGGTACCGAACTCTCCAAGTGCATATTATCCTTTTTAGTATTCTTGCATCTTCTGATTTGTAAAGCCCACCCTGAAGAAAGACACATTCTTGAAGGTGAGGGCTCCCTCCCTGCTGAGGCTGCTGTGTCCTGACTTTGGCATTATCATCATATCTGACTATGGCTGCTGTTGGCAAGACGTTGTCTTGTGCTGCTGTGTTCTCACTTTCACATGCAGTGCCTGCAAATTCAGAATATGCTTGATGTGAAGTTTCTTTTTGTTCTGTAGAAGCAAAAACTAATGAATAGCTGCTGGTGTACATTTCTGATGTATTCAGAAGATCTATTATGATGAAATCATAAAATACCAAATATAATTTATCTTTTTAAATTTTGTTCTGTATCACAGTGTTGCTTTGGCTTTCTCTGCAATTCGATTTCTCCAAGATGCAAGCTTTTTTAGGACGAAAACGACCCATTTTCAAGAAAAAATACATGGAAAGGAGTATTTGGTATGTTTATACATTATTTTTTTTCTTTAGCGTATGAAGTCTTGGACTAAATATTGAGTGATTTGTCAAACATTAGAATGTAGCAGATATAGAGTTTTGATTTGCATACTTCAAATGCCAGCACTGAGAAATTTCCTTTGTTTCTAAGAATGTTTCTAAAAGAAAAATAGGGGATAAGCAAAGCTATCAACTGAAAACTTACGATATTTTAGCTTTTTTTTTTCTTTAATATGAAGACCTACATCTTTCAAACTGCCAGCCAGACCAGTTCATATCATTGCTGTGATTTAGCAAAATTTTTGCTGAATTCTGCTGCCTATGTGTTAACATGTAATGCATGTTAACATTACATTAACAAATTACATGTGTAATAATGCATGTTTTGGAAAGCCAATATACAAAGCACACCACACATTCACCCACTGTGAAGGGCACAGTAAGTGAAACTCACTCATATGCACAAAGCAATTTCGAGGTGAGGGCAGATTTTATAGCATTACGGTTTTTCCTTACAGCAGTGTAATCATTCTATGTGGTCTAGGACCTAACACTTAGAATTACTGTGGCTGGAAAAGACCTTCAAGATCATCATGTCCAACCCTCTGTCCAGCTTCCTTCCATGCAGCCCATGTCTGAGTTATGAACATTTTTTTTTCTCAGCTCTATCCATGCAAGTCATTTGTGAAGATCTCTCATACAAGTAAAACACAGGTTGTGCAGCAAGGTTTTGTTGTGTGCTGGCACAAACCTTTAGGCCCCAGAGCATCAGTAACAGAAAGGCAGTTTAAAACATGTGAAGGTGGCACAGGGAGCTGCGCTGAGGGCGCTCCCAATCACATCCACTACTATGTCACATTCACTTGGACTTTTAATGACCGGTGAGGGGGCCCTGGAACTTGTCATCTCACTGTTCACTAACAGAATAGTCTCTTCTGTGCCTCACACTTGTGTGTTATGTTCTTGCTTGAGAGGAATAAAGGCAAACTTTTCTAATGGGATTAGTCTTAAGAAGCAGTTAACACACAGGATTTCCTGAATCCAAACTGTTAGAATTATTCTCTACGAGCCGTTCATTGTGTAGTGCTTCAGTTAATCGTGTGCTTTTCACTGATAAATATTCTATATAGATAAATTTATAGATTCTCCCATAAAAAGTAGTTTAGCTCTGATTTGTAACATTTCAATTTTCTGTAGATTTTAAGTTAAATAATAAATAGACACTTCTTATTCAAAAAATAATGCGTCTAACCTTCAAGTAGGTTTTTGCTTGTAACTGTATTATTACTTGTCATATATTTGTGATATTTTGATTGATGGAAGTTTGATACCTGTACTGAATTAAGCAAAGCCTCATTTGTAGTAATGTAGTTTATTCAGGCCATGATACTTCTCTTGCTTTTGGAAATTATTAGGATTCTTGCACTGAAGATGTTCGGCTGCCTCACAGTGTGATAGCACAAGATCACCTGAACACCCGCCTGTGGCTGAGGTGCCGTGCAATGTTAGCCTCTGCACTAGTAACACATATACATGGAGCTGGTGATATGGAAGGTATCTGGTTTTTGTCTTAGACTTTTAGAGTATAATAGGCACGTGAGCCTATTCAAACTCTTTTTTGTTTTTCCACAAATTAAAATATTAAAATATTCCTGTGATTTATTATCACTGCGCAATTATTTGAATTCAATTCATACAAGGCATCCAGGAATATGTTTTCTTTTCTGAGTATAATCTCTCCCCATAGCATATAAACAAAAACATTATGCTAATGTTCATTTAATGATTATTACCTTTTGATAAATCATTTGTGCAACAAAAAATTCAAATGTTATGTTATATTTAAGCTAAATAGGTATGGTCCTTTTCTAAAAGTTTATTGCTGCTACTTATTCTATTTTTTAAAATGTTGGATACTTTTGCTTTTTCATCTTTTCAGCTTTTATATCTCTGAAACTGACTCAAGTATCAAAATTCTAATGTCTAGGTCCGTAGCCAAACTCTGGTGTTAATTTCTACTGAACAATTCCTGTGATGGCTATTACTGTTTGGAGTGATATGTAAAATCAGATGTTTGAATATGTAGAAGTATGGGTGAGAAGGACATCTGATTTGCAACGTTCTGATTATGTATGCTGATGGCTTGAACATGAAGGACACATCTGGATGAATTTATAGTATTAACAATTTAAAAGCACATCTTTTTTTCTTTGTTCTGAGAACAAATGTGATGAATTATATTAATAAAAATGGAATCTGTAATGCCTGATTCTGAGTAATTTTTTAGTATGGAAATGACTTTCAAAAAATGAAAGGGGAAGAGACTGTAAAATCATTTCTGTTGTGCTTTCACTGTTCATGTACTTTTAGAAAATGATATGGTGGAACACAAAACTCTGATAAGAGAAGTGTTACTAGAAACAGAAACCTTTGATGATATTGAGACTCAGGCTGATATGATGGTGCAAGCTGCTATTCTTGACCTGCAAGAAAGACATCCCATCGCAGAAATTAAACAACTTCTGCAGGTTTGAACACAATGGAGAAACTGTTTTTTTTCTTTTCTTTGATACATATCTTTGTAGAGTAAGAAAAGCTGCTGGCAAGATTAAATAAGCTTGAAATGTTGCCTCTAAAATAGATAATTGTTTTCACATTGTGTGGGTTGTCCTTATAGAGAGACAGCAAAAGCAGTAACTACTTCTGCTTATGTTACCTCTATTCAAACAGAATATTGTAAGTTTGCTCCAAGAAGAGACATGCATTTCCCCTCCAGCCTCTTTGACCCTTGTGAAAACTATGCTCCTTCTGGCAGACATACTGGCACAGCAAACAGAAGAGGACACAGAACGTCACTGCTCCACAATGGAACCATTAAACTTACTAACTTTGGCACATGAACTTACTGTTAAAGCAGTGAGTATATGTTGGTGAAATCTGTAAGAGGACTATATAGTAATATGCTATTTATTTACTTAGTGGTTCAAAAAATAGATATGCCCTTCTGCAATCTCTGTCCTTTTTTTTTTTTTTTTTTGCTATACTTTCTAAAGTAAATCTCCAGACAAATTCCTTTATCATATTTCCTAATACAGTAGTATAATCTATTCTAATAATCGTTCCCCAAAATGATGAAGAATTATATAAATAACTTTAGACTTTTAGCTGTCCACTTATGAAACTTGCCAACCTTCAAGAGACTTAGAGTATGTCCCAGAAGTGAAAAGTTTGGCAGGTCCCCATTTGCAGTGTTTTTTTGTTTGTTTGCTTCTTTGTCTTTTTCTGGCCTTTGTTAGATTTGATTTTAGAAGTGGCATTTTTTTCTTGCAGTTACTCAGGTTACTCAGGAATTCTGTTCTTAATGACTGCCTGGTTTGAGGGAGTCTGCTTTTAAAAGATAAATCCTAACACTCATAAATCTCATAAAGAGTTCATTGAAGTTGTTTCTTGTTCATTTGTTACCAAACTCAAAATCTTACTTCTTCTGCAAAGACGACAATCACAATCTTAAGTGAAGGACTTCAGCAGTATCAAGGTCTTTGCCAGTACTTTTGATGAGACCCAGAATACCAGGATTTCGCAAGTGTCTTAAGTTACCTTTTAAAAAGGCTATTTCATTTGCTTTATATAAATTAATTTTACAAAATATACTTCTTTTTTCATAGATATTTCTATGTGGAGAACCAATCGAACAGCACAAAGAAGACGCTACACTTATGTGTCCTGTCTTACCTCCAAAAAATATCTACTTGCCACATATCAACTTGCTAGCCCAAGTCAAAATGAGAATTGGTAAGAAAAATACAATATGTTATTGTTCGCATTTTCCTTCATTTCAATTTTTATGTATCAGCAAATAGATATCTCAGGAGAAAGTGTAGCAAACCAATTGTTTTCATTATACAAAAAATATTTTTAAAGCCAGCAGTAGATGTCTGGCTCCATTTAATGTGTATCCATATAAGCAAGGTATAATTCTTACAGCAATTATAATCCTCAAAGGTATAAAGTATGAGTTTGTATATAAATGTTATAATTTGGTGAAATTAATATGTGCTTCATTTTTTACAAGTGAACATTAGCAGTACTTTTCCATTTGCTAATATCACATTTATTCTACGTTCCCCTTCTTTAGGAACAGTTATATGGGAACTAAATAATGATATAAACCATATGAGGTGATAGTGATAATTCTCTAATAATTTCTTTTCACAACAAAATAATAGTGACTCAGTGTTGTTACCTTGTAAATAACATCTATGCAATGTAATTAAAAATGTAAGACTTTTCTTTATATGTAAACTTGATTATATGCAGGGTAGTAACAGAAGATAATCATGACGATTGGTCTGAACCTAAAAATATTATCAGATTTATTGGATCATTGTAGTTAGGAAAAACAACACATTTTGAAGATCAAGAACTGGCATAGCTAATAGTAAAATAAAATATTACAGTTGTTTCCCTACCCTTCCACTGAACTTATTTTGGTGTATGTTTCAGTATGTTTGCTAGATTAAAATATTGCTATATACTTTAGGGTGAGATGAGATAGAATGATGTTTCATTAGGAATTGGGTTAAGGCTAAAAACTAGTGCCTCCTTTCCCCTTGAAGCTCAGGAAGAAAATGCAGATTGCTTTAGCTGCCTGTATGAAATATCGGAGATCATTTATTAATCTAAACCCACTGTATTGCTTCAACACAACCTTGCAATGTTTTGCTGATGACATGGTGCCAACAGTCATAGTTTATTTTGTTTAAATCTCTTCAACTATATCTACAAAGATGACTGTACAAATATTTTAAATGAAAAGATAGTATTCAGTTTTAAATTAGAGTGAACCATCAAAATTATTCCTATTTCATACTTTGTAAGACAGTGCTAATGTTTTGGTTCAGACAGGGAACTTTGCTTTATGAAGCAAACCTCCTGACCATCTCCACTTGCTGCACTTTGGTTCAACTCAGGAGAAGCCTCAGGAACTGAGATTCCTTTCATGGCAGGTGTGCTCCTGCCTGTACACAAAATCTTTGCTAGTTCGTACATATCAAAAGTACTCTAAACATTACTGTGTGTTTAGTGCTTAAGACTAGACTAGAGCTAGTCCACAGTTAAGTGCTCTGAAAAGCATATTGTGTGACTGCTAAGTACCCAGCAGCAGCTCCTCTGCTCTGGAGCACCTCTGCTCTTGTGCTTTAGTGCTAGCAGTGCAGGCACGTGCAGAAGCACCCCCAGGGATGTCCTTGTTGGGACAGTTCCTCCTGCTGAATGCACATATTTAGGAAGACCATGTGAGAATTGATGAATATTGTGGAGTACAGTCTAAAAGCTATGGAATTATCAGTGAAGACTTTAGATATGGTTAATTCAAAAGGAATATTGGAATTTGGAAAATGCAGAGAGGAAATTTTTTTACAGGTTTTGTCTGTAAGTGCCAGGTCAAATAAAGCTTACCAGCAGTCCTTCCAGGCAGTTTGTGAAAGGTTTAGTTTGTGTAGGGTGACCTGTATTAGGATGGCTTAGGTAAGCCTTATTGATACCATACATACATTAATGAAACAGCTTTATAGTTCCATACTTGTATGCTATAATCAGTTATTTGAGAATTGGACAGCAAATATATAACAGAAATTGTTGTAAGGAACTGATTTCTTTTTGCATAACTTGATTTTCTATTAAATGAGTCACTAAGAACTACATTTTTTTTTAGGATGCACATTAGCTGAAAAAATAGCTTGTACATCTGAAAGAGGAGATCCACTGCAATGGCTACGTGCTCTCAAACATTTAGAAACCGCATTGGAGCTTTGCAGGGCATCTGCAACAAAAAAAATGGATATGGAAGCTGAACTTCTTTTTCAGATAGGTAAATAAAATCCTACTCATGCATTATGATTGCCTTTTACAGACTGTCTTATGTCTATGGTCTATCTTAAATGGAAATGTTTTACAGAAAAAAATAGATTAAGCTTGATATTGGCCATACCGTATAACTGCCTGTATCTTTAATGTTTATATATGGTGGAATATGCATACGGGTACATTATTCGATAAATTATTTCAAAACTACACTAGAATTTCTCCCACCTCTATGTTACGAGGGATCAAAGGGCACATTCAAAGAAGTTTAGAGCACTGGAGAGGGCTAATTAGCTTCTTTGCATCTATTGGAACTAAAGAAGATGAGATGCTCCTAAAGTATTTCTAAATGATTTTCTAACACAGCTAATGAATTGCACAGTGTTTGCTTTTGTTTGGATTTTATTGTTGTTAGAAGTCATTATGATTTGAAATTGTGGTCGTTCTAGCTGCTGTATGAAATAACTTATTAGGTAAGTTTTATGCATTACATTTAAAATAAAATGAAAAAACAAAAGGACAAAAACTGTGCATATCAAGAAAATAGCAGATAATGTATTATGCATTTCATCTTTCCTGGGGGAAAAACAGTCTGGGTCTTACAGGGAAAAAGAAAATCTTATAAATCTACTTTCTATATTTCTTTCTTAGGTAAGGTTGAGCGCCAGATAACTGAAGCAGGTCATAACAAGTCACAGTTAGCTGTTGAGAACCTCTCAGATGCTATAAAAATGAGCCAGCACCATGATCAAAACTACGAGTAAGAGCAGTCATCTAATTTAAATCACATTTGAAAATAGATTTTTGACTTTTTCTCTGAGATTTGATGTGAGACTTCTCTAATGAAACATCTTCTGTGGTTCTGGAAATTTTTGTGTTTTTCTTCTACAACAGTAGAAGAACTACTGTATGCTGTCTTCTGTAAATTAAATGTTGAAAAGATTTAAATATATTTTTGATATTTAAATATATTGTTCAGGAAATATAAATATATTATTCAGTAGACAAAGTTACAACTTTCAGTTTTATTTTCAAACTTGTACCCTCTGTCAACATCAGGAACACACCAATTAAACTCAGATTTTAGTCATATCTTAGAAGATGAGCTGTGGCCTTCCAGATAATAGAAATCCAGACTGAAAAGGTTAGCAGACAGCAACAGGCAGAAGGACACAGGCAGAAGGAGGATAGGAAGTGTCTTTGTAACAGATGTCAGGATGACAGAATGACTTTGGCATTACTTCTCAGCAAAGGAGAGGCCCAAAGAACTGAACCAAACCAGCCAATGAATTCTGCCAATCAACTCTGATATGTTGGACAGGACACCTAATAGTTTTGTCAGGGTTCATTGTGATCTCTCAGATTTACAAGATAGCACCCTGTGTGAAACAAACTTTATTTTTACAAGCTTATTAAGTAAAAGTGAATAAGTAAACAAGCAAATAAAGTTCATCCCTTTGCTGTAGACTAGCCAAAACTGTTAATTCTGTAGTTACTTAACTAGCTAGTTCACTGATTAACTTTATAATTTAATATTATGCACATATTGTTTAATTAATATTAATAATAATATTGTGCAGCTTGTTTCCTAAGTGACAGTGAAAGTGCTTATCCTTCCGCCTCCATCATGATGTGGGCATCCCATGTATTGCACTGGGAAGCACAAGAGTCCAACAGTACAGCTGCTGTGGATCAGCTTCAGCTGCTGGTTGGGTGACAGGACATACTTGTACAGTCCAGCTTGGAAGTTTGGTCCGTATCATCCCTATTGGTCGTTTCAGACAGCAGACAGGGATTTATTTAATTCCAAAGTGTTTCAGTCCGATCTAGCAGTTACTTATAAAACTACAAGGACAACATATCTGTCATCTCTGTTGCTCTCACTTTAGCTTAATGGCATTGCTGCAGGCATACATCAGGCCTTAGCAGTAACTGTCAGGCCCAAAGGCTGAGTGAACAAACATTTTTTGGTAGTGTCTTGGCCATTCTCAGTGAGAACAATGTGCCTAGCCTCGTTACAGGCAGTGTAGAGGCAGCAGTTTGCCTTGATAGTTTGGGTATTCTGTTACTTTAGCTAAAGAGCTAGAACTGACCACAGGAGCAGTAGCAGAGTAATAAACTGCTGCAAAGGGTCAAGATGATGGAAGACAGCACAGAACTACACTGTGGTTGTTTTTCCAAGCGTATTTGCTACCTTCTAGATTTAATTTGCTACAGTCTTTCTAAAAGACTGTACAGCAACATTGATGAACATTGTACAGCAACTGTACAAGCTCTCAGATGCCTATGTTTACTTAATTGTTGTTTCTTGATGTCTGATGTATATATTTGTTAACAAGACTAGCAAGTTAGTTAAAATGTTTGGGTAAGTGATCTTGCTATTTAAATAGCTTGTCCTCTTCGAATAGTACTGCATTTTTGACTTTAGTACTTTAGTGTACTGCTCCACAGAAATCATATCTAAGCTGGAATTTACTGCAACATCTGAGCAGCAGCTCTGCACTATATGACTGCAGAAGAATGATTGCATGAACACGAGTTTGTTCCTAGGACCAGGATAGCCATTTCCTGGGAGAGAACTGGAGAATTATACACAGCCAGGAAGAAGATGGATGGAAAAACTGCAAGAAAGAGCAGGGTTGTGCAAGTTACTCAGTTACACAGAATTTGACCTGGTTTATAAGACTCCTGGCACAAATGACCCAAAGGAGAAGGAAGCGTAGGAAGAGAACAGGAATTGATGAGAACAGTCCATCTGAAGATGTAGAGCTTCTGGTGCAGAACTCCAAACTGATCTTACTCCAAACTTATTCTTACTGATTGTTGGAAGAGAGAAGAAGTTTATCGAGGTTTAACTGAAGATCTACATGGAGATTCAACCATCTTTGTTTCAGGAAAGCTGACAATGGTTAAATGTTTTAATAGAGGCAGAGGAATCCATAGAGATCCTGTACTGAAAGATCAGTTTACTTGGCAAAGCTACAATTTGTTTACTGAATGTTTGCCGTTTGTTTACTGAATATTTGCTGCACATAATGCAAATTATACTTGGCATAGTGTTAAATCATTGTGTTGTTAAGCGTGCCATAAGGATATTTTAAACTGACTAAAACTTAACAGGATCACGTGGCTTTCTGAAAGATGATACAGCTTAAGTAGATGATGTGGGCTACATGAATGATCTATTTGGTGAGACTGTGTGGCTTGTCTTTTACAGGAGTCAGACTATAGCATCCTAAAGCTTATTCTGATAGTAAGATTTATTATCTGTGTGCTGTTTCTTACAGGTTAATAAGGAGATCATACCTTGAAATAGCACTGCTATATTTGCATTTTGCCAAAAATAAAGAGTATGGGTCACAGACAGATAAGATGGAGCCTTCCAAATCATGGGTATGTTTTTATCTTCTGGGTAGTGGTGTCTTCAAAGCAGGAAACTTATTCCTATTAGAGTACTGTGTTCCTTGCCATGCTATATAATATACTGTGACTTATAAATCATACTGGTAATGGAAGCCCTACTAGAAAAGTCATACAGCAAGATCATGAGATCAGCAGTAGGATTTTATTTTATGTGATGTGATTTCTCATGTTTAGTGCTTTGAACAGTATCTACAGTAATATTTAAAATATTTTCCTATATAAAGTAGGAAAAAAGCTAGAACATTAACAGTATTTTGCTTCGTGATTACATGATAACTTGCACTTTGCAAAGAAAATATAACATTGCAAAGAAAATGGTAGCATTTCTGTTTTGCCAGATTTCTATTTTTCAGTTTTAGCAAGAAGCATGAAGGAACATGTAACATAACAGAAAAAGAAGTATTTGAGACTTTAAAAAATGGAAAGTTAATTGAAAAAACTGCTTATGAGTTACTAAGAAAATTCTAAAGTAGCAGCCAATCAGTATGCTGTGTTTTTTTTTATTAATATTTTACCAGTTAATCCATGGATTAATGGATAAATGAATCCATGGATTTACAAGATTTGTGCTGATACCTTTTATTTATTGAAAAATAATTATGTAATTCTGAGAATTGTGCTGTCATCAAAATATATTTTACTCTTAGTAATATACCTTTTAGCATTTATAATAGTAAATTTAGTATTTATAATACTACATATGAACTGCTATAAAATTTTAGGTATCTTCTGAAGAACAGTTTTCTCCTGACAAAGCACCGATATCATCAGAAGGCTCTAAAGCAAAGGCCTGGATTGCAATAAGAGCAGCCACACAGGTTGGTGCAGTATTTTGAATAGATAATATTTTTGTTTTTCATATCACTTTATGCAACTTGAACAAACATCTTGTCATCGTAATACACGAAACACATGAGTTAAGGGTCCCTGGGATTTCTGCCATGGGTCTCATTTGAAGACATTAAAATACGCATTGACTGACTACTGCATTTAATCCCTCTTGGACAGATCTGACTCTGTCTGCTTCTATTTTGGTTCAATGCAAATATAGCAGCACACTGCCTGATATGTGTGCCTACTTGTTTGGCATGTGGGTAGACATCAGCAATATCCAGGTGAGGATATTTGGTTTGAAACCACTTGTGTAGTAATTAAATTGTCAGCAGTAATGATTTATTTAACTGTGGTGTGTACCATATGTCAGAAAAAAAAAAGAATATTTTTCTTCCTTTCTTATTACAGAATGTAGTATGTTGAACAATTAATTTTTCATTTTTAGCTTGCTAGTATCAGGTTTAAAAAAAATACGAGTGTTGGAGTGAAATAATCCTGAATAAAACAAATATTATTTTCAGGTCAGTGAAGCTGTGCTTGCTTCTCAGCTATTAATTGGAAGAAAGAGTGTTAAAGAACACAATGTGGGGGATACAGCGCAGCAGAAAATCCCTGAATTTGCTTCCATGGATCTTCTTGCTTCATACAGAGATTTCCTATCTGGTACTCCTTTATACCTAAGAATATTAGAACATTAAATATGTAATAAACTATATATGCCATGTCACCTAGTAATACATTAAATATCTGATTTTCCTTTGTGAAAAACAGTTTGTCAAACTAGGAAAGTAAAAGTAAAATTCTCTTGTCTTGTATAGCTGTACAAACCATGAGTGTGTTATGTAACATGTCCCAAGGGTCTTTAAATATCAGTCTATATCATGTGGAAAATGGGGTAAGGAGAAATGCATTGTTTGCATGCTGTCGTTCAGAAGGAGAGAGAGAGGAAGAAAGAGAGAGACTTCCACTGTCTTTTTGGTAGAACTTTCTTTTGCCTAATGATTTCCAACTTCTGCATTTATTTTCCAGCTAATGGAGTGGATGAAATGGAAGTTTTTGTTGAAATATATTCAGTGAAATGAAGAATGGTGGGATAATAGTGTTCAGACGTTGTGTAAACACTAATGCAAAATATTTATGTCCATTTTTAAACCAAACAACAGTAATTTAGTGATAGATTTTTGATTCAGCGGCTTATTTTCAGTTGCCCCAAGACTGAATTGCTCTGCCTGACAGCTGTGGGCAAAGCAGAGCAGTGTCTGCTGACTGTGCTGTTCAGGCAGACCTAAGTGCTTTGATCGGCTTATGGAGACAACTGCTGCGTGCTAAGACCTTCCACCCATCTGATTGTCTTGCACCAGCTCCATTTGCTTATAATTACAGATCATTTTGTTCTTTTAGCCAATGCTGCAGGTGTTTCTCCTGATAGTTCTGTTATGCAATACAAAGAAGAATAGAAGTGAAGAGGCAATCGTAGACCAAAATGTATAAAGGTGAATTGAAATGGAAATGATCAGCACAGCATGCTAAATATTTTGTGTAAAGCCATTCCTGAAACTGAAACACATCATTTAAGTTTCACTTCTAAACAATATGAACATTTTAAGTAAATTCTCTTTTTATAATTGACAATAATGGAGGTATTCATGTTTTATAGAAGCACACATAATTATTTTCTGTACGTTTACTATTAAGAATTACTGTAATATGACTGTGTTCAGTTTGGAGTGAGCCACAGACCAGAGGAATTGTGTTGGCTTTCGAGGAAGGAATACACTAAGACAGTGGAAGTTTTAGTGAATTCATTTATGATATAGTGGTAACTGTGCTGTTGTACATTTTTTGGAATAAGCATAACTTTCAGGTAACACCTCAAAAAGACTTTTTTAGTGTGTGATCAAGAACACATTTCATTCATACTGTGCGTAATATTTAAAACGCACTGGATCAAACCAACAGTAAATATCATCCTGTTGTAACTACGATTAGTGACTCCCAATATTTTTTCCACTTAATAAATAGGCGTTATGGAACACTGTATAAGGGCTTTATATTTAAATTCAGGAGGGGTCTGGTATATTGCCAAAATAACTACCTGCAAGGACTCCTAAGCTCCTTTAATAAGCTTCTGTATTGCTGAGAAAAACAAAAACAAACACAAAACCATACTCTCTACGCACTCTTAGCTTCCATGGACGAGGCAGAATCTTGACCAAGATTTGAGAAGTATTTCCTTTAAACATGCAACTGGGGCTTAGGCAGAACAGAAGAGGGCTTTGTGGCATTTAATAAAAACATTAATGGGTTAAAAATGGGTTTTATTTACAGATAGTCAATTCCAACACAATGTAGAAATATCTTTTGAATTATAACCATTCATTTGGTACTCATTTTTGAACTGCTGTTGTATTTGCAGATGGATACAACATTGTCTTTAGAAGTCCCACAGCAGCTGAAAACAAAACAAGCAGGACCAGAAGTGAAGAACCAGCCTGTCTTGCCACTGAGGCCATAACATGGGTTCACTTGATTCGTTACCACATTTATTTAAAAAGACTTTACAACACAAACCCTCTATTTGGTATGACTTTTTTTCCCCTTCCACTACAAAACTGATGCATTTCAGCTACTGTCCCTGTGGGCCAAAAATTAAGAGAGTTGAGCCCAAAATCTGAGATGATCTCATTCTGACTTCCTCTAAGATGTGTTAATGGGAAGAAACTTCACAGAAGTAAAAATGATTTTGTTAGTTTGCAAGTACATCATTATCTTTCCCACAATTATTCATAAGCTTTAATGACACAGCAAGAAGCATGTGTCAAAACAGAATTCCTATCTTTATTTCTGTAGCCTTTCTTCATGCATAAGTGAAGTGTACTTTTAATTCCAGACACCTCAGTGTTAAGTCACCTCAGAAATGAATCTACTCAGTTTGGGAGCCTGTTTGTGAGGAGAGGAATTGACTGTCATGTAGATGGAAAGGCTGAGTATTATTTAAATGAATTTTGACTAAAGTCCCAGATGTTTTGTTGGTTTGTTTCACTGCACATTAAAGACGGTAGAGTTTGGTGCTGTTAAACAGAGTAAGAGTCCATTAATTTCAGAGTTCTAATACTGTGCATCTGCCTTTGAAGGCCAGGGGTTGGGTGTACGGATGATGACCTGACAGTCAAGACTAGAACCAGTCTGTACATTTGGGAAAATGCTCTAGGCTTTAGGAGTAGCCTTTTCCAAGCAGAGGGAAGTTTAAAAAATAACATTTCAGAAAGGCTTTTTCTTTTCCCCAAAAATTACCAATGAAAAGGAAGTATTCTGCTTCACCACAGAGCTATATGGACAGTAAGGTATCTACAAGTAGGTGTCAAAATGTTCTTAGGTGCCTCCGCTGCAGTTACAGTGGACAGAATCCAGACAGTGTAGCTGTGTAAATCAGGGTAAGCTAAACAGCTCTCAGAGCCTCTCTGGGCTGGACTGACTAAATATGTGTTTGTGGTACCTTGACATCTAGTGACCATACCAGTGCTTACATCGAGAAAGCTAAATTTAAGTCAGTTAACCTTGAATCTACTCATCTGATTTTACATTGCTTTTGTAATGTCAATATGAAGCTTTTTTTCATTATCTAGTCTCCAATGAAAAGTTAGGAAACAAATAACATACTCTAATAATAATACTTGGACCATCAGTGTAATTGTTGGAAATACATTTATTTGCTATTGAATCAAACTACATGTTTTATCCTATGTTTTTTAATTCACCAATATCAAGTAGCTATGGAAAGAGTACTTCCAAATGGCAGATGATAATGAAATAAAGATAATCTCTGTTCAAAACTTCCCTTAAATCAGGGCCTCGATCGTCTTCTAGAAGAGACGGACACTTTAGTTCTGTTTTTGACACGGCGATTGTTCTACGCATAGCAGAAATGCACAGCTTCCTTAAAAAGCATTTGGTGGAATATTCAACGTGTTGTCTTGAGGACTGCCCAAATGAGCTATGCTGTGTAGAAATGCTGCTTCATATTCCAACTGATCCTTCAAAGGTATTTATTACTATTCATCTATGTATTATTCCTGTTCTTAATGATGTTTCAAAAATATGCATTATACTTGCATGTCATAGAATCATAGAATTATTATGGTTGGAAAGGACCTTCAAGATGATCGAGTCCAACTGTAGGCCCTTCAGCACCCTGCCTGCTAAGCCATGTCCCCAAGTGCCTCCTCCCCATGGCTGTTGAACACTGCCAGGGACGGTGCCCCCACCACCTGCCTGGGCAGCCTGTTCCAAGGCTTGACTACTCTTGCCATGTAGTCTTGCTTGCATTCAACTTCCTGCTGCCTCAGATAGTGGCATTTCTGGGAGTGCTATGGGAAAATTAAATTCATTATACACAAGACCAGTGCAAAAATAAAGTCCTGTGCAAACAGTGAAGGAGCTCATGAGTGCTGGCAAATTTGAATTATTCAGTCCTGCATGAATGATTTCTATCCAGTGCCCATTTTATTTAGAACCTAAAATATTAGGTGGAATGATATTTAAGACTTCATTAGGAGCTAAATAAGCTTGCCATATTATCTGGTAAGATTGATGCTTTTAATATTGTACATCTCCATGTTTCATACCAAATATATTCTGATGTTTTATTTGTACTCTGTTTGCCTCTATATTATTAATTTGTTCTCTGTATTATTTATTTGGTGTATAATAAATACTGTTCTGAAACTTGTCTTTCAAAAAAGAATTATGTTTTCTACTGTTTCTAAATTTGTTGAAGCCCTTTTGTCTCAAATTTAATCCATCTTTAAAGACTCCAAAATTTGCACTGATATTCAGCTGCTTAGAAAAAGATTTTTTCAAATTTCTGGCTAGCAAGCAGTCCATTTGAGGTCTGAAATGTAAGTAGCTCATATTTATAGTAGATGATACTACTCGTGGGAAGTTTGAATTGTAACTCTGAAGTCTAGGCTGACCATAGCCTATGTATTTAATATTGGCTTTTAAAGATCTCTGAAGATTTAATAAAAGCATAGTTTTTAGTTTTTTGGCTTTCTTTTTCCTCAGTTTGCCCATCCTACTTCTCACATTAATAATTATCCTAATACTGAGAAAGAAAAGAAGAATATTTTTTATGGTTTCTTTTTACCTGCTATGTTCAGTGTTAGATGACGAAAGGGGAACCTTGAGAAGTGAGTATTTGTTGTCTTATCAAACTGCATTAAGCTACTTTTGTGAAAGTAGCTCTTCTAGAGTTGGTGAACTTTCTGCAATGTTGGACAGCATATCATTACTCATTTCCCAACAAAGAGCTGACTGTGGCACTGAATAAATTGTAAATATATGGTATGTGACATTTATAATAGCCATCGTATATCAAAAAATATTTTACTCTGTCTGCTCTTCTTTTGACATAATTAGTATTACACTGTCCTAGAATAATAAGCTTCAGAGCTCACTGTCATGTTCGTGACAGGTGCAGGCTGCATAATCATGTGTTAGCTTCACTGTTGTAGACAGCTAACAAGCAGAAAGCTCTTACTTTTCTTATCAATTCTCAGCTTCATTGATTTTTATCACAACATTTTTAGAAGCTTCAACTATTCAGTAGACTGTATAAGTTATTTTAAAAAATGTTACTGTAAGTTGATACTGTTTTTCTTAAGTATATTTTTTGCAAGGATTATTTTTTACTGACAGGATCATTTCACATCTTTGTAACTCTTTTTTTGACTCCTGAATTATTTTCAGCTCTACTGAACAAATAATCCAAATAAATTACATTAAAATTAAGAAAGCTATAATTAAAATTGTGCCTTGTTTCATTTTTTCATAGTTGTATTTTATTCCACATTATGATAGTGTGCAGGATGGACATGCTTAAATAAGACAGTAGTTTTTGTTTACAAGATTTTGATAAAGTTGGATAGATAAATATATATGTATGTAATGCAGCAACCCTCCAATTTGAAAAGAGAAGTTGTAATATTCTTCATCAAAAAAGATTCAGTAACAAAAATAACAACAAAAAAACCCCCCAAAATATACTGTGCATGATTTAGAAGACATATGTAGCGTAAACTGCATTTTGGAGAGTCCAAATTAAGGGACGTGGCATAGAGTAGATCGTGCCCATGTCTGTGTGTGCATTTTATCCTGTTGACTGTGCATGTCAGCGGGACGGTGGGTGATGGGCTCTCTGTTGCCACAGCTGAAGTCCAAGATTCTGTATGTAGAGGAACCTACATATGGGGCCTGGCGCGGTGTTAGGGTCTGTGTGGCACTGGCCATCGCTAGTTAATTGTCCCGTGGCATAGGCCAGGTGCATCCGTGTGCCCAGACTCATGGCGTCAGCACTGCTCTCCCTTGCCTTCATTCCATTATATTGCCATGTGGGATGGGAACTGTGTTTAAGTACTGCTACACTAGTGGAAGTTCCATCTTCCTCTCACCTGTATCAATCATGACCTGCATTTTCTGAAAACAGATTTGGCAAAATCCTCAAGGCTTTTTGAGTTATGAACATTTAAAAAAAAAAGAAGAAAAAGTTTTTGATGTTCCTGTTTTGCGACCAACAAGCATTTCTTATAGCTTTGGTGTTCCCCCGAATGTTACTTTTTGGCCTCCAAAATCCTTTGCATATCTGCAAAATGCTTTTACAAAGTAGAAATGGCCTCTACCAGAGTACCTCTGTTTAGCTGTATAAATGCTTCTACCTTCTGCATGCTTTGAAAGGAGCGATATTCATGAGTGAGAGGTGCTTAACAGTGCTCTTCTGATTGCTCCCCTGGTTCATGACAACAAACCGTTCGCAGTTTGATGAATGGCCTGCTACTGTTACATGTATAGTTTAGTAAATGTGACATATGATGAATCTTCACAAATTAAAAGAGTGAGTTTTACTTTGGTAAAACTTTGCAGTTATACAGCTAATGAGAAAGCAAGTAGGTAAACATATAAATCAAATATTATTTTAACATTCAAGTTACTGTTTTAATTGTCGGCATGCATGGAAGTTAAATTACTATTTCAGCACAGGATTTCATGTGATCAGAGTGTTAAATAATGTCTTTTAGTTAAAAGGGTAAAACCAGGAGGAAGACAAGTCAAATATAACACAATTATTGGTATTCTGGATGTCTGTGTAAGTTAGATGAGAGATTTTAAGGCATTTGCATTATCTTTAGAAGTATCCCATTATGTAAACTTTTGCTGGTTAAGTTCAGTTGTAAAATGGACATCATTTAAAAGAAGCATATTTTTGCACAGGAGTGAGTTATACTGATTTTAATAGACAGGAGATTATTGTGAACAAGTGCATGTTACACAAGAAGAAGAAAAACAAAGCTTAAAGCATAACATTTCCTTCTGTGTTTCAGATGACTCGTGAAAGTACTGGAATTTCACCAAAGTTTCCACGTGTGAGAATAGCTACTTCTGTTCCTGTCATCACTGAGACAGAGAGTCAGACAGAGAGCAGGGCAGCAAATGCTTCAAATAAGCAGCTTAGTGTTCAGTGGTACATTCCTTCTCTGGCAAAGCCATCGGATGATGCAGAAGCTAAGGTATAACTAACTAATCAAAGCCATTCCTTATGCGCTGGGACAAATTAAGCATCCACTCTTGAAAACAACTGATACGTTAGCAATGCTATGTTCTTGACATTATCCATAGAGTCAAAATAATCGTCTAGTTCATCTTCATGGGCTCTTGTGTTGATACTGCTTCATTAGACTGGTGAATTACATGCACTCCATGGATTTAAACATAGTAGGATGAGACACGTGCACAAGGTCATATCAGAAGTATGAGTATATCTCCTTTTGCAAATTCAATAAAAACCTATATGAAGTCAGAACTCTGGAGATGAATGTTAAGTGGGACTGAGTGACCAGGATCAGAACATAACTGGATATCCCATGGTGACTCTACAGGCTAGTAACTCATTTTAAAACCCATATAAATGATATGGATAATTCAATTGTTGTAACAACTATTAAAACTTATCATAGAACAAATTCATAGGAGACCCCCACTCCTCTATTCTGAAAGCTGGTTACTGCAGCAGTACGGCCAGTCTGATTTATAACCTCGTAGCACTCAGATACCTGAGGTCAGCTATAGCATACTACATTGTAGCTTACATGTTGCATCTCTTTCCAGGTTTTGCTCCTTTACGCTTACAATATGAAGCCTGTCAAGATTAGCAACATGAGGATTTTTAGTTCAGTATCTGTATTTTCAGGCTACTTGTGGATCCCACTGGCTAGGTAAGTAATCACTGACATTTTCCTGTTACTTCATGCTGTATTAATGATTAGTCAAGTTTCTAGGATGAGAGAAAATAAAACATATAACAAAGAATTGTAAGTCTTAAAAGCATTCGTTATGTCATTTCAGAGAGTTTTCACTATGAAAACTGCCACAGTTGTAGACAGCATTAACCATCCAAACAGAAGCCTTTTCAGTGCATCAGTACTTTATTCTTGAAGAACGAGTAACACATGCTAGCATCATTATATGATGCTGGCATAGCAAAATAAGAAAAAGCTAGCAAATCTAAGAAGCAGTCACAGCAGCTATTCTCATTCTCTCTCTGGTTCAGCTGCTACTATGGGGAGCCTGGAAGAGTCTTCTCAATTGTAGCCCCAGACTCAGCTCTTCTTTCTACATCTTGTGGTGTTAAAGACTGAAGGCTTCTCCCAGCCTGCAGAGAATTCTAGCTCCTGAATTCCTACTGCAGGAGGAAGAGGCCAAGAATAATTGCAGCCAGCGGCACCCAACTTGTCAGCTCCCAACTTGTTGGCTTTTTGTTTTTTAATGGAGACATATATAAAATACTGCTTCTTACCATTTTTAATGTAAAAAGCTAAAGCGTTTTATATTTTCAGTTTCTTTAATGGAAAACTTTGTGTGTGTTTGTGTAAAATTATGCAATCACACTGCAAGAAAATCTAGAAGTTAGACAATAAGTAATAGAAGGTCAGTGTTAATACAACTTGGAAACAACAAATTCAGTTCTTTTATAACAGCAATAACAAAAAATGTCTTCTTTCAGAATACTTTCCTTACAGGAAGAATTATCTCATCTGAAGCAGCAAGTTGAAATTCTGATGCAAGGCTCTAAAAGTTTGTCTTCAGTCTCAGAAACTGCAACCTTTCCTGAACAAAGTGAAACCCTGCAAATAATTCCTTCCACAAAAGCCAAAATGAATATTGCAAAGGTGCATCTGGATGAAAAAACAGAAGTAAGTGAGAACAGGTCTGCCCTTAAATATTTCTGATAGTCTTTTATTTAAGATGTGCATTTGGGGGAAAGAATTACAGGTAGCTTGGCAGACTTACGTTGTGGACTTTCAATCAATGTTGAAATATTTTCACTTTTCATTTAAGATTTAATTGTTCTTGTCCTATTTTTTGGTACTTTACAATAATACCAGGCAGGTACACCCCCTTGAAAGTAAAGAGCACATTTTCAGGTACATAAACTTTAAAATCAATACCTTATTTCTAGCAATACACACCTGAAAATACTTGTCAGTTTTAAATTGGCATGGCACCAAATCAGGCCCAAAACCTTCTTAAAAAGCAGTTATAAATCTTCAGTGCAAAATGGGCAGTGATGGTTTTTGAAATAAGAAACTTCTAATAACATTATTCAGGAAAAGTAAAAGTGGCAGTGAATTTATTTTCATTTTCTCTAGGCCACCTTCCTCTATTCATGTTATTAGTAAGGCTGCATATGGTCTGCAACCAAGTAACTCTCTCTCCCTCCCCCCATCACACACAAAAGAGGTAATTTCAGAATTTGCCATGTGGTCTCTTTGAGATAATGTCAATGGAATAGAATGTTGCCACAGCGCAACTGCTGCTTGATAAATGCCAAGGCAAAATAGACGTTTATTTTCAAAGTGGGAGACATTTATCATGTGACAGGATTCTCTTTATATCTATTATATGGAATGATTAATGATGCAGAGGCTGTCATTTTGCCTGGATGGATGCAGCGAAACAGTAACAATTGCTCCCCGTGCCATTATTGAGAAGCTGCATTTTGACCGTCGTGGAGAACAAATGATGTTTTGGCCCATCACGGCATACAGTGATTTCAGGAGGGTGGCCAGAGCTCCATTAGCCATTAGCTAAGTGTTCCTGATTACCTGAAGGGTTGTGCTCATTAATGTATGCCCGCAATTAGAAAACCAATGTTCAGAATACGAAGATTAGCACTGCAGGTATTATACATGTATAAATATCATCTTGTCGAGCCCTTTGTTTATAATGTCTTCAATAAATATGTAGGGGAAAAAAAAAAGTGTGCTCATTGGAGTTAATTCCTGTCCCAGGCCAATTCTACTTCAGTAAAACCTGCAGGGTTCAGGCGCTTGAGCTCATACAGCAAAGCCAACTATTTCTGTTGCAAAATTTATGTTCATAAACCCTGTTTACTGCTAAGGTTCAATTCAGACAGAATAACCCAATACTTGAATGTTCTGAAAAGTTCTGTAAAACCAAACTCTCTGATACTTTAGCGGGGAAGATTAATGATGAAGCCTTAGTTTTCTTGTTTTATACCTCTAGGAAATGGCTAAAAGGTGTTTGTCGGAAGTACAAGCTCTGCTCTCTGTTGTTCCAGCTCTGTCACCGCCGTTAACTGAGGTAGGCTCTTCTCATTAATTGTAGACATCTCTTTTCTCACAGGAAATGCTTGCTCAGTCAAACTGAAATACAGATTAAACCACTAAGTATCTTTCATTTATTTTTCTCATATATTTGTTGGGCTTGTATTTTAAAAGTAAAATGCAAATGCACACGATTACAAACCATGCACATCTACTCTGTTAAACAGTCACATTCTTAAACATAGAAAAGCATATTTAAAAAGTGAATCACACTCACAATGGATTCATCTGATTTACCTACCATTTTCCGGTCACTGTTTGTGCAGATTCCACTGAACTTCTTACACTTCAATTGCACTGTAATTGCCAAGTGCAAATTAAATCTCTCCCTGTGTTTTTAAGTTATTCAGACTTTTATTTTCCTTGGCTTTCTCTGCCTTGACCATGGCATATCCCCAGAGAGAGCTTGCTGCTTTTTTGTCCATGCTGCTGCATTCCTATTGTTACCTACTTGCTGCCATCATTCAGTTTTCTCAAGTGCTGATCACAGATTAAGTTCCCATGGTGTTAACTGAAAAAAGGTCCTTAATCCATGTGGAAAATTTAGATTCCACTGTAATGCATACCCCCCCTCCCAATACTCAAATATATTTCCTTTAATTGTTCATATTATAGTGATAAATGGGTAAGGTGTCCAGCCTCTTTGCAGTCTGTTCACTCCTTTATTCTAGAAGAGAATCCTGAGTTTTACCTGTGAGCAGTTGTGTCTGGTGGCCTTTTAGAAAAGAGAGAATCTAGAACTGTCTCCTGTGTATCCTACAGAGGGGCACCTAGCAGTTCTGTACATGCCTTTTATTCACGTTGTGCTGCCCTCATTCCCCTGGTGTCCATCGGAGGGTCTCTCCTAAATGACTCCCAAACCTTCACATCACCTGGGCCAACTTTATCACTGCAGCAAAATACATGCGTGTTTTTTCCCTTAAACTAAACTTCCTATGGTCTTGCTGAAATATATGCAGTATGTACATAGAGCAGGTGCCTAGGGAAAGGTATAGCTGAACTTCCTTAGAATCAGCTGGGCCTCCCACAGCTATTTTAAATTATCACGAACCCTCTCTTTTCTTTATCCACTCCTCCAATTGTGAATCCAATATGTGAAGAAGCAGACTTAGCAGTCTGGCCAGACTTAGCAGTCTTACTCCAGTACGAAAATTGTGTTATCTGGTCTGTTTTATGCATTTTTTCATGCCAAAACAAGCAAAAATGTTGCAGCAGGTGGAACACCTGACTTTTCATTATTTAGGTTGAATTTAGTAGAGACCAAATTCTATTAGGTTCGGGAGATTTGGTTGAGCAAGTGAAACCTAATTCTTCAGGATGCTGAGTACCTTCATATTTCTCTGAAGCTCATAAAAGTTGGAGAGTGCTCAGCACTTCTTTTGTATATAGTGTTTCTGTGCAGTGTTTCCAAAGTTTCAAATAAATGTGTTTGCATTACAGTCTTCCTGACTAGAGGGGGAAATCACAGCGGGGGATTATACCTTAGGCAGAACATTCCCTTTGTCTTCAAGCTGCGGGAGAAGGCAGCAAAGCACAGTGCTATAAACTTCGGGTTTGTGTAGTTTTCCATCCACACCATATGCTTTTTGCTCTGGTCTGGTTTTAAAATAATTGGGCAAAGTTCTAATTTGATGGACTTATCTTTTTCTCATTCTCTAAACTGCCACATTTTAACTGCTGTTGTGTCTCCATGTGTCTCTTTTTGATTCCTTTTTTTTTTTACTGCTCATGTGTCTTGCAGTACTTTGGCTTCAGCACTGAAAAAATGCATTTTCATTGAATTATTTATTTCAAATTATTTGGCTGCTTTAAGAATAAAAAGTGGTCAGCCAGCTTGTTTTAGAGTTTTACATTTAATGCTTAGCTATGCTAATCATAGCATATGCTGTGCTTAGCTATGTTCTTGAGGATCATAATAAGGCACAGTACTTAGGAATTTCATTTTTAAATGATAAAAGTATATTTCTGAATAAAAGAATTGCATTAAAAATTAACCTCTCTAAGTAGCCCTGTTCCAGTGCTTCTCTTCTTACACAATTATTTCTTGTTAATACTTAAATCATTTTTGTTGCATGTTCAGCAAATTCTTGTCCTTGTCCAATAGGCATAGAAAACAATTTATTATTGCCCTCTGGCCCGTCTTCTACAGCTAGTTCCAATCTTTCAATCTTTTATCTTAGGAAAAGCTTTCCCAGTTTCTGAGGCTGCTTCCTGTTCTCTTCTGGTATCATCATTTTACCTATAGATGATCACAAGAAACTTTGTGAGCAGGATTCTTCTCAGAAATTTCCTCCCCTTAACCCTAGTTTACTGATTGAGTTCAAGAAATTTTATTATTCACAGTTTTAAATTGAGGCAACTGAGTATTTTTTTTAAACTGAGTATTGATTTAAATTCTCAACTCTGTAAACTCTCCAGAGTTCAGAAAGTTGCTTTGAAATAACAAAGAGTACATTCATACAGAGAGATTTCTGTATTATATGTATGTACTTTCTGGTACTTAGAAGCTTAATCAAGTTATTCATTTGCTATTTTTCCCTTTCCTCATTTTTCCCAGGTCCCATTCGATATCACTCTGCAATCAGTAGCAGCTTTGGCAAGCATGTTTGATCCTGCCAGTGGGTGTGTAATAACCGAAGAAAGTCTTTTCACTTGGATCACATCTCTGCTCCAGTAATTGCTGGGTTTGCAATAACTTAATCATTTGCTTAATACCGTAGATTTAGGCTTAAGTGCTGGGGTGGTGAAGCAATGGGAAGTTTGCCACTGACTCCATTCATCACACCAGCGTTTGGTTGCTTATGTGCTTTAGCATTTTCGTGTTCTTTTCAAAGTGCTTAAAAATTAAAACTACAATATAAATTTAGGAATTAAATGTATTAACAGGACTTTCTTAACACAAATATTAAAAAAAATGATTTAATCAATCAAATGTAAGAAAGTGAGTCTATGTTTTGGTGGGAGTTATCAGGCTCTTCAAAAATCCCTTACTTATTAGAAAAGGTGACTAGGGTTGTGGCCTCCTAGTATTCAATTAAAAGAAACTAATTTTCCCATAAAGCTGCATTCCCATCAGCAAATTTTTAATTGTTTTTGCAGTTACCAAAGCGTGCTTCTATTTTGGAAATCAAGAGGAAAAAAAACACCCCAAAGCCATCATTGTTTTTCTTCTTTGGCACTTTTTCTATTTAGAAACCAGCATTTCAAAGTTTTCTGAAAGTAAGTGATGGGGAAGGTATTTTCATGAAGCAGTTTTTTAAACAAAATACTCTTACACACTTACACTCTTACAGCATCGGGTGAAAATGGAAGCAAAGTTTTATTATAGACAAAGATTTTCTTTGTAAGTAGCAACACTCAGGACCTTGTTATAACTCCTATGTTCATACTTAAAAGCAGAATATTATATAAAATGCTGTATATAAGCACTTAAAATATCTAAAGCTTTCCACAGTATTTTTGTTGAAACCAAAATATTATCTTACACTTCCTTTAACACTGCAGTAATGTAATAATGTTGAAATGTTGACCTCACTGTATCCATAGCAGCAGATTTTACTCTCATAAACACAGAATTAAATATTCAATGCAGGTTTCAGTGGAAAACATTGGAGGAAACATTTTTTTTAGCATATAATTAAACTCCCTGGCTAGAATCTGCTTGTGAGGATGAAAGCTCATATTTTACCATCTCTCCAGTAACTGCATATAATAAAGCTAATTAATTGCAAAGTAAATTGCTTCTTGTTTTATATATTATAGCAGTTTGGGTATGTTTTTTTTTTTTCTCGATGGTGAATGGAGATTAAAGCTTACAATATGTTAGACTAGAATAAATTTGTGTCAGCACCATGCTCAATTAAATTCCTACAGAATATCTTCTGCTTTCCTGTCTCCATAAGCGCAAAGGAAGCGAGAAAGGGCATCTTGTTTTATCTCACAGTCTGAAATACGTGAGCGGGCCCTCCTGCTGTATCTTCTGCTCTGCTCTCTGCCTTTTCTAAGGCTGCAGAGGGCTAATTACCACCTTGACATCTTGAAAAGTTGGCGTAGTTGGGAATTCTTTGCAAATTTTAACTACTTTCTCCATTCTGCACCTCTACAAAGGCATTTATAGTATTTTCTAATCTGCTAAGCGGCGGGACAGGGCAAGGGAAGAGAGAGCTGTGGGGGTGAAGTGCAAGGATGCTGAAATGAAAGGCACTTTACCTTGACGGTGCGCAAGGAGGAGGCTACAGGTAACTACAGCACAGTAAAACCTGCCCCACTGCCTTGAGTGTCGGCCGTGGCCTGAAGGAAGGAAGGAAGAGAACAAGGCAACAGGTTATGAGCCTGCAATTAATAACTGCATCATCAATAGTGAAGAAAGGCTCACATTGAACGGGGAGCTTAATCTTGACAATTCTGAATGAATTCAAATGAATTTCATTTTTCAATTATTCTTTTGATACAGTTTTCAGTTACATTGCTGCTAAATATAAAATTGTATTTTGAAAGCATAGGTAGGCTCTGTCTCATAGTACAGATAAGTAGTGCGGATACTGAACTACTTGAAAATATTTCTGGTTAAAGTAATTTTATGATGTGGAAATTGGTGATTTCACAGAAACGTAGTTGTAGGTAACCAGTTTTTCAATTCCACTTCCACTCCAACTCATTCTGAGGTTTGATTTACCCATTCTTTTGGGATAACAACAATCTCTAGTAATTAGACTCCATTTCTTCATCTGAGGATAAGAGTAGTCCCTTCATCCCAAGGTACTGTGAAGTTTCTGCATCAGCATCTCAGAAATGTTTTTGAACGATGGACTGAAAGATGTAAGTTGTTACTGAGACTCAATGTAAAAGGGGTAGTCCTTTGTTTTCAATAACATTTTCAGTTACATCCAAGCAAAAAGGGTTTCTTTTTAAGAATAATGATGGAAGTAGAGTTAATTGTTGGATTTACAGGCTAATATGCTACACTAATTAGCCCAGCAAAGAGTTCCATTTATGTTTGCCAAAGATTCTCTTTGAGTTAGAGATACTGAAAATATCATCAAATGAAAGAAGTGAAAATAGGAAGCAGGGGTTAATCTTCATAAAATATAGTGGGTGAAAGGGTCCAGAAGCAAGTACTGAAGTCAAATATTTACCAGTGGAATTTAATTTTCCACTTTGAAACACTAGAGATAATTAGAATTATTCTCATTTGTCTCTCACGTCAGCATGATTTAAGATTCTACTTAATGTGCTAAGGAAAAAAAAAGATCTATTGAAGCAAATTACAGGCAAAATCTCACTGTCACATCCAGGGAAATGCAGTGCGGTGCCTGCGAGGGGAGCACGAGACGATGCCCGGCGTCTGTCGGGCGCTTCTCCACGCGGATCTGTGGAAGCTGCAGCTCTGCCAAAGCCGGGGCACCTGCAGGGCTGGGTTGGCTCCTGGCCCCTTGTCCAGGCTTAAAGGGGCATTTCAGCAGGCATCCAAAATAAAAATGCCTTAGCCAAGGCTTCCTGAAACCCACGCATCCTCCTCCCTGCTGTGTGCAGGGCTCAGCACGGGAGCTCTCACTGCTTTTTGTCCCCAAAAGCAGGGGTTACTGGATGCTTTGGCACACGGGAGCAGAACGTGCTCTGCTCCAGCACTGTCACCTCACGTCATGGATCTAGAGCACGACCTACCTGCAGAGCCCAGCTTCCAGATTCAACTGAAATCGTATAAAAATATTGTATACGTTTCACAGAGTGTAGTATATTCACTACCTCTTACATTCCCATGATTCCATAACAGGACAGGAGTCCTCTAAGTGCACCATTAAACACTTGGCTAAATACTTCTTTACAAGTAGCTCATTCTGTGAAAAACAGAACAACTGCATCAATAGCAGAGCCTCCTACTTGCAGAGGTTGGAAGAAGCAACAAGGAAGGAAGGAGGGAAGGAAGGAGAGAAGGAGGGAAGGAAGG